TGACTAACTAGTTAACTCATCTAACCAACTCCACACTCCAAGTCTGTTCACGAACTGGTCAACCGACTAGCTAGTTGACTATTAACTTATTACCCATATATCATAGTAACTATACTATCGCTATACTAAGCCTTATACGGACTCGGGTCCTATTAAGTATCTTACAGAATATACTAGTAGTATACGCTAAGTAAGTTAGTTACTTAGTATAGGATACTAGGTAAGCTCCTCTACTTATAGATTAGGTTATCTTAAAGGTGAACTATAAAGTATAAAGTACTACTAGTAGTAACTAAGTAATAATATAAGATTAATCGCGAAGAACTAAATATATAGTACGAAATAAGTATCCTTATATATCTAGTCCCTCGTGACCTAGTATTAGGGGGCTAGGGCTATTATAAGTAGTCCTAGTAATATCGTGGATAGTTTCGAGTATATCGCGGATATATTACGTTATATCCACGATATATCGTTACTCTGTTGTTGTCACGTGATTCCTTGGCTTTCGTGACATAATAACTTCCCTTCGTAACGTTTATCTAATCCTGCCTTACTGACTGATCTAAGTTAATTAGGTATTAGTATCCCCTCCCCCGTATTAGCGTATTACGCCTAAGGACTTCGTAATACTATAGCTATACTTAGAAGAACTATATCCTATCTACCCTCTAGATCTTATAAGGATACTATAGCTCCGGAGGAAGTTAAAGCTTATTATAAGATAGTAGGCTTACTTATTTAGCTAATAGTTAATACGCGACTAGATATTATATTCGTAGTTATAAAGCTTATAAGATATATATATAATCCCTCCGCGAAGTATATAACTATATTAAAGCGTATCTTTCGATATCTTAAGGATTCTAAAACGCTTACTATTATATACTCCTACTTACTAGATCCTCTCTTTAGATTCGTTAATATAGATTAGATAGAGAAGTATACAGACTCTAGTATATCTATATCCGGCTTCCTTTTTAAGCTTATAAATAGTATAATTACTTAGGCTTATAAAAAGTAAATATACGTTACTCTTTCCTCTATAGAAAGTAAGTATATAGCTATCTCTTTAGCTATATAAGAGATATTATAGCTATAGCTTTTCTTTAAGAAACTTAATATAGAGTCCCTTTTATAACTTCCTACTATAATCTATAAGGATAACTAAGGCGCTATTTACCTTACTAAAAGCTATAATTTATACTAACGAACGAAGTATATTAACGTTAAATACTATTATATTAGAGACTAGGTCTCTAGAGGGGTATATAAATTCGTTAAAATCTCTACTATAGAGTAGGCCGTAGATAGCTTTACTAAGCCGCTATAGCGAGTCTAATTCGAGAGGTTTCTATATCTTTTAGGTATAAAAAAGCTCTGATTCAATAGCCATTTAACGGCTCTTCAACAGCCTTTATAGCGAGCTTAATTCTAAGGGTTTAAACACCTTTTTAAGCTCAAAAAGCTATATTAAGGCGTTATTAACATATTTATATAATCACTTTTTATGTTTTTCATGTTTTCAGGCATTACCTCTTGGGTAAGATTGGTAGATCGAGGTCTAGGGGGGTATTAAGATAGCTTAGTAGTTTAGCGCGTCTCACCAGCGTAGTGCGCGCCCACGTACACCACCTTCGTAGCTTAGATAGGCACCTCTCACCAGATTCAATCTCACTATTCCTTTCTCCCCTCTTTTAGGTCTGCTACGTTCTCCCAGTAGCATCCAACACTTACTTATCTAGTGGCAACCTATAATACCTTAGGTGCCCTTAAGACTGTTCACCTCGCGGGAAGGTCGAACTCTAATTTTCACGTGACTATTCTGTTATTTTGTTTTGATGTTGTATTAATCCAGAGACTGGACTCTTTTTTTGCTGCTCCTTACCGCCTACAGATTTCCCGACTGTAAACACCAAAAACTTATTAAGAAGTTCTCTTTACCACAACACCTTTATCTAGATCATAATATCATATGCTTCCTGAAGACTTTGTCGGATTATAAGCAGGTCAAGTTTTAGAAAAAGTTTTAAAGGGTGGGTGATTTATGTATGGAGGACGGGTAGATGCTAGATCGCGGACTTGAAGAATTTGAAGTGTTGAGTCGGAATGCAAGGGCAGACTCGTAGTTCATGGAAGTCAACCACTTTCAAAAGGACGACCGTAATAAATCCAAATATTGACCTTGGTCCTTACTACTATTTCGATCCTAGCGAGGTAGACAGTCTAAAGACACTCTGATACCTTCTGTCCGAGACACAGAAGACAGCAGTTGAATCCGTTCCAAGCTCCCACGGTCGCCGAGCCACCGGATCTGAGAAGGAGTCATGACAAGAGACATCCATCGTTCGATCAATTTCGATCCGGACTACATCAACTCCTGAGCAGTTGTACACTCCTTCTGTTCTCGAGAACAGTAACACGACGCCTCATTTCCGTAAAATGTCCGTCGGGGGGTAGTAGCCGAGACCATGACTCCCGAGGGAGGAAAATGTACCTCCCGTGGGTTACAGATAAAGCGGACTAACCAGATAGAGATGGACGAGTTGATAGCCCGGTACTTTGGTCGGGGTCTGCAATGGTGTCAAGTTCAAACAAGGTAAATGGCAAGGACGTGAGTTCAGAGTTGAGTTGGTTGACTTTGGACGTGGTTTCCCGCATCAATCCCTATTATGTTTGTGATTCTGTGCGGAAAAAAGCACGGTCCTATTGTATTCAAAATTGAGATGGCTTTTTTTTTTCTCGCCTGAGGATGAGCCATGCGGGGGTTTTTCTTAATCAAGAAGAAGCCACGCCTTACTTCCTCTTGGTATCGTTCGCCAAAAAAAAAGAGCAAGAAAGAGAGAAAAAGAAAAAGGAATCGCGAGGCGAGCCATAAGATTCCTCTACTAGATAGTAGCCAGCGCTAGAATCAGCCAAAGCCGACTTGTGTCCGTTCATCAAGAGTCTGCACTTTCACCCTTCAGAGCGAGGCAGAGAGACGGGACTATACTCAGAGTGCATCGCATCCTGCCTCCACCGCAGTTCTGCATTGGTCATCTCCAGGGGCCTATTGCCTCTCCTTCCAGACAACAGACCCCGATCTATACATGTAATGGAGCGTGCCACCGCACACGCACATCGTTTCCAAAGCATAATCGACCATACTCTCGCCTGCCGACCAACAATTCCATGGCAGAATGGCTTTCCAGAACTTCTTCAATCCCTGCCCTGCCTCGAGATGAAACCCTTTCCATTCGTTGGCTGAGGGGAAGGAACCCTTATCGTCGCCTCTTGGCAATCCTGTGATCTCTCTCCAGCCCGGATCGGGAACTGGGCTCTCTGTTCGGCGAGATCACCGTGACGAGCTTGTCAGACGGAAGGATGCTAGCTCAGTTGTACTAGACTTGTAGACTAGCTAGTCGCAACCAGTAGTCATTGTTCATACTGTCGTGACTCCGCTAGTGATGCACTTGTAGTCTTGTACTACCCTTCAGTCGGGTACCACCTTGGAGGGTGGGACTCAGTACGCCATTACCTGGTGGGCTGGTAGTACTTAGTTTGAAGTGAGTAACCTACATGGGGGGCCATGGGCAGCTCATGTCTGACATAAGCCTTGCTGTGTGGACGCCACGCCGGTAGAGTTTCCATCAAGACATCTTGGCAAGACTCCTCTCCCGCGCCAGAGCCGTGTGCTTTTATTTATTTTTTTTGGGTTGTCGTGCAAAGTTGCGATTCACTCTTGGGTCTTGCGCGAAGAGGCCCGTGGGGAGAATGTGGGGACCTTGTCAAGCCCAGCTCAGGCTTGGACTGGAAGTTCTCAATGTGGAGATGGAGCTGGTGGGTGCAGCCCTCTCACATGGACTGGGGACTGTTTGATTTTCCATGACCGGATCATCCGACTGACTTTGTTCCGGGATTTAGGAAGTGTTGCTGAGTAATAGTAACACAGGAGTCAGTACTCAGTAACTCACGAGTCACTACTCACTTACTATTTAATACCGAGTACTGACTCCGTGCTACTTAGTCTCACTACTTGGTATCTTACTACCGTTGAGAAAGAGTCATTGTTAGTGGTTGATCCTCACCTCTAGGCTCTTTCTCTCCGCTTTCTAGAATACCGAGATAGAGCCGATCATTCGTTCTATAGAGTTAATTACCGTAAGAGACTCTAGGGGTGAATGTCCAACAATACCTCCCTTACAGGTAGGCCACGGTACCTCGTGGGACTGGGCTCCCTTCTATCTGGGGCTTGGGCATGGTCATATGACCGGGCAGCCACCAAGTGCACGAGACAGAAATGGAGCTTTCTCACCCGAAACATGTCCCGTTGTCCACAGCCCTGATTCAACCAGGACCGGTGACGGACCGAGTCTAGAGGCGTCGTTTGTGATGGGAGTTTTGCAGTCCCGAGTCCGGAATGTTTCCATCTTTGAGGAGCACCGTGATATATCTTTGAAGAATGAAGGCGTGATGATCTACATAGGGTGACTCATTATGAATGTTCCGATGAGTGCACTCCTCGACTCGGCACTGTATGTAGATGGTAGTCCATGATCCATCTTGGACTCAACAACAATAGATGATGAATATGTATGTTGCGGTCGGTAGATTCGGTACCAATCATCAGATTCAACTCTGGTCGGCTGCTGTCCGAACTCCATGCACCCACCAGGCACCGAGCGGCACCGGTCTTTCCTCCCCCCAGCTCCATATGTTCCACCCGCGGGCTTTCTCTTCTCTCCACACATATTCGTCATCCAGGAGACTGAGAGGAGAGGGCGAGTCTTAGTAGAAGGCAGCTGATCCGGCGAGTTGAGATTCATCCGCAATTCAAATGTACTTTGACGGGGTTGGTTTTCCATGGCTCAGTGGTCAGCGATCTTTCAGTGCCGTGTTATTCGCAGACATTGAGCCATCTCAGCACAGGGCCCTTCTACACCGTGGAATGCACGATTGGCATCACGCAACATCGATCACGCGGCACTGTAGTAGTCGTAGCAGTAGGAGTAGTCGCGACTCTAGTGTTGCAGACCGGACTTCCAAGCAGCTTCTCTAAGCGAGACATTCATCATCCATGACCCAGACACGTTCCTTGGTTCCTTGGTTCCGTGGGATCTTCCAGCCGCGCCCAGAAGCCCGGGGAATGGGAGAAGGCGGCCCAAGCCCATGACTATTACTCCAAAGGGAAATTGGATCGAAGACTGGATGACTTCCTTTGTCCTCGGCACTGGCTCCTCCTCCCGCTCAAGCCTTTCTGGGCGGTCCATCTTCCGTGAGATCCTACGCGGCCCAGTCCTGGTGTAACTTTCCACTTTCCCCTCTCTTCCCCCGGCTTGGAGCTCCACTTTTCCCGCTGACTCTGGTCGAATCAGGAACGAGAGGAACTCCTCTTCGGTTAGACCCGAACCAGGGGCGGAACTATCAGATGGGTTCCATTGGATCACTGGGCCTTTCCATCGGTTCAGCCCGATGGAGACCCAAAAGGTCGTGTCGGGTTCGAGGACGGCGCTCCCGAGTCAGTCAGCGAGCCGATGCTCACTGGTCACTGCCCACTCCCAACTGACCAACATGGAACTTTTCCTTTGTGCTCTCGTCAGACTCGTGGGCTGATGCAGCTGGCCGGATCGGCCGGCATCAGACGGACGATGGTTGGTTCCGTATTGTTCAACCCCGACGAACAAGTCGACCAGTTCCGGCCTTTGCCTGCGGATTGGCGACAGCAAACCAGGCCCCTCGGTCTCTGTGATGCCCCCCCGCCCCCCCCCCTCTCGTCCCGCCTCTCTGCTTCTCATCTGCTTCTCCTTCCTCTCATCTCGACTCGCTCCTTTCGTCTCTCAGGCCTCCCGACCGGGTTTTGCAGACCCTCAGAATGTATCATCGAAGGAGCCACCGCCAGAGTGGAGACGAGCAGGTGAGGAGTGCTCACGGCTCACGGCTCGCTGCTACGAGACAGGCTCGACCAAGATTCGAGGCACCACCACCGTGGCCCCTACAGGACTCAGTACTCACTGACTCAGTACTCACTCACACCCGTCATCACTCCCCCGGATCTTCCCAGATCTTCCTCCCCCCGGTCACTCCTGCTTCCTGCTGCTCACCGAACCCCTCGAATCGGGTTGGTGCTGAAGTGTCCTACCAGTTCCTCCCTCTCTGGATCTCGGGGTGTCACCCGTTTCCTTGTACCCCGTGGGACCCCAGACCCCAGACTCCAGACTCCAGAACGTAAAGGGATTGTGTGACAGTGCCTCTTCCCCCACGCAAAGGCCCTCGGCTCCCCGAGATGTGAATGTCAGAACCGAAGGCGTTGGGCGGATCCCGAAACTCTGTCCCACACGGCATTCTTGAGTCTCACAGCAGATGGGAAGACATGGTCTTGGGCACTGCAAACCGAGCCCGTCAACTGACCACCGGCCTTCCCAGTTTCTGCTTTCCCTCTTGCCTTTTCTTGGACACGCCGAACCCTGCGGATTGGCTCATGGGCGCCTCCGTCCCCCTCAGCCCAGGTGGGAGCGTGTGCACCACACGGATATTCTAGAATGTTACCCTCCTGGGATGCGCTCCCGGGTCCCTCGTAGGATTCTTTCGTAGGAGTTCGATGCAACTTTGCCTGTCGGACGACCTTGGCATCCCGACGAATCATGCCGGATCGCAAGACAAGAGCCTCTCCAGTCCTGTCTGCGGCCGCGCAGATGGGAGTCGAGGGTCCGGTAGTCCAGTCGTCCCGCGGGAGGGACTATCCTTCGCCCCCCCCCAGCACGCTTCGGCTTTGAGTGCCACTTGCCGATGGTGTGGGCACTGGGCAGAGCATCAGCCCGCGGCCGTCAGATCAGCTCATCCTCTCCTCGCCGAGTTCTGGCCCGCGTGTGACTGATCTCGGGCCCATCCATGTTCCACGATCCACCGTTCACGTGGATCTGATTTGATGAGCGATGATAAATGTCCGTCTCGGTTCTGGGGGAACTTCCCAGAACAGACAAAGCATCGCATCAATGGCCCTCCCCCCACCCCTCTCCTGAACCGAGCTCAGGACCACGTATCACTGCCCGAGAAAAAAAAAGGGTACCGGAGATGATGCGTGTGGAATCTCCCTCAGATCGGGAGATTCTTGCATGCGGCTTCGTGGTGGCAACCCGAAAAGGCGCGCGCAAAACCTCGTCGACATCGGTCTAATATCGGTCAAGCAGGGCAATTAGGGTTCTGAGGTCGTACAGAACCTAGCGTGCCCTTCAACCCTGTCGGTCAGCGCTAAGCAGGGATTGTAGAGGAGCACAGAGAAGCACTCTATCTTTCCCCTCCTGAGACCAGTAGATTCTAGATACCCGCTATTCAGCATGATTCTCAACCGGGAGGTTCCCAATCTTGTGCGATGCTGGACAGTCTTGATCGTCGTCTGCTCGTAGCAGACGGTGTGTCAACGATGGAGATTTCCACCTATCTATCACCCCTCAACCACGGCTCTACTCACGCCCCCAGCGCCAAGTCAACGCCGACGCGTAGGACCAGACGGCTTCGCTGGGAGCCACTAAAGCTTAGTGGCGCTCGCTAGCGTTGGTGCACCGGTTCGACCAAGATATGGTTTGAGGAGGTCTCGAACAGCAGTAGTGGACTACCACTACTACTGTAGCAGTTAGTAGTTGGTCCTGGAATAGTGTCCTGACGCTGTGCATCGCCCGTGATCATGCGCATCACTTCCGAGTCTAGCCTTGTTGGGAGGTCAAGCGTGCGTGCGAGAAGTCTGTGCTGGTATCGGCCATCCTTGTTGGTTCGTAACTGCACGTCTCCGGGGGACCCCCAGCAGACGTGATGATTGGAGCCCATCCCGATGCAGAGCACGGAGCAGATTCCCTCATCCGGGGAAAGTGTGTCTGGCATGATTGGCGCTAGACCCCGGAGAGAGAGAGAAAGAGAGAGAGAAGACAGGGAAGTGCGGGACGGAGAAGTCAGAAGTGCAAGGGAAAATACGAATGAAAATCCAAAAAAAAAAAAAAAAAAAAAACACTAAACAGAGTCAATCGAATGTTAACCCGAGCATGAGCACGAGAGGGATGCGAAAAAAGTCAAAACAGTGTGGGGAAAGAGCAAGCAGCTACTGCAAAGAGGTAGAATGGCACACACTGACTACTCCTAAACGAGTGGTGCCTGGTTTTGTGTGTGTGTGTGTGTGTGTGTGTGTACCAGCCCCAAAGTAGATTGTCATCTCAACTATATAACCCACGCTGACCTGCCCCTCGCCCAACACCTGATCTTCCCCAGGCTCGTCGATCACTTCTCAGTTGTGGTATCTTCCCTCCCACACTCCCTCCTCCTCCATCGACAGTGCTCATCTATCCATCCATCTGTATCTCCACCACCCAGTGAACAACTTCCAGCGCGCAACAACAAGATGGCGATCAGTCAGTCGGTCGTTGGCCGTGCCAACGCCGAAAAGGCTCACGGTCTGATGGGTATGCTGCAGAACCCCTACGTCTTCATGACTTGTCTATTCGCATCCCTGGGATGTATCATGTACGGTTACGATCAGGGTGTCATGGGTCCCGTCCTGGTCATGGAGAACTTCAAGAACCACTTCCCCTACTTTGACGGCTCCACCATTCAGGGTTGGCTCGTGGCCTCCCTCGAGCTCGGCGCCTGGGCCGGTGCTCTGATCAACGGTGTTCTCGCGGACCGCATCTCACGAAAGTACGCCATGATGGTGGCTGTCATCATCTTCACCGTCGGAACTGGTCTGCAGACCGGTGCCCAGACGCCGGCCTACTTCTTCGCCGGTCGTATCATCGGTGGTGTGGGGATTGGTATGTTCAGTATGGTCATCCCCCTCTACCAGGCCGAGATTGCGCCTCCCGAGCTGCGTGGTTCGCTGGTCTCGCTCCAGCAACTATCCATCACCATCGGTACCGCCATCTCCTTCTGGCTCGACTACGGTATGCAGTTCGTCGGTGGCAACAAGTGCAACCCCGAGGGCATTGCCAACCCTTACCTCCCCGACAACTCCTACAACTCGGCACAGAACCACGGCCACACCTGTCTCGGCCAAAAGACCATTGCCTGGCGTCTGCCCCTGGGTCTGCAGATCATCCCTGCCTGGATCCTCTTCTTCGGCATGTTCTTCTTCCCCTTCTCCCCCCGTTGGTTGATGATGAAGCACCGTGAGGAGGAGGCTCGCGCCGCACTCTCCAAGCTCCGCCGTCTCCCACCCCACGACCCTCTGCTCCAGGCCGAGTTCCTCGAGATCAAGGCGGCCGTTCAATTCGACGAGGAGACCGAAGCCGAGCTGGTTGGCGCCGGTGGTGCTCTCGCCCCCTGGAAGGCTCTCTTCGCCCCTAATATGTTCAAGCGTCTGGTGCTCGGCTGCGGTACCATGATTTGCCAACAGTTCACCGGTATCAACGCCGTTCTGTACTATGCTCCCCAGATCTTCGGCAGTTTCGGTTTCTCTTCCACCAAGACCACTCTCTTGGCCACCGGTGTCACCGGTATTCTGCAGATCATCTTCACTCTCCCCGCTGTCGGCTTCCTCGATAAGTTTGGCCGTAAGACTTTCTTGATCGTCGGTGCTACGGGCATGTTCTTGTGTCACATTGTTGTGGCTGCCGTCGAGGGTGTCTACAAGCCCCAGTGGGACAAGAATGAGGGTCTGGCCCAGGCTCAGGGTTGGGTTGCGATTGCTTTCATTTGGCTGTTTGCCGTCAACTTTGCCTACTCTTGGGGTATGTTTAACGCCTTCTCTCCTTCCGTCTCGTCCTCCACGATCACGCAGAATATGCTAACATTCCCTTCTTTCTCCACTCACTAGGTCCCGTCGCATGGGTGTTGACCCAGGAAATCTTCCCCAACAGCCAGCGTTCCCGCGGTGTCGCCATCGTCGCCTCCACCAACTGGATGTTCAACTTCATCATCGGTCTGACTACCAAGGACATGCTCAATTCCATGAAGTACGGCACCTACATCTTCTTCGCCATCTTCAGTGCCCTGGGTGGTTTCTTCATCTGGAAGTTCGCTCCCGAGACCAAGGACAAGACGCTCGAGGAGCTGGATATCTTCTTCGGTGGTGCCAAGGAAAGCATTGCGGAAGCCGATCGTATCCGTATGGAGCGCATCTATGCCGACCTGGGTCTGGCTGGTGTCGAGACCGTCGAGGATTTCAAGGGCGAGAAGCACCCCGTCACTCAGGAGGTTGAGGCCACTCACCACGCTTAGATAGGTGTTGGATGCCTTCGTAATGGGTTGAAGTGTTTTTTTACCTTCTTTTCGTTTTTGAGATACCTTGGGGGCGGCGAGATGGAAATGTTCCCGGGTTGATGGAATGGTGGCTGTGACGGAGGGGTTTTTTAATTACTGACACACGTCGCCACGAATGTAATGGATGAATATGAGATGGTGATGCATCTTGACGTTTTCAGAGACCTGATACTTAACAATCACTTTCTCGTAGAGCTGTAGCCATGATGCTTTGCTTTTACTACCTCAGACTCATACGCGCCCGAATCTACAGAATTATTCCACCATCAACACACTACCCAAACCACGTATGGAAACTCGCAAGGGAAACCTACTACATCAATAGACTTCATTCTCGTGTCAACCCCCGGGTGACGCACACCCAGACGACCAAGCCATTCTAGCGCCCCCACCACTCTTTCATTCAAGAGTCCTCGCCATCTTCACGTATCCCATAAATATAGTACATGACTATATACCCATGCCCTGGACAGTGAGCACCGCACCACAAACATCAACCACCCGACCCCCACAGGCTGTGAAGTCTGGACCTCTCCACATACGCATCCGTATCCGCATCCGCATCCGCCTCCCCACATCCCCACACCCCCACGCCCTTCAGGTCGGGGACAGCCGATCGAAGCATGCAGCCTTTGAAGCTGGTGCCGGAGTTCTCCCGTACAGAACCTTGGACTCCACCGCGGCTACTGACTTGCCCGAGACCTGCTTACTGGAAAGATGGGTCGCTGCGTATGCTCGATACTCGGGTGAGTTGGTGAGATGAGAGTGATGAGTTACCGGGTTTCGGGCGGTGGGTCGTCGTGTGGATGTGTTTTCACACTAGGACTGCCCAGGGACAGTGGATTGGAATTGCGTGGGAATGTGTACGACGCGATGGGGGTAGGGATTTTGAGAGAGATGGAGAGGGTCGAATATTTGATGAAGGTACATATTCTTCCAGGTTCAAGCTGAACGTCAGATAGACTGTCGAGATTATCGAACCGGTCGTGGGGATGGCTGGTGACTTGTTCAAGTCTGCTCATTATGGCGTTATATGCGTGGATGTGCAAAAGTTCGAGGCAAGGCTTGTGAGTTTTGCTTGAAGCGTGATCATGGACCATTGACGGGTATGGATCCTAGCTGGTGAGACTCAGAATAATTGGAGTTAAGGTCTGAATGGATAGATCCACCCTTGTCACGTTCTCCCGTTCTATATCAATCAATAGGTTTGGACCTAGTGAGATTCATGTATGGTTAACAAGAAATTCAAGCCGCAGAGAGTGCTTAGGAGAAAATGTCAGCTGGGTGTTTGCCAGTCTAGCTTAAGAATTATCTCTCGAGCGTTACTTGACTCTCACTCGACTCTCATTGAGATTCTTGGGCACCATGAAGTCTTGCCTTCCCCTGGAAATGCGTTCGTGTCTATTCATTATGTTGAACATTCAATACATCTGAAATATTATCTACTGCCTGCAATATTATCGTACCCGAGTGATGAATACTCCATAGCTGGAACTACAATTCTGCTGCTACGATCAAAGTAATACTCGAGCATCGTATGCTGAGAAGACGCATGGAGGATAGAGTAAGGCAAGGGATCAAACAGATCTCTGTAAGTCTCTCCTACAGCTACTGCATTGGTTATCACCTCCCGATCCTGATATTCATACAGGTAATCGAATCGGCCAGCCTTTCGCTTGACTCCCGTATCTTCTTTCTCTTTTTTTCCCTTTCCGACAGAGGAGATTCAAGTCTGACCTCATCTTCAACCGTTCGAGACAGACAGCTGCCTACCTACATTTTGGCCGGACACATATTCCCATACCTATTCCTTTGAGTCATTTGGTGCTCCGACTCTGACTGGTCTTCATCTGCGTCGACAACTTCGGATTTGGCTCATTTCGAATATCATTTTAGCTTCTTGAACCATCTCCGTCTAAGACGAAGATTGCTTCATCCGGAGCAGACCTATTCTCTGACCTGAACATGTAATCACCTTGTCTCGTCTTCCCTTCCATCCTTTTATCCTATTCTTGTCGACATTCTTACTTTTTGTTTACTGACACCTGCTTCAGCAAATACTTACATCGTACCAAGCCTCACAAGTCACTGGGCAATTGACTACAAAAACATCTCTATCGCTACCCAACCCCCAAGCATATTCCACAGCAGACACGCCTCACGAAGAAAAGCAACGCCCTCGCTGAACCACCCAGTCCACCAAAAACCAAAAACCATTAGACCAGGCTGTAATTGGAAGGCCCGTGAACCTCCAACCTATCTCACATCATCGTAATTCGCACTGCAACACATGGAGAAATCATTCGCGGACACGGATCGAAAATACGGGTTCACAGGTGATATGTCCATTACCCATCTATGGCAACAGTGGACCGGTCTCCGATTCGAGCGAGGTCATCCGTCCGATGCGGAGAGATTCGTCTACGACTTCATCCAAGCGAAGCGAGACCTCGAGATGGAGCTCGGTCACTCGGTCCCGGCCTGGGTTGAACACCACCAATTCATGAGTGCGGTCTCGGCCTCTCGGGCCGGAGGCGTTCTTCTCCAACGGCCCCCGGCGCAATCGACGGGTGGTCTCGGCTTCCAGAATCTCAAGAAGGGGGAGAAAAACATTTATACTGCGTTTCTGAAAGCTTGCTGGTAAGCAGCTACGCTCGATGTGAACTAGATTGGTTCACTCCATGACTCATCGCCGTGTGTGGTGAACGGCGCTGCTCTTTAGGATGATGGACACTAATTTTATACTGGATCTCGCGTGGCTTTTCGTTTTGTTCCGTGGCGTCATCTAACCGGACATGGAGAAGTTGGCGTTTCCAATAAGGATTCCAACATGGACTTCTTTTCGTCGTATTACTGCGAGTATGGATGCATGCTTTTTGCAGTGAATGATACCGAGCTGCTCGGTCCTTTTCAGCATTTCAAATCAATACGTTGCATATCAGGGTGCTCATTGCGTAATGGCTAGACACGATCCTTCAACTAGCTTGGATCCAGCAGCGGTTACGCCTATTTTTTGGCCGCGGAGGCGAGTCTCCATGGGGAGGCTTGCTCTTGATACTGAGATCCATTACGCGGATTCTTGGCTGATTACGGCTTAGAAAGTAATTTGAAACCTAGAAGACATCGCTCTGGATACTTGGCTGAGTGCTCGGATGAGTGCTCCTTTCTTAAGAAGATTGGCAGGAGTACACCCTCGCATAAATTGCGTCGAATGTATGCATCAGAGAGGGCCTCGAGGCAAGATATACATATATCATTTCACCCATTGCAGATGAATCATCTGCTGAGCATAGGATGCTGTTTCCCCGGAGTTGCTTCACACCCTGAATTCAAGTGAGGCCGTTTCACCAAGATAGGTCTGCCTTGAATCACATCTCAACCTGTTTTGTTAAGACATTGAGTCATCGCGATCGTCAAGCCTCATGTCCATCGCTCGCCTGTGGTTTGGTTCGGAGACAAGACGCCTGATCATGACTAGTTTGACGCTAGGCTTTGGAGTTCACACCCTTTCTAGCCAGCGTTGATTGTAAGAGTCTTTCGCGCAATGCGTACGTGATTTCATCGTGTTTTGGCAGATTTGCAATAGCGATCGGCGTGAGACCGAACAAATTCGTAGCACGGACGTCGGCACCCTCATCAAGTAGCATCCTCACAAGAGCTTTATTGCCGTTCTTGGTGGCTATATGAAGCGAGGTATCACCGTTGGTGTCAGAAACTTCGATATTGACTCCAATTTCTAACAATGCTTTTACAACATGTATGTTACCGGCTTCGACTGCGATTAGAAGCAATTTCTCCCGTTCGGGCGCTGTTGTATTTACCAAGTCGCAGAGTAAAAGATTCACGAGTTCCTCGTCGCCGTGCATGGTTGCGATCGCAAGTGCAGTTAGGCCGGACGAGGTCGTAGCATGTGTGTTGGCGCCCTTCTATTGTGAGTTGCTAAATGAAGTGGAGTCCAGCCTCTATAGTCGGTGGTCTCAAGATCGGCGCCTTGGGAGACAAGCAATTGCACGACTGCTTCATGACCCTTCTCAGTTGCGATGAGAAGCGGAGAATGAAACGATCCAAGCTCCTTAGTGGTCAAATAGCGATTATTGTCGGTACTCTCTGCGCTAGTATCGACTTTAGGCACCATGACTTGGGCACCTCTAGCGAGCAGCACTCTGACGAGTGCCTCGTTGCCATCCTCAACGGCTAGGAGAAGTGGGCTCATGCCATTCATACCACGAGCTTCTATATCAGCGCCCTTGTCAAGCAGCGCCTTCACTATGACGTCCAATCTAAGCTCGGTTGCCAAGCAAAGGGGCGTCATGAGAAGACGATCTACCCAATAAGGATGACGAGTACTTCTCCAATAGGTTGAGTGGTCATTTGACCATCGCGCTTCGATGTTGACGCCACTTTCAATGAGTTGCAAAGACAATTGCACATTCCCATCAGCGATTGCGAAGAGCAAGGGCATATTGTGGATGCACTCCTCTCTTCTGTCCATTCTTGCGCCAGAGTCCATGAGTAAGTGAATGATCTGCTGGTGGTCTTGGCTGAGTGCTAGCCAGAGGGGGCTGCCATGTGATTTAGACACGGCGTTGATATCCAGATCTCGTCTAGCGAGAAGTGCGCGACAACATTCAACGTCTCCATTGAGTGCAACATGATGCAGAGCCACGAGCCCATCAGCATCCCTTTGGTTCGGATTGCACACCTCAAGCAGCTTTTTCATAATTGATACATTCCGAAGTTTGACGGCAACGTGAAGCGCAGGTATACCCTTCCCAATCAGTGGTAGGTCACAAATCACTTGCATGTAAGATGTCACAGACATTGCGATTGAAAGTAGGGGTGCATGCTGCTCGATTACGGCCCAGCTAAAAAGACCATGATAGCGCGAGGCTTGCGACTGTCCGCCAGAGACCCAAGGGTGAAACTTCCAGGTGTCGTCTGTACATGTTGCGAGCCTAACAAATTTCCCCCAGACGGGTGAATTCGGGTGTAAATTTCTCGTTTGTGACGTCCAGTTTTTGATAGCATAAGTCAGGAAGTTATACTCATCTTCATCTGGTCGAGTGGTTGATCGTACGGATCGAAGAGGCAACGAAACACGGCGCATTTCTGTTCGAGACTTTGGAAAAAAGCGTGATGCGATTGATTTGTAAATAGCATCTCGAGCGAACAGTATCGGTGGTGTCATAACGACGCTTTCTTCACAACGAGAGGCGATTTGTAGATTAAAGTTCGGCAAAGAGAGGTACGCGACGCACGTTTCTCCGCATTCTGCCACGCCTTGAGCATGGGTCGGATAGCCCTCGATCAACTTTTGGCTCCTGGCCTTATCAAGATATTGCTTCACTGAGAAATGGGCGAAGCGCACAAGACCATCTGTAGGTTCAACCACAACGAGATTCGCACAGCAACCGACCACAAAAAAATCCAAAGGCTTTTTGGAGGGCGTCCATGTGGTATCATCGATTGAGAACCCAATGACTTCTCGTAGTTCGTCAATGTGAAGCGGGTTGCTTGCAAAGCTGACCCACTTGAGGACTTTCAAAACGCGACTGTCCCCGCGGTCTATCCTTGACAAGCATCGGCCATATGTATCTTCCAAGTCTTTGGGCAGATCGGCAATCGTCGACCTGATGTCCGCATCTGTGAAGCAGGTGTCCCAGAGAATCTCAATTTGGAGAAAGACCCACAAAAACCTAGAGATTATCAGCAAAGCCACTTCGGTGATGGAATAAGGCGGAGTACACACATCCCAGATGATTCTTCCAGGAGCCGTTGCCGAACCTCCTTCAGTAGCAGGGGATCGTCCGTCAGTCTTCGGTACAACATCTTGTCTTCAACACTGCTCTCAATGTAGGTCTTGATATCCTGCGTGACATTGAGCGACGTCGTGATGTGAAGAATCCCTGGCATGATTGTATCAATGTTGATAAAACCAGCCACTTGGTCTCGACTTAGCAACATGATGCGTGATTTGCTTCGGGTACCGAATTTCACAAGGCATAATCTGAGAACTTTCAGTAGAGGCATTGCATGCTCTCGACCTAGAGCATCGATTCCGTCTACTACGAGAATGACCTCTTCCAACGGACGATAACAATTGCTAAACAACTCTGCCATGTCGTCAAAGTCTGGTTTAAGTCTTTTGGGCCCAAAGAATCGATAAAGATCTCGGGCAATGTTGTCTGGCAACGTGAGATCTTTCCTGAGAAGATATCCACATAGCTGTTTCACGAGACTGGAGAGAATAGTGATCGAATCAAGCGAGGCAGGAAAATCTTCGATACAGTAGAAGAAAGCCGTCGGAGTTTTGAGGTCGTACTTGGCTGCGTCTATGACAGCAGATCTGAACAGAATCATCAGCAAGTATATAAGAAGACATCATTTCGACCAGGTAACGAACGCGATCATTGTCTTCCCAGATCCAACTGAATTGCAACAACGAATCAGTATCGGTTCAAACCACGGTCGTTGAGACGAGAAGCTTACTGATCCCTGAACACCAGAGGCTGTTCGCTGTCTTTTCATTAAACCACTGCTTGAAATGCGGATGATCAAAGATCCACCGAGTTGTGCCAATCAACCGCTTACGACTCAGTCTTTGGTGCATCCTCTCATGATCATAGTCTGATACATCATCAATGATCTTCTGAATATTTCGACTCTCTGAGACCTGTTAGTCACCGTAATCTTGAATTGTAAGGTGATACTTGTACGTACTATATTTGGTGACTTCATTGGGCAGAGAACCAAAACCCCCTGCTCTTGGCGTACGTCGAGAGACTACAGTAGATTTACGTTAGCGCGCGATCTCGTTACAACTTGATTCCAAGACAAGTTTCATATGAGTGGTACCTTCGGCTAGCATGGCATCATTCACTTGACTTGGTGGAATGACTGAGAGAATCTCTTTGCCATAAGCAGCAGCTGTGCCCGCAGCGTAATTTTGCCATTTCTTGTTTTTATGAGAGTCGCAGTAGTCGCATATGCCGCGGATCACCAGACATGGAAAATTGTCCATCAAACCGGCTGCTTCCATCTCAAAGCAGAGAACGCCAAGATCCCCCGCAAGCTGATCTCTACGTTTCCCATGCTTCATGACCTGATTGCCAGAGGCAATAAGACCATAATGAATGACTGGATTGTGATCATCGCGAGTCGAGCGCGAGATGAGCATCGCCGGATCACAATGGCGACAATCCTCAGAATCACAGTCAGAAACAGGATGATCGTAGTTTGACGCAAAAAGACGATCGCTTTCTTGACCACAGTATGTCAAATCCTTCTTTGTAGCGGGGTACTTCGCGATCGCGTCGGAGAGTATTTGAGGCATGCGGCTTGGTTCTAATTTATGCTCGGCCTGCAGCCGCGCAACGGCTGTCAAAAGAACAGATGGTGGTTTGTTCAGTGTGCCGGTGAGTTCGAAGCGCCCACCAGCCACAGTCTTGCCATAATCGTACTGAATAACGCCTCCAGTGTCTCTTGTTGGCTTGCTGACGACCACATCCCCCAGCCTGATATCGTTTGATCTGCTCGGAACTCCTCCCCCAATACCAATCATCAGACCAAATCGTATGGAATCAAAGGTGGACAACATTTGCGTGGCGACATTTGTGGCAGCTGTCGTGCCGTAGACGCCTGCAGGAAGGCAAGCGATCGCAACGCAATGATGGCCTATTCGGCCAAGGATGTAGGAGTTTGTGTCACTTGGCTTGGCCGGTAGGCTTTCGTGTCGCTCGTCCAGCATTGCCGCAACAGCGGCCATCTCCAAAGGAAGGGCACAAATGCATGCGACCGTATAGTCCTGGTGGCGACGTCGTTGTCTTGACGGCCCCCCATTTTGCCGAGCATCGTTTTCTATTCGAAGCCTTCTGCCATGACTGCTTCCTGACATTGGGATCGCATGTGAGACTTTTCAGGCTTGAAGTTCCGCTTGAGTCACGGATGTTGGAAATTCTTTTGTGTTCTGCGCCGGCTTGTAAGCAGTGACCGGGGGCGTGACAAGTCAGCCTCACGATACGACCGTGCCCTGCTATTCCCCGCTCGGGGTGATCTAACTGTAATTTCTGTTAGCGCCATGTCTGATCGGCAATTACTTTCGAAGTGCGAACAGGCCGCTCCGCCTCGATTCGTCTAGGTAGTAGAGGCGAGAGACGCTGCGTGTTGTCGAATGAACCTTTCGGATTCTAAAGGCACGGCCGATGATGATATTGAAATAATTGAAGGGGGCACGCCGGGCAAACGTCAACTAAGGTGTCTTTCCAGAAGAATAAAAATTCCAAGCAAATTGCCGGCCTCTGGATTGATTCCAGCAGGCTGCCGGTTGTCTGAGTGAGAATTGAGATCGTTTCTATTTCCGAGGGCGTATTGAAAGCGATATTATAGGACAAAAAACTCCAAAACCGTTTGTTTAAGTGAACGGGAACAAATCCATTCTAAAGCGCATCCCGCAATCAGAGAATCGAATTAGAGAAACGAGAAACATCCGAAGTGATGCTCGCGAAACACTGAGCTTTTCTGATCGACTCATACGAAAATCGCCAAGGCCACGGGAATAGACCAGAGTCCAGAAATGGCAGCCGAACGCTTGGTTGTGCCACCTTGCTATGGGGCCCGAAATTCCTGGCTAAATGCTGTGGCCGATATCAAGACGTGACGGGATGAAGTCTCGAGCACCATAACGTTTCCCGAGATCAGAGATTTCGCAAGAGAATCGACAATCTCGTCAAGTTCTTTCGATCAAACGCTGAGAAGTTTCGAAGATCGAGAAAGCTGCCCAGAGCGGTCGTCGCCATGGTATCTCGGAGGTTCCTAGAGCTGGCCTAGGCCGGTTCCACCTATTTGCCTGGGACATTTTGAGGTCGAGAAGTGAGAAATGTGTTTTCCATGGGCTTTCAGTCTTCACCTTCGTCTCTTCTTCCTGGGGAATCATCGTCGCTGCGGTCGCACTCGCGATCTGATTTTCCGTCCTCGTCGTTGCTGTCTCGATCAAGTTCCTCAAGCTCGTCGGCGAGAGGACTTATCCGCTCATCCAGCAAATCAAGATCTTCTAGCTGTTGCCGGGGAGGCAATTTCCATAAACTCGTGCCGCACACACGGTCTTTAGTCAACAAATCATCGATGAATTGATCAACATAGGTTAGGGTGAAAGAGTCCCGAACTCGGCGCTTGATTTTTCGATAATCGAGAAGTAGAGGCTCCAGAGTTTTGTACACCTCCACGGCGTCGAAGGTGAGTCGTACATAGAAAGCGGCGAGAACTCGGAGATATTTAAAGTCTCCGCGAGACCGCAGGACGCCATTATCAGGATTCTCACCGTCTTCATCACTGCCAGGATCGGAGAAGTTCAAGTATTCGAGGATGATGTCTCGGCTGGGGTTGAGCTGAAGAAGCTTGAAGGCAAGGCAGAGGAAAGGCGTAGGCTTCTCAGAGACTCCATAGGTACCGCCCACGCAGCTCAACTCCACTGCGCGATCACATAATGTTGCTGCGTTCAGTCCGAAGCATTGTTCTTTCCAGTAATAGGAGTCTGTGATCCGATCGCGCACGGCCTTTTCGAACAATGTGACCGGGTTGACGCCACGCACCAAGGGACCGGAGTATCCTCGGTTGTCGAGAAAGTTGCTGGCATCTGCACGGTGAGTAGCCATTTCGAGTCTCGGCGAGCGCGAGCTGGTCGAGAATTAACAACGCAAGAACGGGGAATGTGGCGTGTAGTGGTTTCGCGTGCGCGAACTTCGATGATCGCCCGAGCGCCAAGACTTTTCTTCAGCTTCGAGCTTATCGATAGTCGCGCTGCCAACCATATCAACAACGGCTGATGTCATGCACCAGACTGAAACCGTATCGCGGGTGACGGCCGAAGACACGCGACATCAAGGCGGGAGAGTGAGTCGGCTGGTGCCTGACAGGGCTGACATTCCGATCGCATCCATCTCTTCAATTCCATGTCAACGAATATTCTAGCATAATGGTGCTCCTCACAGCCTCAACGGTCTCGGCCATTGTGTCGATGGGCGTAGTGTGCATCTTTACTACGCTATTGTTTGTGTCCGGCTACGTCCTCCAGCAGAACTCGGTAAAAAATATTCAACATGCTCTACGAAAACCCCCTGATATGCCTGCTTATCAAGGGTATGGAGCGTCAGTCGGCAATCCCCTGCAGAAACGTGGTATATCTGCTTCGAATTTGAATCCAGCCGCAGAGCAAGGAGTCATTGGAGACAGTGGAGCTGATTCGTCCGAGGCGAGAAACAACTATGCATACTTGCAACTGCTGTCTAAGCCCGACCCTTCAGATATTTGCTCCGCTATTCTATTCTTCAAACGTCTCGCTACCAATGGCTCTGTTATCGCAGATCGGTTGTTCATGTACCCAGAAGTATGGGATCGCATGTTGGGAAAGAATCTAGGCGAAGCCAGCACGCTAGCCTTGGCTCTCTTACGAGCTGCCAGTATCAAATACGGAATATGGCTACTACCAATCGATATTAGTCCTGTGCTGCGTGCAGGATATACCATGTCCGACACAAAACTCTTGCGGCTGGGACAGATCCAATTTATGCAGTATGACAGTGTTCTTTACCTGCAATCCCCCGGCTTGATCACGGATGTCGATAGACTCGATCAAGTACTGCTCTCACACTCGCTTCCACTACTTCATGATTGGAATCGACCACAGTCCTACGACAATGAGGCTTGGGAACCTTCATCTCTGCGTCCAGATCGCGATGATACACTCCCACCTGTCTACCTTCTCACCGTCAACAACGTCGATGGAGGCCGTGTACAAACTCGGACTCACGTCCCGAAACCCGACGTGCCTGGATTCAGCAATCTTGTTGTCAGCCCGGCGGACTTTGAGCGATCAGCCGAGGTTCCTGGGTATGTTTATTTTGAAAACGACGAAGAAGGGCGTGTTAGGTGGGCGGGTAATTCACTATTTGGAGCTTGGCGTTCACAGCAACATGAGGTTTGCGGTGGGCTCGATTTCGATGGGGATGGTATTTACGAGCAATGATATTGATTTAGGTAACGGGGTGTTTGACTTCAATATAATTGAATGTCCTTTCCTTCCATGTTTTGCATATATTTGGGAGGAATCTCTGTGTTTCAAGGCGTTAGGATAGCATTATAACTCCCCATGATATCCAGGTTTCGAACTAGTCCAGGGATATGACGCAAGTGAACGGTTCTATATCGGCTTTTTCCCAAATTGGAAAGTTTCATAGCCCAGATCCCATAATCGTACAGGTCATTATCCAGTGCTGCGAGGCGTCTCTGGGAGCTCATCTCACTGCGGAGCACTGATCTCGTAGCCGAGGAGGACCTCAGTCGTATTACCTTCCCAGCCACGGTTCCCGCTCGTGGAAATCATGAAGCGGCAGGCATTATCCACAAACAGCTGGGAGATCGTTCCAGTTCTGTGGCCGGGGATAATCAAGAAAGGTACGGTCGAATGCCGAGAGGACTGCTCATGCCTCAAATCATACAGACGCAAGATGTCGTGAGAGGCACTGGGACTTTTCAGAACAGCTTTTTCAAGACTAAGAAGGCGGGTTGATTACTTACCAGACTAAATGGCGACCATTTGGCATCGCCTTGAGCGCTGTGACTGGCCCACTCCCTTGGGGAAACTTGAATGTACGTTCCGGCTCTTTCAGACCCTTGTGCAAACTGAACTCCTCCACGGTGCCGTTTCTCCGTCCTGCATAGATGTAGTTGCCATCAGGCGACCAGCATGCATTCATGCACCACGGGGGAACATTACGAGGTGAGATTCGCGCCACAGGATCAGGCTGACGTCGATCCCACACACGTATCGTGCCATCGATAGAAGCAGCGAGAAACGTCGTATCTGAGCTTGGTTCTTGCTCGGCTTGTGCAGGCTGTGAGAAGTTCAGTCCGGGTGGCTGAGCCTCCATATCTTCGGCGTGGGGCATGCCGTTAACAGCTGGTTCTTTCAGCGTGTTCGAACTGTCAGTGTTGAGTGTAGTTTGGTCGGCGATAGAGAGGTCAGGGTTGATGCTTGTGTCCTTAGACGTGTCTTGTTGCTGAGATCTCGTTCCAGTGGGCTGCGCTATGGTGCTCTCCACTTCGCCCGTGACGTTGGAGTCACCCATTACACCATTAGCGAGCGCACGACCGAATTCGTCATCTTCGTCCACTCCAAATACACCGCCTGATGGTTCGTTCCCATCACCAGCTCCTTCTTCTGCATCACCAAATAGCGAATCGGCGCCTCCAAAGAGAGAATCTGTGGGGGAACCCGCCTGCGGGTTCTCATTGGCGCCTACTTCGCCAGTGTCCTGGGTAGTGTCCATGGCATTGTAGGTGTCGTTGCCGCTGGCACCATAATTAGATGAGTATGTACCATTCACATGTGCGTAGTCCATTGTATCTGTTGGCACTGAAAGCGTCGATTCTGGGCGAATTTGGACCGCGGATATCTGACCAGCACTTGCCCCGAAAGCACGCCGTGCTTGTCCGTTGTTTAAATCCCAGTCGAACACACGTTTGTCCCAGCTTCCAGAAAGAAGCGACTTCTCATCGGAAGTGAGGCAAAGTGCCGAGACAGCAGATGTGTGTTGTCTCAGTTGGGCTATCTCTCTCCCTTCATCGTGACGAAGGGTCTGCAGCCGAATTGCGCCGGATTCCAGCCCTGTCAGTAGCCACAGACCTTCGCTTTGACATGCCAAAGAGTAGACGGGCGACAGACTATTACCGTCCATGTTTTCCCAATATGTCATGTAGACACCCGCTTTCACCACACTGTCCACGAACGGATGACGCTGCGCAACGGTCAACATGAGCTTGCTGTTGATCGAGTCTGCCCAATTGAACTTGCGCACGAACCCATCTGAGCCTCCGCTGAATACCCAACGCATGTCTGCGGTCGCCGTGACCGCATTGATCGACGTGCTATGGGGCGCAGCAGTAGTGGGAACAATATCATATGTTTTCGCATTGAGACACTCCGGCCGCACGCTTGGGTGGTAGATGGAGAAGGACTCAACTGCAGAGTTTGCGACGTTTGGAGGTGTGGTCATGTCGGTATTCCCTTGATCAAGTTGAGAATCCATAGCCGCTCCGTCTGAGGCCTGACTAGTGTTTGAGGGGCTTTCTGGATCTTGGTCGTGATCCTGATCTTGGTCTTGATCCTGATCAGCGTCCACATCACCATCTCCTTCGTTGTCCCCTTCCCCATCGTCGAGTTCCTGCATGGCGTCCTCCATCTCGTTATCCGAGCTACCGTCCTGGGAGCCTGAATTGATAGAAAAGGTCAATTTCAGTTTCAATCTTAGTATCTTAGCTCTCAGCCATTTAGAATAATTTGTGACGCACCTGCCAGGTCACGATCGTCCTCTTCCTCGAGCGACGCCATTGTGACGGGCACCGGAGCCACTCGTGGAGGTGTGGGGAACTCGGAGACACTAGCGAGCGATCTGATGGTCGCACGCAACCGTTACGCTCTAGCGGCTAGCGCTCTAAGCAGGAGTGGCTTTGTGCTTGGTTGAATGTAGAAATTTAGTTTGCTGACAGTGTCGTCAGGCCACAGAAGACAGTTGGAGAGAAGAGGAGATGCGAACGCGACGGACTGCAGAAAGCGGGCCGACGCCGATTGTTAGAATCGGCGGCAGAGCCGCTGGCCAATCACCATTGAAGCTCATAGTTCCCTTCTACATCTGCATTTCCGGTTCAGAGGCAGCGTATTTCGAGCAAAGCAAACCCAGCTACGTGATGGTTGCCTACAGCGTGGACTTGGTAGTAGGTCATATTTCCATATATTTATGTAAGCAAAAGCTCATTTAAGGGATGTCGCTGTGCTGCTTTACATAGTCGGAGGAGGGACCAAGCTACAAGCGGTACAAGGACCCACGCCTACAGTATTAGTACAGGTCCTCAGAACATACTTACTATTCAATCTGGGCTGCCCTTACGGAACATGAAGTTTTCATTTGGAGGCCAGAGAATTAAGCACAGTGGAGAGATATAGCATATGAGACATCTTTGAAGTAACATCGCAATACGTGGCCGAATCAATGCCCGATTGACCTAGTCATGTCGCAGAAAGTACTTAGCCCCTCATACATATACCCCGGTCGACCTCGTCTATGCGGTGTACTACTTACTAGCTAACCTACTGGCCTGTTACCGTATTAGTTGGAAGCCTTTTTGGGCTCTTTCAGATGCGAGTTGAATGTCCATCAACAAGTAATTGAAGCACCTCCAGCCGAAAATGCGCCCTATATCGGCAGTTTAGGGTGTCATGTCATCGTGTAGGAAGTTGAACTAGGAAGTAATTTATACGTTGAATGGGATTTCCCCTCATGTATTGATTACAAACGAGTTTTGACGGCAAGTGTACATGAGATTGCCATGTCTTTTATAGTGATTGCCGTACTTGTATGGTGTAATGAGTCATCATATTTAATTTGAGTCAACTGATCAACAAGTCGTCTATTGTTCTGTATCGAAAGCGTGCAAACTCCATATCCTCTAGAAGTTGAAACTTTTAGCTTTACTCACCTATAGCGGCGTTACCATCTTCATCCAAAGTGAGGCACGTCTTTGAGAGTGAATCGCAAGTCTTTCTTTTACATGCGCAAGCCCCTTTGCTTTCATCTCGTCTATTACCACAAATGCTAGATTCTTCATAGACCTATGGCTGATCCTGATTCGCCGAGGATCTGTAGTATCTTCTCAAATAAATAGTGCACCTGTCCATCATCGCTCTGCTTTCTGACCACATATCTATCGATATTCAATTTACTATAGTGACACGCGAAGCTTCAAGCTGACAAGCAATGAAAGATGTCAAACACTGATAGCAGGTCTGAAGGCTCTCGAACGCAGCCCAAATCATCCTCATTTCCTTCGGCTCACTTGGCCATACGCCAGTACTACGATGTTCCTATCAACGACACAACTCTCGCAGATTGGCAGCTCAAACCAGATCTACCCACAGTCGGTGAGATATTGGGCACCGATCATGAAGGAGAGGAATTCTTTATTGCGACAAATCACATCAATGGCCCATGGCCCTCCACTCAGCTGTACCTGGAAACCCATTATGGACTTCTCCGCGAGGATGCTACCGCCAACCTGCGCGATGCAGTTGCGTCGTTTCGAGAGCGGCCTGGTATGAAAGATAACAAAAACTTCGTCATCTATGAGCGGGTTCGTACTTTCGTACGAGAAATCCTTTCGATTGAATAGGCCAGAAAAACTGACAATGGCAGGTATTCTTCACCCACATCACTATGGCCCACCGAGGTATGGCATTTCGAGTCTGTTTCTCGACGAAGCGCGCAGGTCAGCCAATCTTATGGCGCTACTCTTCTCGTCTTTTGGCTGGCAAAGTCGTTGCATTGTCTCCAGCCTCAGACAAATTTTCGACCGAATGCGTGATTGCGGTTGTGGCAGCAAGACCCATGGAGGGTGTGGTCAAAACTCCTCCAGAAGTGGATCTTTACTTTGCTCAGACAGAAAACATCTCGCTTGATCCGCTGAAAGAATGGATCATGGTCGAAGGGCGCTCAGGCTATTATGAGGCACATCGGCACACCATGACAGCTCTTCAAAAACTGTCGAGAGAACGGTCTGTATCGACAGAACATTGCCCCTTGTCTGCCATACTTCTAACATTCTTTCCTACAGCTTTCCATTGAGCGATCATATCTGTGGTTTACTGAAGCAGATTGATGTGCCGGAGTACATTAAACATAATTCCGTCATGGATTTTCAACCTTTCGCATCCGACGGCTCAAGCCAGCCATTGGAGTATGACATTCAAAAAGGGCTGCCGCCGGGTTTGTTTGGGCATCTCAATCCTCACCAGCGAGATGCATTACGGCATATCTTGACAAACAAATTGCCCATAATTCAAGGGCCCCCCGGCACCGGAAAGACATATGTATCCGTGGCCGTTTTACAGCTATTGCTGGCACAAATGAAGCCTGAGGATCCACCCATTATAGTCGCAACTCATACGAATCATGCCTTAGACCAGATGCTCACTCACATAGCAAAATTCGAGCCGGGCTACATCCGGCTCGGAGGTCGAAGTAGGAATGCCAGAGTTGCCGAGCGGACCCTCTTTGCCATCAGAGAGAATCGAAAACCGGCTGTCCTGCCAACTGACCTTCTTCAGGGGGCGCGGCGTCGGCATAGAGCTCTTGTCAATGATATTATTCAAAAAGTCCTAAAAGGGCTTGACAGGCAAAGCGAGTCCAGCACCGGGGGTATCTTTGTTCATCACGGTCTACGTACTGAAGAGCAGCTCACAAATCTCGACAAGGGAAGCAGTGAATGGATAACTTCTGCTGGGAGGAGGCCTCCAGATCCGCTTGTCGCGTGGCTGGGACCTCAGGCTATTCTCTTTGACCAATTCATCTCACCAAGCCAGTTCAACAAGGCTATCGCGGACTATGATCAAGATTTTGAGCTGCTTATGAGTCTGGAGGAGAAAGACATGGTTGATAACGAGGGCTTAGAATATCTCAAGGGCAGAGTGGTCGACCTTCGGCGGGCCTTTCCTTGTTATGTCGGTCGAGTCAAATCCGTCCCGAATGAGGTCATGGAAAAATACTTGGAGCTGCGCGACATGTGGGAAATCCCTCGTGAAGATCGTGGCGCAGTGTACAAGAACCTGCACGGCAGACTGATTGCAAAGCTTGATGAGAGACTTCGGAGCAAAATGAATGCTTACATGGAGGTCAGCAAGAGGTTACAAATCCGCAAACTTGAGCGTGACTTTGAGATATTGAAGACCACCAAGCTCATTGGAATGACAACGACGGGGTTGTCAAAGTACCGAAGCCTGATATCCGCCCTTAACCCTCGGATGGTGATGATCGAAGAGGCTGCGGAGGTTTTAGAAGCTTCTGTCGCAGTCGCCTGTTTCGAATCTCTCGAGCATTTGGTGCTCGTCGGCGATCACAAGCAACTCAAAGGCAATTGTGCTTTGCACGACTTGGCCGGAGAGCCGTTCAACTTGGATGTATCAATGTTTGAGCGTTTGATTCACAATCATTTCGCCTTCGTGATGCTGAAACAGCAAAGGCGAATGGCCCCCGAGATCCGCCAACTATTGACGCCAATCTACGACGAGCTGCATGACCATGAGACAGTCACTTTGAGCGAGCCTGTTCCGGGCATGGGGGATGTCCGCCTATTTTTCTTCACCCACGTATGGCCCGAGGTGAACGACAGTTTGACGTCCAAAGTGAATGAGATAGAAGCTCTGATGGTGGTTGAGCTCTATACCTACCTTTGCGCGTCCGGAACCTCCAGCAAGGATATAACGATTCTGACTTTCTATAACGGCCAGAGAAAGAAGATATTGAGAACTCTGATGGAGAATGAAGGCGCGATACTTGATGGCGCACCTAATGTTGTCACTGTGGACTCTTACCAAGGCGAGGAGAACGACGTTGTCATTCTATCGCTCGTCAGAAGTAGAAGCAGCCAATCTGATGGCATCGGATTTCTCGGTGTCGACAATAGGGTCTGCGTTGCCCTCTCTCGGGCCAGACGCGGGCTTTACATGCTGGGCAATGCAGGTCACTTGGCATCTGCAAGCAGACTCTGGCGGAGGATTATCTCAATATTGAAGGTACCTATTCACGGCAGACCCCAGATCGGCTTTGAAATACCCGTGACATGTCGACATGGTGTTGTCACAATGATGAAAAGTAGGTTCTTCGGTTTACTAGCAGTACCTACCGAAAGATCGATGCTCACTCATCATCTGACACTTCATGGGATCTTACAGCGATCAAAGACTGGAGTGGCGCAGCAAGTGATTGCAAACTCGCGTGTGGCCAGAGTCTCGACTGCGGTCATATATGCGCCTTGAAATGTCATCGGTGAGCGCATCTTTCAATTCATTCACTGCCTAAATCTCAGGGCACGAGTAACTGATGTACTTTCACTCCAGATGTCCTCACCCGAGAGTGAACCGCTGGCAGAAGTGCCCAAGCATCCGACCATGCTGTGGTGTTCCATGTTCCGGCCTGAAGTGCTGCCCAGCACACGTCCACTCCTGCGCATGCACCGAGCCACCCATCGACACCCTCAAGATTGAGCATCTTTCTCTGAACCTCGTCAATTCATCACAGATCTTACACACTCAATCATCTCATCAGCGTCCACAGGCAATGCCCTTGATTGACCTGTCCGATGCCGATACAAGCTTGACCGTCCCAGTTTCAAGTAGCATGGAGATTGAAGGACCCGACAAGGGTCTTCCTCGGCCGCTTTCGCCGTGTCCATCAGATTGGCCTTCTGGCGCTGCTTCTGACTATCAGTCCCTGCCTAAAGGTGGGGTGTCGCTGGGCAGTGATGCCCCTGAAGCTCAAACCACAGTCTCGCGGACAGAGGGCGGTGCCGCGAATACGGCCTCTAGGAGACTAGGTGAAACCAAGGCGGGATGTGGTCCAGGGTCGAGATCAGGACATCTACTAGATTGATTCGAGATTCATTGTTAAGTCAGTTAAGTTGTGTTGCGGATGGTGAAGCAATTGTTTTTGCGCGGAAGCTTGTCAGATACACACCTCAACTAGAATATCACGATTTCTCTTTTATTGAGGAATTCCATCACATTGCAGTCTCGGGCAATGTGAGTCAACTAAGACTAGTTCCATATCATATTCAACATTATCACTGATATAGTAGTAGTCATCAAGAATCACCCTTCGAACCAGTCATCCAAAACATCAACGGGGTCATTTGCTCATTCAGAACCATATACAAGTTTTCGTTCAACAACCGACGTGAAGACGTTCATATCATTGCCATGTACTGCTCCAAGCTTTGACCCAGGACATTGATAAACGGCCACTGAGTGTTTCGTTTGAACAAACGCGCCCACAGTCTGAGCACTGCCATGCCAAGCGCAGCAGGTTCGAGATTTGGTGGAGCTTCGGACTCGTCTTCGAGATCAACCGAGGAAAATGCTTCTTCAACTATACACTGCGTCCATCGCAGGATACGGCTTTCATTTTCTAGGAAACAAGTCAGCAAGGGCACCGTGATGAGAAATCTCGACTTGGCAAGACTCACCACTTGGAGCTTGATCGGGCGCGGCCTCTGCAAGGGTGAATAACCACTTGCTCAAAAGAACGGCGCATTCAAGACTCGCAAGAGAATGCCTGACACTCCAGAAAAAGGCCTGGCTCCGAGCGATGTGATCGATGCCAAGACGAACCGGTATGCTGAGCGCGTGAGCCGAGTAGATGAGGGCAGGGATAAGACGATAGCTCCTTTCGGGCTTGGGAGAGCGACATAGAGCGGCTGCAATGGTGGCGGGCTCGCGTGTCTCGAGGAGACGGTAAGGTCCCAGGTTCAATGACAGGCGTACATATGCAAGCCCAAGTAAGGCACTCGATGTGAATGGGATGGGTCCATTGGCGTTGTGAGGGTCCAAGCTTGATTCCGGGGCCTGTTGCCATACTGACGTCCAAGAGCGCAAAGCACGCCTGAATTATTTATCAGTAAAATTGCAGTGTCAGGAAAAGGGCAGGGAGCATACTCAATTTTATTCAATTCTTCGGTAGGGAGAGTCGTCGTATGATTTCCGCTGGGCAAGGACAACTCGCTGACTATGTGGATTCTTTGTAACAAGCCATGAAGAAGCATATAGTTTCCCAGTGGAGCAGGTATTGGTTCCAAGGGTACCGCTGATCGCGACTTTTGTAGTAGAAGAGTCAGCGCATCTTGGAAGAACAATTGCTGGGGCCCACGATCGCGCTGGGCGGCTTCCCATTCGACAGCATTGTTTGCCGTCCATTCCTTTGTCGAGCAGGGCAGACGCATGTGTATCTCGCTACTTCTTAGTGATGGATAGACATTGTAAGCAATGCTATGGATGTGAATGAAGCAAAATGATATGAGCTTTGTCCTGCGCACAGACTCCAGCTCTGCCCATTCATACCAATCAGACATGGTCCGAGGGTCAGAGTAAGGCTCAGTCAAACCCGCTTCTCGAATGTGTTGGACCAGTTGTCCCTGTATTTGAAATGCCTCCTGGACAAGTCCAGCTCGTTCCCAGGTGGCATAACTCATCAGCAAGAGAAGACATCGAATGACTTCCATTTGTCTCGATCGGTTGATCGATGTCCCGACTGGCCCTTGAGCATCCACGGAGTATTGCGAGTTACTCAGAGGCGCTGCATACCCCCCGGCACGGGCATCTCGGGACATCCGCTCGTATAGCACGGTCTTGGAAGCATGAAAAAGTTTTTCCGCATTTCGATGCTCGAATCGATATTGAGCACCAATGGTCATCATTGCAAGAATCATTTCTGCGGAGCATTCATTGAAGCGAAACGTTGGAACATGAATGAAAGGAATGTGAGGGTGGAAGCCCTCAAAATAGGAAGTTAGGTATCTTGTGAGAGTGTGCCGAGATGGGAGGGTGAAATCAGGAATAACATTTCGGAAGCCTTCTAGGGCTGCTGCGAGTCTGAAGCGTTGGTCCTCAGAGACGTTGAAACGTGAAGACTTGAGGGTTTGGGGTGGCTCTGCAGAAGTTCAGCACAACTGGATCACCACCCTACGGCAGATGGATCAAGACAGCAACGCACCTGAATCAGACAGAGTTCCCAAACTTTGGTCACCTCGAGGGACTGACGGTAGCCATGAACGGAAAGGAGAGTCCCCTCTGGACTCGTCTCTCGGGCCGCGCCGAGTCTTAGGCTGATCTTGGGATGAGTGTACGGCTTTGGGCACTTCGTCTAGCCCCGTCTCGGTTTGCAGTTGACTTGTTTCACCATCGCTTGGGAGCCACTCGGCTGGCAATCCAATCGAGTCCAAGAAATGAGTGAATTCTTGGAAATGATTGAGATCCTCCGGGAGATAAGGTATTGCTGAAGCAAGTCAATGATGATACTTCTCTATAAGGTCTCATCGGGACAAGACTTACTAGTCGCCTGATAGTCACCGGGAATCAGCAGTTGAGCAGCTTGCAGCATAGCGGGATCATGCATTGCCGGGTGGCCAGGCGGCATTGGATTGAGACCAGTGACCCCGGGCCCCAGCACATTTGCGACTTGATTCTGAGGCAAGTACGCAGGAGGTGCATTTTGAGACCCCGTCCATTGATGTGAGGTTGGTGGGCCTGATATTGAGACTGAGGAGCGGGTCACTGCATCATATTGCGGCGAACCGGCTGCAGCTGCAGGGGCAACAACGCGAGGGGTGGCCTGAAGCGTCGACTTGACCGCGGATGGTGGTCGGGAATCTGGAGAAGTCAAGCCATCCTCATGCGAGATGCGATTGTGACGCTTCAACAAATCGCGCCTCGTGAAAGCTGCCCCACAAAAGCAGATGAATGGCTTCTCCTTCGTATCTAGCACGTGGTGATCTGATCAGCCGGCTGACTTTCAACCTCTCCATGACTCCAACTCCGACGCCGGTGAGCTTACGGGTTCGAACATGACGCTCCAAATGTTCTGTACGACGAAAGGCACGGCCGCAATGGCTGCAAATGCGCGCCTTCGCTATGCGGTCAGTCCTCTGGGGTGATGGAGATGCCATGGATGACTCCGAGACCTTTGGAGAAAATGAGGGGGTGAAAAGTGGGCATCTGGGGAGGAGATTGAGGAGGAGCCGCTCTGGAAAGTGGAAAATGACTCCAACCGCCAAGCGATCACTCCAACAACTCCACTCCCGGCTGCTTATCGTCGGTCGATAAGCCGCCGGGACTGCTGAGGCCTGTGGAGTTCGAAGAGAGGGGACAACGCATCGTGAACGAGCTGGATCTCTTGAACGCGAACGTCCTCGAGGAAGAAACCGTGCAACCTAGACGATTGAAGAAGTCGATTTGCCTGTCTCGATCAATCCCTCTGTGTACTAACATCCTGTGTACGTACCAGATGTCTTCTTCGAGTCCTACGACGCTGTTTCCTGGTGTTGCCGTTGTGACTGGTGCGGGCGGAACTGGTACGTGCGAAGCAAATTATAGCGCCAAGCTTGGTTTGTACAATTTGCCCTACATATGTTAACAGCCCTTTTTCGTGTTTGGAAAGGCATTGGTGCAGCTGTCGTCAGAGCCTTCGCTGCGGCGGGATGTGAGCGTATCGCTATCACCGATGTTAACGAGACTACTCTGGAGCAAACCAAGGCAACGATTAGCGCAACTTATCCTCGCAGTCAGGTATTTGTCCACCCGGGTAATTTCACAGATGATCATTTCGCCGAGAATTTCATACGAAAAGTTGTTGAGAACTTCGGCCGTGTCGACTACGCTGTGAATTGCGCCGGTGTACTGGGGCAAGCAGTACGATCATCCGAGATGAGCATCGACGAGTTTGATCGCGTCAATAACATCAACTACCGAGGGTGCTGGTTATCGTCGCGGGCGCAGCTGAAACAGATGCTCGAGCAAGATGCACTAGCCAGCCATGACCCGGAAAGACCTGCACAGAGAGGCGCAATTGTAAACATTGCTAGTCAGCTGGGCCTCGTCAGCCGACCAGCAGCTCGTTAGTATCACCTTGAGAGAGAAGTCTTTTGTCCCGTCGAAGGGAAACGCTAACTTGAACATGGATTTAGCCGCATACTGTGCTTCCAAGGCCGCCATCATCGCTATGACCCGTTCTGATGCGGTCGACCACTCTCAAGATGGCATCAGGGTGAACTGTGTATGTCCTGGAGTGATCGAGACCCCTATGATCACTGGAGATCCTGCTGTTCTCGAGGCGATTGGTCCTGCCGTGGATATCGCGCCGATGAAAAGAATGGGCAAGCCTGCAGAAGTCGCGGACGCCGTTCTATTTTTGTGTTCAACTCATGCTTCCTTTGTACAAGGCCATGCTCTGGGTGTGGATGGTGGATACGTTATCGTGTAATGAACTGCATTCGGCTTTTGCACTCTGTGCAATGTCCGACTCATCCACCTACTGCGAGAGAGATTCGGACGAAATCAACGCATTGAAAACCGAGTATTCATGGTCGTATGGACACCAGAAAACCAATGGCGGAAATTATCTCCATATCGATCGAATAGCCCATCAATGGTTCTGTGTCGCTATCAATGGTATTAATCACTGTTTTCAAAAAGAGATCAATTGATGATATTGCGAAGAGTTGTTCTCGGCTCCCAGCGTCAGTACAAATTGCCATGGAAGTGCATTTTTTCCCAATTGTGATGAATCTCCCAGGTATGCGCCGCCTGAAAAAAATCTTTTCCTCTTTCCACAGTCTCCCCAACCAGTTGGATACCTACGGGAAGCGTAACATCTCCACCATCTGAAGCTGGGGCCAGCCCTATGGGGATAGAAATGGTAGGGCGACCGGCCACGTTGAAAGTGGCCGTGTTGATCGTGAGGCCCATGCTCGGCGTCAGCGAATCCACGGGGGAGCCCCCTTTCGCGTTTTTGGGGGCTACAATTGGAGTAGTGGGCATGACAAGCACATCGAGTCTCTGGGAAAGTGTCTCGTACTTGTCCCTGATCTGACGCCCGATGTTCACTGACTTTCCGTACAGTCCAGGAATATTACGAACGAGGTAGAGTCCATTGATCAAGACGTCCTTGGTGGATGGAAATGCCCTCTGAAACCGATCGTCTGTCCACGGTAACCACGCAGAATCTATTTCCGTCATGCTCAGACCGCTTCGCCCAGTATTTAACCCGAGAAGAATTTGTGCTCCGCTTATTCTCTGTTAAATAGTCCAGATAGCAGGTCCGTTCAGGTGTTCCGGCAAAGAAACCTGCTCAACAGTAGCACCAAGCTCTGCAAACCTGCTAGCGGCTGCTAATACTGAATGATTGACAATTGGGCTGATAAAGTCATGGTTGAAACCTTCTGTCAGCACACCAACTCGAAACTCTTTGAGGCTATCCAAGCTGCTCTGCAGGGCTGACGCAAAGCTTGTCGACCCCGGCAGAGGACTACCAACCGATCGGTCGTCAATTCCATCGTAACCACTGATGAGATCCAAGCAAAGTGCAGCGTCGAGAAGAGTCCTCGCCGGTGGTTCAACGTGGTCATCAAGGGCATCACCACTGCTGATACCCGTATACGGGACTCTTCCGTACGTTGGCTTAAGACCAACACCTATGTTTCGTCAGCTCCTTTCGTGGATAAGAGCAACTGGGTTGCGCAGAAGAGCTTATAGCCACAGAAAGATGCAGGTACACGAACACTGCCACCTTGATCACATCCAATAGTCAAATTGACCACACCTTCTGCAACGAGAGCGGTGCCTCCCGATGTGCTTCCTCCAGCAGAATAGCCCCGCGCATGGGGATTTTCAACCGTGCCCTGAGCACTCGTGAAAGACGAAGTCACATGTCAACGTTCCATGAATGTCTGCTCCAGCAGTGTAGGACACAAGTGACCACCGTCGCATCAGAGGAAGGCGTCCAAGATGGAATGATATCACTCCCCGTCAGTTGCGGAACACCAGCCACTGCGATCACGTCTTTCAGGCCTGAGGGTTTTCCCAGCCTGAACACCACCGTTGGGATTTCCTCGGATCAGGACTTTATGGGCCCAAGCCTGTCCAAAGACCTACTCTTCTCGAGTTGGACGACGTGTACCCTGGCACGGATAAGTGACTTGATCTGATCCAGGCTGGTAATCCGATACAGCATCCACGCTCTACGCGCAGTCATGCAAGGCAGCTAAAAGAGTGTGAAAATCGGCGGACTCGGAGGGATCAATGATCAATCCAAAGGGGGTGACAAGCTCTTCTGTATCCCCACGTTTCACCGGGCTGTTACTTGAGGCGAGGATTGTTAGTCCTCAAAGTTCAAGCAGGTGGAAATTCTTGAAGAGACCTACTCGGAGATGCTGGTAAACAAGACAGACATCGCGCCTGACCACTCTGCGCTTTTCAAGGAGTCAGAGACAGGGTATGCTGTTGAAATGACCAATCTCTTTGGATTGAAATTTTTGAAGCTTCTCCATGATCTAAGTAAATCTCAGAGAGCGCTTTCAGCTTGCCGTGCAGGCTCGTCACTCGCCATACCACTCCTTCCCATCCATCCGAATCGCGCAGACTCCAACTTACCCCAACTCGGGGAGACCCGCACCAGCTCATGAGCTTATCATTATCAGCCTTGTGTTGATGAGGATCATCGAAAGCGTTATCGCCAAGAGCTGATTGAGTCTTTTTGTAGGCTCCGACAGTTATTGTCAGTGCCCACTGGCATTCGACGTAGCCAAGAGATCTGTGGTACCTCCAGCTATACTGCAGTGGGCTGAGCAACGTCGTGACTCCGACGGGTCCAAGAGAGGGGCGGGGTTTTTGGTCGTTATCTTTTTCCCCGCCTTGCCTGTTGTCATCCGTACTAAATGACCTCCGACGTGCCGGTGTCGCATACAAACGTCGTCTCGGAATCACCACAAGCAGTCTCTTCACGCAACGCAATGGCTCCCAAAAGAGTTCTGATCACTTACGGCGTCGATGTCGACGCTGTTGCTGGGTGGCTTGGGTCTTATGGGGGCGAAGATTCAACCAACGATATCAGCCGAGGTGAGTTCGATGGTCAGGTCTCACCCTCTTGAAGCATATTCTGTCTCTGACAGGTAGACAGGATATTGGGCCGGTACTGTGGGAACCCGGCGACTACTGAAGCTTTTCGACAAGTATGATATCAAGACCACGTGGTTCATCCCGGGCCATTCTCTAGAGACCTTCCCAGAGGACATGGCCGCGGTACGTGATGCCGGCCACGAGATTGGACTTCACGGCTATTCGCATGAGAATCCCACAGATATGAGCATTGAACAGCAACGAGATGTTCTCGACAAGACGTACCGTATGTTGACCGAATTCGCCGGAAAGCCACCCCGCGGAAGCGTCGCGCCTTGGTGGGAGACCAGCAAAGAAGGAGCCCAATTGCTCCTCGACTATGGCATCGAGTATGATCACAGCATGAGCCATGAGGACTGCCAAGCATACTATCTCCGTACTGGAGACACCTGGACCAAGATCGACTACACTCAAAAGGCAGAGACCTGGATGAAGCCCCTCGAACATGGTACCCAGACGGGCCTGGTGGAGATTCCGTCTAATTGGTACATCGACGACCTGCCACCGATGATGTTTATCAAGAACGCATCCAACAGTCATGGGTTTGTGAATGCCCGTGACGTGGAGGATATCTGGCGTGATCATTTCGACTACTTCTACCGCGAGTATGATGAGTTTATCTTTCCAATCACCATTCACCCAGACGTGTCGGGACGACCACATGTCCTTTTGATGCATGAGCGGTAGGTCAACCACTTTCCGACCGGGGGGAATTCGAGTATAGCGCTAATACCTCTGACGCCAGACTCATTGAGCATTTCAAGAAGCACGAAGGGGTCGAATTTGTGACTATGGAGCAGGTTTGTGATGAGTTTAAAAAGAAGAACCCCGTTCCGGACGGTGCATTGATGCCCGCCCCGGTTGGACATGTTCTTAAGAAGTAGTAACTTTGTCTGTACCTTGCTCGATTAAGAAATTCTATCTGTCTATAAACTGTCCTCGTCTTCATTCTCACTTTTGCAGTTCCGAAGTGTGAACCTCTCGTTGTGCATGATCTCGATCTCGTCGCCAATTTGCAATTACCCCCCCCCCCCCCCCAATTGTGAATTAGGCAAACCGGCGCTCGGACGTGAAATATGTATTGACGTAAATTTTCCTGGCTGGTTCAAGGCTCTTTCTTCCCAAAACAGATCTTTAGCGCATGCCCGCCGAACTTCATCGATATTCTAGGTGACTCCAAACCCAACGCGATTGATAGGTACGGTAGCTTTCTCACGCGCCCCCAAGGAAGCCGTTATCTGCATCGAATCGTGACCATCTCTGACCCCGACTTGAGATCTCCGAGCTTAGATCAACTGAGAGGTGCTCCAATTTAGCCTACCCCAACACCCCGGACTACCCCAAAATGTCTCCATCACATCAACGTCGATCACCTCGCAAAGGAACCTTCAGTTTTCAAACTGGTTATCGCAAAGCTTTTCCACCAGCTTTGCGGGGAAATCTCCAAGGTGGAGTCGAATGGAGTTCCTTTCTGTGCCCTAATTTCACTCGAATCGCCCGCTGATGACACCCTCTAGGTATGTGGTCCTAGAAGCAGGATGAATTCTGGCCAATGCCACTTTAACACCGTTACCAGGGTTAAATTGGCGCGGGACCCAAGATCAAGACTTGGCAGAAACCATATAAATCAGCCGGTAACGCATCTTGGTCCTTGTTCTCTACTGAGATATCACCGACCAGGCATTGGGAGACGAATCAGCTCGTTGCCTGTCGAGGAGTCCCCGTGCAATCATGGCCAATCTTAATGATGATATCAAAGCGGCGCCAAGCTATGATGAAGGAGCTCGACCTGAATTAGCCAAGGCCGAAGCAGAGGAAGTAAATGAGGTGTTCAGGACAGGCGAAGGTCAAGTAGATTTTCGCACTGTGAGCTGGATCCGTGCCGGGATCATCTTTCTCAAGAGTGAGTGTCTTCCTGCATCCAGCAACAGCAGTCCAAATGACAAGTTCCCAGTCCCTAACCATTTTCGAATGTAGTCATCTTTGCTACCGGGGTCCTATCGATCCCCTCGTTAATGTATGAGTTGGGGGCTTTCCCAGGTGCGGTCAATGTAGTAGGATGGACAGTTCTCAATACATACTGCGCGATCATACAAGGAAACTTTCGCAACCGCCACCCTGGCTGCCACTCAATCGCTGATATGAGTCATGTTGTGGGAGGACCGATATTGAAAGAGATTGTCGGGATGCTCTTCACTGTAAGCTATGTGATTGTGGCTGCATCCGGAATCATCGGCGTGTCGACGGCATTAAACGCACTGTCGGGACATGCCATATGCACAGTCTGGTTTACTTTTATCGCAACCGTCATCATCGCTGGATTTGCGAGCGTGCGAAAGTTCTCGCACATCGGATGGTTGACCTGGGTGGGATTTGCAAGCGTGTATATTGCCGTGTTCATTATTGTGTAAGGAATCCTGACCCTTCGGGCTTCCATGTGTGATGTCTCCCTCACTATCATTCGACTTGAGTCGGGCTGACTTTTTATGTAGAGTAGGTGTTACCACTCGAGATCGCCCTGCAGCAGCCCCATCCACCGGCGAGTATGATTTTGGATACCGAGTGATTGGAAATCCTAGCTTCACTACGGGAATCACCGCTGCCGCGACCATCTTCGTCTCTAGCGCCGCCACCTCGGCGTTCCTGCCTGTCATTTCTGAGATGCGCAAGCCCCGAGACTATCCCAAGGCTGTGTATCTGAGCATGAGTCTCGTGACTGCTTCCTACCTTACTTTCAGCCTAGTTATATATGCCTGGTGCGGACAGTGGATCGCATCACCATCGCTGGGCAGTGCCGGACCCACCGTAAAGCGTGTCGCATATGGGATTGCATTGCCCGGATTGATCGTCAGTGGCTGTCTCTATGTCCATGTTGCAGCCAAGTATCTTTTTGTCCGAATCCTGCGCAATTCTCGTCACCTGCAGACCAACACTGTGATCCACTGGGGCACTTGGCTGAGCTGTACCGTGGGCATGGCTGCGATCTCGTTTCTCTTGGCCTGTGCCATTCCCATCTTCAATTACGTGTTGGCTCTCGTCGGTGCGCTATGTTTTGCACCGCTGGCCCTCTGTCTCCCTGGCTGGCTCTGGCTGTATAGTTACCGCGACTATTGCCGGGGCAGTCTGCTTCAAAGGACAGCTTACGCGGCGCATGTCGTGCTGATCTTACTGGGGGCGTTCTTGACCGTAGGTGGAACCTACGGGGTCATTGTGCAAATCAATCAGGCCTACGCCGATGGTTCCATCTCATCTGCGTTTTCGTGCGCTGACAACAGCGGATCAACGGGGTGAACGGGCAGGAAGAAAAGACCGGCTCAAGCGCGCAGAATCTGACGTTCGAGGCCACTTCGGCGGTTCCTTACCTGATGTTGGTCACTTTGCCCGTGTCATCCGAATTGAAGATGTTCCTCTCTTGGGAGCATTTGAACGTAGATCAAAGCCGTCTTTTCCCCATAAACAAGAAATCCGAGCCGATGGGAGAGTCTGTTTCAGGCCCACTTTCTCCTCGGGCCCGACGCGGCGACGGGACTCAGCCGCCATGACTAGACGCGCCATCAAGTCGAGAATGCGTAATCAAGTCAGCCACCTGGCTTCTGTGCGTCGGAAAAGTGCGCCCTGTGAAGGTCGTCTGCGACTGTGTTTGCTGGCGAAAAGGGTTGACCGTTTCAGACCCTTTCGGGCCCTGAGGTGCCAGGCACGCCGTCAAGACAGCCTATTCTGGAACTTCACGTCAATGGATCGAGACGATGGGCGTGATCAGCTCGAGAAATTTCCTCTTTCTAATTAGCACCTGCTGGAGGCGAGAAGCTTGGCGTCTGATCCTTTCTTTACTACCGTGACGATTTAGTGTGGACTCGCATTTCCACTGTTCCAGAGTTTCCGCAGGCAGATCCGACCGGGCTGAGTCCAAGTGGACTAATTGTTTTCTTCCAAGCACCCACTGCAGACATCGAGCCTGCTACAACACGATCGTCTCGCTTTGCACCCCCATTTTTCACGCCGGGCAACGCATCGTCTCAAGGTTTACGAAGAGAACTGAACTGAATTATGGGTTGAGACGAGATTTTCACATGGCTCGTCTCCCGATTTGAATGTATTATTATTGTTGCCAGTCTCATAGCTCAAAGCTCCTCCTCATCTGATTTAACCTTGATAAGTGGATCCAGGACTCATCATCCACTACGTATGCCGTCGCCGTAGTTGCGCCTAGTGTCTCGAGTGGATACAGAGATGACTGCGCACCACCTTCGTTGCTCGATCTGATCGAGGCGATCCATCTGTTACCTCCGGTGCTCCACCGTCATCCACTGTTCCTCCCCCCATTGCCTTGGAATCGGCTGAGTTCATTCCAGGCCGGATGGTCGCGAGGGCGATCTCAGCCAGATCTCGAGTAGCGATACACCGTCTCATGCGCGAAGCGACAGAGTGCTCACCAATACGATAGCAAGGGAAGGTTCCACCTTACGAAGGAGCTGTTCTATGGTAGTAGTGATATGTATCCGGCTAGATCCTAGTCCATGGTAGATTGACTAGATTATTATATGATCTAGCCCTAACCCGTCTGCGGTTCATTTCCATACTGCAGTTTCTACTTTCACCAAACGACTTGATTGAACTCTTCTCTTGTCAGCTCACCATTCCCTTGACAACCGTTACTGGAAGCAATAAGGGGAAGATACCACCCTGAGCAAGTCGTTCTATACTTTCATACCCCCCCACAGAGGCGATCTCCCATCTTGCATTTCTGTCTCATTCCACTCTTCAGCATGATTCTGTCAAGACTCGCTCTCATCCTCGCGATGACTACCCTGGTCACATCGGCCTCTGGTATTCCCCTGTCGTCCACCAGAGGCACGGTCGTTGTCGCTCGCGATCACGTCGATCGTGTCAAATCCTCGTCAACCCCCGACTACACCCACGACGACACTACCGTACAAGACGACCCTCTCCGAGGCTCCTACTTGCTTTCCGAGTCCATCGCCGAGGATCAAAGAATCGCCGATCAACTCGCCGCTATGCGAGAGGCCGGGTTCCTTGCACCGGGCCACGATGATCGGCTGCCGCCCACGCCCGAGGCCTCTCATCCCAAGACCAACAATGCGGAGCAACAATCCGCGCAACCCGTGCAGGACTGGATATCGGCTTTGGACCAGGTCGCCGAGACGCAGTCTGTCGCGCAGTTGGCGCTGTCGATTCTACCACCACTTCGATTTTTCGTCATTGCCAGCACGGCGATTGCCATCTTGACCATCATTCGAGGCTGTCTGCGGGCGCGGCGTTGAGAGAGCGAGAGACGTTTCCGCGCATATACCATTTGACAAGATAAAGCATGAACTTTTGTCTCTCTCTCTCTCTCTCTCTCTCTCTCTCTCTTTCGCTACGATGGTTCGGCACCTTTGGCTTGTGAGCTCAGATTCGTGGGCATTGGAACACATGAATCCCTTGCATTTCTCTGCTGGTCCTGACCATCTCCTTCCTGACACCCCAATCGTTTTTGGCGGGCAAAAGACGAAATCGCATGTCTGGTTGCAGTAGCCGCGCTAGTCGCCCCGAAACGGACATGGATCCTCCTCGCCGCGCGACTCACGCCCTTCCCCTCCCGCACGTGCAAAGACCACGCGACGACAGGCGAGCCCAGGAAGGAGCACACACACACCCATCTGATCGTCACTCTTCGTCTGGGACTTGTCAACCGATGCCAACGATGCCGACCCGCAAATTACTCGAGACTCGAGTGTCGACGCAGAGGCAGATGGAGGCCCGCATGGACCCCCAACGCCCCTAGCCTCGAATGTGTCACTGGCCGGTCGGAGATCCCTTGCAACCCTCACAATGGGTCTTGCGTCGAAATGCGAGAGTACTCGGTCCCCCAATGGGCAAGGAGACGGGGTCTACTCTCGCTGCTTGACCAGCCACGGCAATTGATGCACGCACTCCAGGTAGCTTTGCAGCACAAAGCTGATCCAGGTCTCAAGTGCGAGGACATGACGTGTCACATTTGGGGTTTCAATCGGGTCCCATGAAGAAGAAAGATCCACCTGGTCCTGTCTGAGAGAACCAAAACCTCGTCGCGGAAATAAATAGATATTTCACATTTCACATTTCTATGCATGGACGAAGCATTCCGCGAAGCAAGATCTTCGGCTTCCTATTCCCATTCCGGTAACTCCGCCCGCGACGCGCGTTTGTCAAAGCTTGTGTAGCTTCACTAGTTTACTCGAATTTGGGGCTCAAAGGGGGTATACTCGACGTAATAATGATCCCGTTTCTTTGAACCTTTTGACAAGTGGATAATGTCTCGGCTCATCTTGACACACGAACTATGGGAATGCTTGGGACTTTGCCACGTCTTCTCCTTACGGCCAGTTTAGCTTATAATTTGAAGCGAGTCTGTCCACAAAGATAAAAAAGAAACCTCACTTGTCCTGCGGACTGCTTCAGTGCTTAGTGCAGTGGATAAATGGTACAGATAGCCTCCCAAATGGAAACGGACAATGACAGGTGACACAACAAGCTTCAGATGTCGGGTTCTCTTCTTCCCTTTTCGCCAAAAGACTTTCCCTTCCAAAACTGTGGCGAGGTGGAAGGAGACTTTCAACAGGCAATGCTGGACACGATTTTGGATTGGAAAGAAAAGATATGTACGTGGGTAAATGAGAAAAGAAAAAAAAAAGAAGGAATTAGTATGGATCTATCGCACAGAGGACGCTCCTTCTCTAGGAATCATCTACCAGGTGCTTTTGAGACCAGGCCCGCTTAGCACCATCGACGAGAACTTCCAGGTTCCCACTGTTCTCGCACATGCTACGGAAGAAACCGTCTTCCTTGCTGATGAGCTTCCAGGGGTGATCGTACTCAATGACACGTCCGTGGTCGAGCACCAAGACCTTGTCGTAATCAATGATGGTTTGCAGGCGATGGGCAATAGTAATGATGGTGCGGTCGTGGAGCTCCCGAAGGGTCACTTGAATCTTGGCGTCCGTGGCGTAGTCAATCGAAGCTGTGGCTTCGTCCATCATCAGAACTCGTGGCTTCTTAAGAAGTGCACGAGCCAGACACAGAAGTTGTCGCTGGCCCTGCGAAAGGTTCGAGCCAGACTCGGAGACGAGGCTGTCCAGATTGTGGAAGACATTCTTGTTGTCCATCGTAGAGCCGGCTGCACCGGTAATATCCTGCGCCTCAACGGCGGTGCTCGAAGTCGTCGGTGTCGCGGCGCCCGATGCACTGGAGCCAACCAGGTGAACCCGACGGAGAGCCGTGAAAATTTCCTCGTCACTGAATAGACCAAAAGGATCAAGATTGCTGCGAATGGTACCAGTAAACAGAGTGGGATCTTGAGGAACGATCGTGATGGCCTCGCGGAGATCCCGCAAGCCAATCGCGCCGATGTCAACGCCATCAATCACAATCTGACCCTGTTCGGCCTCCAGGCCACGGAACAAGGCCAAGGCCAGTGAACTCTTGCCCGCACCAGTACGACCGACGATGCCGACCTTCTCCCCAGCCTTGACGGAGAAGGAGACCTCCCTGAGCACAGGATCCAGGTCGGGACGATACCGCGTGGAATAGCCTTTGAACTGAACGGCGCCGTGAGTGGGCCATTCAGCATCGGGTCGCGAGTCTGGGATGACCGCAGCGGCTTCTTGGTCTACCTCAAGGTACTCGCGCACACGTTCGACGGAGTTCATGTTCTGCTGCACCTCCGAGTACAGACGAACCAGCCAGAGCACGTTTTCGGTAAAGGTCACAGCGTACGTCAGAGACAGACCAGCTGCACCGGCGTCGATTTTTCCAACGTTGATCAGCACAAATGTAGCCGAGAAGAACGACACCAGAGCGCCGGTCCAGTCGACACGAAGAGCGAGCCAGCGGTTGCTCGCCCAGAGATAGAGATGCGGCCGGTTGTACGCATTGATACGACGATGATTGTCAACGATAAAGCGAGGGCCATCACCGTACGCGCGGATCGTGACGATGCCATTGAGAGTCTCGCCGAATTGCTGGTACAGAGGACTGCGTTGCACTGATTCCAGGCGCTTAAGGTCACGGGACGAGTTCAAATAGATGGCACCAAGAGCAGTGTACACGAGTGTAATGAACAGACCAGCGATCAAGAAGCCGGGCGTAATGACGGAGATGAGAATAACAATCATGATAACTGACGCCAAGCTGTGCAGCATGCCAATAGCTACGGGGGCGACCTCTTGATCAACTGCCTCGACATCCTTGGAGAATCGATTCATGAGCTGGCCAAGAGGGGTTGAGTCGAAGAAACGGAATTTTGCGTGCATCACCGCCCGGAGAAGATTGTCATGAATTTTCCATGATGCCTGCAGAGAGCCCCAGAATAGTACGGCCTCGCGAGACAAGGAGATGACAATATAGGCAAGACCCAGAAGCGCATAGACGCCCAAGTAGTAACCGACATCGACATGTGCGTCAGTGGCCACAGTGACCTCGGATTGCGATCCGAATTGTAATGTACCCCAGGTGTTCATCTTCGAAACACTACCAACGGTGAACGTTGGGGGATGAAGGTGAGCAGCAGCAGCGTAATCACCAGCGTCACCGTCAAGCTTTCCGCTCGATATGCGGTATGAATTTGCCCACTGTCGGATCCACAGATTGGTGGACACCGAGCCCAGCTGCTGCATGCAAAACACGGAAACGGCAAGTACCCAGTAGTACCAGGAGCCCATTGAACGCAAGTACATAATGACCGTTGACCACTTGATACTACCGACAGCCTTGCCCTCGGTGAGCGGTGACTTTTCATCCTGCTGTGACTTGCTCGCGGCACCATTGGCATTCGCGTCTTCCGCATCATCGACAGTCTCATCCTCATGCGGGGAAGGCGCACGTGAAATACCACGTGAACTAACCCGAGAAGCAGGCACAGACTTCATGAATTCATCGCCCAGAGCACCAGACGATGCCAGTTCCTCGGGTTTGCCTTGCGCGACCACCTTGCCATTTTCCAGAACAACGACGTGGTCCGCTTGGGGGACTGTCAAAGCTGTGTTGTGCGTGACGAGAACACATGTGCGGTGCAACATCAGCGGGCCAGTAAGGGCTTGACGGAAGATATGCTTGGCAGTATGTGAATCAACAGCCGACAGGCAGTCGTCGAGGAGTAAGTGCCGAGCACTGCTGTAAATAGCGCGGGCCAAAGAGATACGCTGTTTCTGACCACCCGAGAGACTAATTCCCTTTTCTCCGACCATGGTCTGATCCCCGGCATCCAGGATCTCGATGTCACGCTCGAGCGCACAGGCCTTCAACACAGCACGGTAGCGCTTCTCATCGTACGGAGACGCAAAGATGATATTCTCCTTGACTGTGGCATTCACCAGCCAGGCCTCTTGGGCACAATAAGCAACACTGTCAATGAGACCAGTCTCGGGATCGACAGGCAACTCGGCTCGATTCCCCATGCCTCCCGGGAGATGAACCCGACCTTCGACCAGACGCATTTCGCCAAGCAAAGCCATGAGCAACGAGGTCTTGCCTGAGCCCGTAGGTCCAGCGATAATACTGAGACGACCAATCGGAAAGTCGACAGTCACATCAATGAGACGGAATGCGTCTGTGCCATTGCCTGATGCAGAGGCCGCTCCGGGACGCGAGTTAGTGGTGCCCCAAGTCAGCGTGGCCCCCTCCAGCGCAACACGAGAAGGACCATCAGTATCAGTCTCGCGCAATTGAGTGTACTTTTCCGTCTCTTCCTCATTCAAGTACTCATCAACACGGTCCAATGATACCTTGGACTCTTGCACGTGAGCTACCATGTCGGCAAGCTGATCCAACGGCACACGCAGGAGGGAGAACATCGACAAGGCAGGGAAGGCGACCGATGGAGTCAACTGTTTCTTTTCGACCACGGTATACAGGAAGAACGAGAGCAAGGTGATCAAGATAGGCGTTCCGTACCACACAGTCGCCGCACAAGACCACAGAATATAACGTCGGCGAAGAGATTTAAGCTCCGCCTTGCGCTTCTCGTTCACGACGTCCTGGAAACGCTGCTCCCATGCAAAGTATTTGATGATTCGGATATTTTGAAGAACCTCATTCGTCGCGTGAATACGAGCATCCGTTCCCTTCAGAATGGCGTTCTGAACTTTACTGAATTGACGGGCAATGAAAAGATTGACGGGCAGCATCAGGGCCATCAAGACAATACCTGCAAAGGCGCTGAAGCCCATGATCTTATAAAGCAATGTAATCGCCATGATGACTTGCGTTGGAACACTTGCCCACAAGAAATGCAGATACGCACCAACTTCGCTGACCTTGAAAGAGTCAATTGCCATCAAATTAATGATAGTTCCAACATTTGCTTGGCCAGCAGTATCATCGAGGTCGGCGGCAGGGGGTTTGACAGGGGCGGCTTCCGTATCTTGTCCATCAGCAGAGGTAGCCTTCTTTTTACGGGCAAAAGAGAAAAACTTCTTTTTCTCAGACTTGGCATCATTGGTAGTCTTGGTCTCCTCAATCGCTTTTCGAGCAGCGTCCGTGGCCGCGCCTGCCTTCCGTCGGAGCGCTTTCGCGTAGATTTCACCGATGATAATGGCACGAATACGGACTCCCATCTTGCGCCCAATATAGAGAGCTTGGCCGGCTGCAACGCCTTGGATGAGTGCAGAGAAGAACAGCAGAATCGCATAGAGCCACGCAGCATTGGGAGTAGTTGATCGTGGATCCTCAACATACTCCAGAATGGCCTTGAGGAGGAGACTTGGTACGAACACGAAAAGGTCGGCAAAGATCGTCCATGCTCCTTGCTTGAGAATGGTTCCGCTGAAGAAGCGGACGAGCTTCCAAGCCAGAGAACCCTTCATTTGTCGATTTCTGAAGTCCGTGAGGACAGCCGCGGCCTTTTGCGTCGGGGTCAAGTTCCACACATCCGAGAGCTCAAGAGGCTGACGATATCCCTTCCACACCAATGGATCCAACCACGCAAAAGTCGCCAGAGACAGCAAGCTAGCTCGTGGGTGATGAGGAGGCTCCAAGCCCTCCTCCCGTTCAACCAAAACAGGCTTGTTGCCGCGTCGAGTGGTGAGGGTCAACAGTAAAAGGAAGCTGCTGAGCGCAAATTGAATGCTGCTGAGAGTCAAGGCGCGACGCGAAATTGGGTGAATGACTGCAGAGCGGAAGACCATCACGTTGAACAGCCACTGAGCTGCGTATAGCACTGCCGTATGGGTCCACAGTCTCGGAGCCGAGGATAGATCGAAACTGGAGAGCAGCAGTCGGACCAACACCAAGAACAAGGTATATCCCCATGAGATCAGACCTGCTGTCGCAGGCAGAGCTCCATGACGCCCCCATCCTGCTATCGTGAGAATGACGACGTGGAGAGCGACCTCACCGATAAGCGCTGCGATTTCAACAGCCACCACGGTCACCTCTCCCCGTGGACGATCCAATTCGAGCTTTACTTGTTCAATCTGCACAGCTCGTTGGAGAAGAGAGTCCGATTCATTCTCGGGAGATGGTGCGATATTCTCATTGTCTGTCGCTTCATTGGAAAGAACATTGTACGCTACAGATTTCCGGGAGGCAACGTATCGGTAAACGAGGTGGAGGAGGAGGATGAGAAGGGATAAGGCGCACGCGCCCAGCGGTAGCGAGACTTGCAGAACACTATTACCGAATCGGGCGATCAGTCATCAAGAACGGTCTCACAAAACCGCTATCGGTCGGGTCGTTGGAAATCCCGGTCACACGAGAATGTAGGTGAGAAGGAACGTTGGACTCACTTGCGCTGAAAGCAATGCGACAGGTCGTCAATGGCCCATGTCGGGCCTTGACATTTCGGAAGCATGGTACTTCGAGAAGGGCAGGCTGCGCAGTGACGAAACTTGCTTAGGCCGGGTCCACTGTCACCGAGGTCGACCAACGCTTCGTCGACTCGACGAGCGATACGTTCCCGCACAACACGCAGCGACTACTTCTCTTCAATCTCACCAAAACCGCGTTGCACCTTTATTTTCTGACGACTGTGCAGGACTGGGTGAGCATGACCGAGTGCCGGAGTCAGGCAAAGATATGGCTGCCGAGAGCCGCCGTTGTACCGAGTCGCCGCTGGAGACCGGAGGGCAGATAAGAATGCAACAGGATGGAGGTCTGCTGAAAAGCTGTGCGACTACAGCCGTCAACAGAGCCGAGTCTAATAGGAATATCAGTGTCCGAGAAGCGAGAAAAGAATGAGAGGGTCAGAGACCGGGTTGTTGATGAGGGGAAAAGCTGAGCCGGATGGCGGTTGATAAAGACCCTTAGTTCGCTCCAACGTTCCGCCAGAAGCGGCGGGTCTTGGGGGGGGGATCAATCCGCCCGGATCAATTTAATCTAGTCGCACGCTTTGCTCATAATTTTTCCTCGACTATGGAAATCAGCCACCACCGGTGGAGTGAGGTTTTATCGGTGCACCAAATGCTTATCTGTGCAAATTGTAGAGAGCCTCAATTCTCCTATTAAAACAGGAGAGATCAGGTTAGAAGACACTTCTTACGCCACCATTTAAAACCGCACTCGATCCCGAAGGCTGGCTCAGGTTGAGTCGCGGTGAATCGGAGATTTCCAAGGACTTTATGACAAAGTATCTCCAACGTCTCTCAGGCTTGGCCCAATGCTTGGGGAGGTACGTCACAAACACGTTCCTCCCGGGTCATATTCCAGGTCCACCGTTTTCAGATCTGCCAAGCAGACCGCCTTCCACCTTCCGCCTTCACGCCTGTACATTCTTTCCCGTGTGGTTCGACGGGTCGATGGGTCGTGCATGTGCATAAACGGGTCAGGCGGTCACCTGCATGGGACCGGCATATGGCTTCCAAGTCTCCCTTACTACTACTACAGTAAGACTTCTGTACTCTCGCTCTCGCCCGTTCCAATTCTTTAACTATCTACCTCTCCAGTGCGCTCGGGACTCTCTTGTATGCTTGTATTTGCTTTGCGTCCATGGTCATTCGCCAATGACCTGCATGCATGTGCCGCTACTCCGTCTATCCGCAGGGCACTAGTCTCAATCGAGATCTCGCCAGTGGGTTGCTTGGATCCAGTCAATCGCCAATCAAGCTAGCTATCACTGCTTATCCTCGACATCACGAGTACATCGAGGAGGAGCACTCCTCGATGAGACCACGCTGACACACCTCAAGCCTGTTATGAGACTCGGTCCAGTACATGCTGCAAGCCTGTACCTGTCGTGGCAGGGCAAAGGCAAGTGAAGGAAGGGTCATCAATATTCAAGACCAAAGTAGATCCGCTGCCCGTCCTCGTGTTTCTCCGCACAAGCTTCAATGCCCAGTCCTCAGTCCCGTCCATCGGGAATATCATTGCCAGAAAAGATGACGCTCGCGACGGGCTGTCGAATCGATCGGAAACACGCTTTCTAAGCAGATCGGAGCTGGAAGTCGACCATCTTTCAGATTATCATATTGCGGCAGCTCAAGCTGAGGCCGAATCACCGTGGCACTTGGACATCATGACCTAAGGAGAGATGCACATTTTCCTGGTCCCCACTTTGAAATCGTCAATTGTCATGAATACACGTTGACCTTTAGGCCCTCAATTCACATATCTTGTCTTGGAATGCTGAGCCTCATCAACGTTTGGGTACCCAGAATAGCATACATGGCAAACTGCCGGGTCTCGCGGACCGGACGAATACCGGAACATGCTAGTGTTATCTTGTTTATTTTGCCAAACACTATTCAGAATTACATGATTCCTAGCATCAGAAATGACTCGATTCTCACTTCTGCCTTTTTTTTCTATTTACATCCATGAGTGAGTGTTCGAGACCGGGCGAGACTGCAGGTTCAGAAATGTCCTGTGGAGGGAGTTCTTTGCTGACAAGCTCGACGTGGGTGACCAGTGAGACATGCGCGCTGCCCTGCTGGGCTAGACCGCGGCGTGAATATCAATGTTTCTTGAGGTTGAAGATCTCGTGTCTGGATGTTTTGAAGCAGATCCACCTGCTAGATCAGGTTGCTCTGCTGATTTTGACTTCTTCTCTATCACTTATTTCCCGTGCAGGCAAAGTATAGACACTCGGGCCAGTAGGTAGTAGCATTGATCAGCATTCCAGTCAGCAGCAATGTCCCTGTCCAACCTTTCAGCTTCAGGCTTATCTGATCTTTCTGCAAAAATAAGTCTCTCCGGGTGTTCACTTGATGAAAAGTCCGGTAGGGGCAGGTGTTCATGGTCACACTCGCCCATTGTGTATTGACACTGCCTCTTTCCCATGGAACGCGCTGGTCATAAAACGCGCCTGCCGAATTAAGAAGATCCCTCCAAGCTTGCCCTTCTGCCTGGTTAAGATCTGCAAAGTTGGGATCGTTGCCTTTCAAACTCATGGTTTGCTACCGCAACACTGGAAGCTTCCGCTCAATTCTTTGGATTCTCGATGGCTCTTTGGCGTCAGTCCAAACAATTGGCCAGCATATAAAAGCAGTGAATCCCCTCGCCTGGTGAACTTTCTCTGACTACACCCACGGCTCACGTGTTCCTTTCTTCAGAACACATTGCTTCCCCCTCTACGCTCGCTTCATCACCTCGTATTCTCACCCGAGTCAACCTTCGCACCTTCTACTCTCAGAACTCACTTCTCACGCCTCAACCGTCACTTTCCTCTGTTCTTTTCCTCGGAGATCAATCATCTCAGCCATGGCCGAGCGAAGACTCATGAAGGAGCTCAGCGAGCTATCAGAGCTGGATTGGGTTCATGTTGAGGTACGTGAACACTGATCATGCACCCTTTGGCGAGCTCCGGGCACGTGCTGACTTTTGTTCTAGATGTGGATGGAGAATATCTTCGTTTGGGATATTTTTTTGCCGGTGCTCAACAAAGATTCGATATATTATGGCGCCTACATTCAAGCCCGTATGAATTTCCCTCCGGACTATCCCTACTCGCCACCTGGTAAGTGACACTGGAGCCAGCAGTTCTTGAACAGCATCTTGCAAATTTTTTCCGCATAGTCTACATATTTCATCTGCTCCATCTTCACAGGTCAAACTACCATGCTAACACGGCGTCACAGTCTTCCGGATCAAGCACCCTCTCCTGCACCCGAACATTGCAAACGATGGCAGTGTGTGCATCTCCATCTTGCACCCCCCCGGTGATGACGAGATGTCAGGAGAGACTGCCTCTGAGCGTTGGTCAGCAGCCCAGAGTGTCGAGTCTATCCTTGTCTCGATCCTGTCCCTACTCGACGACGCTGAGATCTCCTCCCCGGCCAATGTCGATGCGGCCAAGCTCTACCGGGATGATCAGTCAGCGTTCCAGGAGATCGTCCGCCAGCAGGTGCAGTTCAGCATCAAGAACCGCCCTGCTGGCTTCGAAGCACCCACAGAGAACCAAGCGGGTGACGATGAGTTCTGGATTCCCTCGCCTGAAGGCAGTGTCGACTTCAGTGAGGGAAGCCCAGAGTCCGGACAGGAGAGTGACGTGGCAGAGGACGCGGAGGAAGAGTAGCAAGATCAGTAGAACTGTTCTGTCGATGACGCTGAGCAGGTACCCAGCCTGCTCACGTCGATGGTGCAACTGCCTTGCTTTGTACAATCGGATCTTGGACATAGTTCTTTTCCGTCAGAAGCGTATCATCGCTTCTTCGAATGCAGTGTTTTTGTGAGCTCATCTCTCACTTATCTCTGACTCTCATATCATCTTTCTCTCAGTTCTGATCTGACGTAGCATGACTTGTAAGTCAAGTGCAAGGCTAAACAGAGACACAGGTTGTGTGGGACATCATTTTTAAACTCAACATTATCACAAAGCCCAGGTCACTTGGCAGTACCGGTACTGCAAACTCCGAATAAGGCGCAAGATGGACTTTTTGAATAATTTGGTTACTGGGTTCTGTCACCTCACTCTATAGGGACTCAAACCTCTCTTAGCATGTAGTCTAGCCTCTGTCTCCCTGTCTTCATCTCTGCGTCTCCTCCTCCTTCCACCTCCACCTCCACTAATCATTTCGACGGATGTCCGTGAGACTAGACTCCCACCGAGAGGTCCAGCACGACTAGACGGCCTTCGAACTACGACGGACGTCGACCTCATACGATGTTGTGCTAGTGTTGAGAGGCTCAATCAGCAAGTCTACGGTGGTGTTGTCCTCTCGGACACCCAGACGATTTGCCAACGTTTTCGCGCCGGTCAATACGAGTACCGAGCGTTCAAGAAGTTGTACGGAAGCCCACCCGGAGGCGCAAAAGATCTCGGTATGTTCAGATTCCGTCAACTTGACGCAAGTGTCTTAAGCTGACTATGAGTAGACAATAACCACATATCGCACCACGCTATCGTGCTCTAGAATGCACTTGGCTGGGCTCGCCTTATCGAACCTCTTGGGTAACCAGATACTACTCACATCGCCTTCAGTTAGTGTCTTATTTTGCTTCTTGAAGAGGGTAAATATCATGGACGAGGCATGACAATTCCGCAAGACTCAGTTTCTTAATCTTATCGCCCGACATAAGGCATCTCGAGGATCCCAGTTGACATAAGGCTTAATCTTGATCTGAGACTGAACGGTACACAAATTTAACTGTACTAGGACAACTTTTTTTGAGAACGATCATCTAAAACATCGATCTAGAAAGATATTCAAAAGAGAGTCGAAAGAAGCTCTGTTACACGACTGTGCTCACGATCGAGAGTGTCGGCGTGCTCTATTTGCCTCTCCCATAGCATTGGCCTACACAAGCGGGGATCTCTTGCTCGCGTGTCAGCCCTTGCGTGTCAGCCCCGTCTCTATTGCTCTGGTAGAAAAAATAAAAAGTTTGACTCAACCGTTGATTCGATTGTTGGTTGGTGTGGCGAAGATTCCTTTGGCTGCCTTCCCAATCCCTTATATTTAGCGGAAAGTTGGTTTGTGATAGTTCAGAAACTCTTTCGACCGGGGAAATTTTTTGAAAATCTTGACGAAGAGTTAGAAGATTTCGAGGCGTTCTTTCAAGGGAAATTCAAATCCTTCTCAGCGTCAAAGGCCGTTTTACCAGTTCTTGTTTCAATGTTTCATCTGTTGGAATATAAAGCCGCCCGTTATGGCGTACCATGCCATGGGGGTCGGCCGTAGGAGTGTAGGTCCTACACGCGGAAGCCCTATGTACAATAATCGCAGAAGGGAGGAAGTATTCCGAGCTTCAAGATTCAGTCTTTAAATACAGACCGCTCTTATGTAGACTTTAATCCTTTACCTGGTCAACAGTCCTAGTCACACTGTAATCCCGACCCTAACAATTTTCGAGGAGGCCGATTCACCGATACCGATATCGCAGAGAAATACCACAGCGCCCGACAACTCCCTAGCTAGGACCCTAGAGCTTTCTATAATTATCTCTAGTCAATTGAAAACTGAATATATTTCTAAGAAAAGAACGAGCCCTCGGATACTACGCTAAGCTTTATCCTTTCGGACCTTTCCTCAAAAACGAACTCAAGGTACTAAACCAAAACGACCTTCCAGACAATCGAACCGATATGGTTTCGGTAGCGAGATCCGTACCTAGGATAGCCGTGGTTTTAGCAGATCAGGAAACGACCATACGGCCAATCACAACTCCAAGAAACGCTACGGCGGACATACGACCTTGACCTCCCGATCGGATCCGTCGAAGAGGCAGAAACATCCAAAGACTCACGATAAGCCGACGTATCCCAACCGGACTGCTCTTGGGACTTCGTCGCAACACGATCGGTCTTTTGACTTCTGTTTCACCAAGTTGTGATCGCGCTCCAAAAAGACCCCGGCCGTAGGTATGACTGACTCACTGGGCACTATTATATAGCTTACACAGGTAATGATCTCGTGCCCCGGGCCCCAATACCTAACTGCGGCTACAGTCAAATGAAGAGCCTATGACGTTGGTTCTCTGAGCTGAATGCATGAGTGTATCGATCGCGATACCTGCGTTTCTGGTTACACTGATCGGTCGCAGTGACACGTCTTGTAGGTAGTAGAGACAGGTGGGACAAAGGCTGTCGCAAAGCACGAGTACTATTCCATGTACCCTCGTATGAGAACTACTCTCCCGGGCAGTGATGTCCAGAGACTGTACGTCACTATATCCTGCAGTGTCCGGGGGCAGGTATGATATACACATCAATCTGAGAGTACTGTGATAATGATTCCTGCCGGGTAGTCGTAGGCTTAGATCAGACTGGATTGCAGGTGAACGTTACAATTGCAAGGATCGAATAGTCCACATGCGAGTCTCAACAACTTGATGGAAGCCCATCCAAGTCATTTTTACATGTACAGATGCTCCTACATCAGGGTCCGTAAACATTCTTATTCAACTCAGCTGCTCTTGCAAGTCCGTGGTAGGGAAGTTCCCAATGAGGAGATCCCAACGACCTATATAAACTCCAGGTAGAATATGTGGATTTCGTAACCGGACTTGAATTTCTCAATTACACTGGCTAGCCGCCTTTGCGAGCACAAGCGAGTCTACCTAGATCTTGTACTCGATGGGCTGGACGAAACTGAGCCATCCGTGTTTTCCATGTGCTGGCTGGACAAAGTCACTTGCTCCTATTGATTTTACAAAAAAAAAAAAAAACGGGTGATAACGGGGGAAGTGTTCAGTACTCCATATTTCATTATCTCACGGGCAATTGCGACTCGGCGTGAAAGTTGGATATATAGAATGGACTGATTCTGGTTTACCTAGAGGCATGGTCCAGCCCGGCCCAGCCGAGACAAGCAACTTCGCGTTCAACCTTTCAGGAGTCAGAAGTGACCATGCTTATTGAACCGACGAGAGTCTGGGACGGTTCCAAGGTTGGTCAGGTTACCACTGGATTTCATCGGGACTCCACGACTGATGAGGTATCCAGTGGCTACAGCACTGAGCACAGGTAGTAGAACAAAGTACAAACAACGGACATTTAGGTATCCTCTTCGATCTTTACCCACCGGGGCCCCGCGAACGCATGCTAACTCAATCACTGGCCGCGGTATTCTACGAATCAGTGTGAAGAGTACAGGACCTCCACTCCGGTGAAAATCCAGATTGTCTGCATGACACCGGCACCGAGGCCAGACCCCAACCTGTAACAGCATCTTTCCCGCAGTTCGGATGCTCTGGGGCCGAGAACTCCAAAAGAAAGTGGAGGAAGAAAACCTGGAGACCTCTAGCATGTCCGAAAGGAGCTCTGTTAGCCTACAGGATCTGTTTTGTGCTGGGCTCACGACCCCACTGCCCCTCTCTCCCCGACTGGATGGGAGAGAACCTGAGGTGAGGATATCGTGTTAAGCCTTCGACGCTCGGGCTCGTCGTACCAGACCTTGCCATGTTCAAGTGAGCCAAAATTGCTGGGCTAGACGGATCGCATGGACATGAGGAACCCACTGAGGCCCCGAAATATTCAGAGATTGACTAGGGTGATAACAGAAATCACGGTGCCTCTCACGAATGATCTATCTGAGCTGGGTGGTGGGAACCGGGCAGCACCCTGTTACGTACCGATTACGGATCCTTCTCTCTTGTTGAGCGAATATGGGATTTTGCGAGATCCCCTGACTCATGGAAATATCAGAACACTGGACCACCTTCACGCCACATGACTAGCTTCTCGGAATTAGATTTCCATCCCGGGACCTGCCTGTTCAGACGGACAACAATGGCCGATTTTTGCCGCGTTGACGATGCCGCATTGTCCCTTGCTAGCTGGACCTCTTCGACGGGTCCGCGCACGAATCCCATGGCTAGACCGAGTCTCGGGGCAAGTGGACGGCGCACATGTGAGTCTATAGAGAGCGGGCTTTGCCAGCGTGAAATCTTGTAGATTTCTCGATTCGGCCCGAATTCAACGACCAGTGGGCCCGAAGATTTGCTTGGCCGCCAGGATGTGTGAGGACTTGTTTACACGTTGATCGGTCACAACAGACCGTATTAGTCTATCTACTCACGCTTGCATGGGCATCCTGGATCGTGCCGAGGTAACCTTGCTGTACCACGATGGCCCTGCGCTTAAGCCAACATGACCTGGAGAAGCCGGCTTCACGTCCTCCCACAATTCCGATCAAGATCGAATGTCCATCCAAACGCCGTCCCCTTCCTGGCCACTGATGCTTTCTGTGCAACCAAGGACGGTATAACCCGTCGGTGAGCGACCGTGGAAAATGGTCGGCTTGTGCTGGCCCGTAAGTGAGGGAAGAGGAAAGAGGCGTTTACGCTAGCATTCAAGGGACCGCAGATTGTCCTTGGAAAAGCTAGTACTGTACAATGTGTCCCCTCATTTTCGAGACCGAGGCGCCGAGACGGTCCAGCGTCTTAGGATCAAATCTTCAGGGGACTGAGCAGGGAGCAGCATCCACAGCCGTCCACGAGTCCACACTCGACACTCCACATTTCAGAGTAGTAGTATACCACATTCTGTGCAGTCACGAGTAGTGTACGCATCAACCATCGTCCGATTTGGTGGTTCCTCTCCGCACTCTCATGTCGAGTTTCTCCGAAAATTCACCCGACCGCACGATTTCTCCGGGGAACCCCAGTCCCCCCAACATCGCATCCCCAGCATTCGTAGTCTGAAATCTGGAGTCTGAGGCTCTGAGCAATGGCCAGAGATGCACCGGCGCATCGTCTCGCGAGTCTCACGAGCCAGATCAAAGATCCATCTGCAATGTTAAGCAAAAACAATCACGCTGTCTCTCCAGAGTTTCCCTTACAATTGCAGCGCGAACGGCGCGATCTTTCTCTCTGTTGAGACCGGGCCGAAGCGGCTTCCAACTTTGCGGCATGGCTGGATTTAACTTCCACTACTACCAGCCATTGTCGCGACTCGCCACGATGGGCTTAAATTTTTAGTGCCACTCTTTTGCTTGACTTTATAAAAAAAAAGTGGGATATTCTGGTGGCCGCGTGCGGCGTGACATGAGGGGTCGACTTGCGCAGACTGTGCAAGAATCACCAAGCAAAGACTTTTAAGTTTTCATCGCGGACGACGTTAGTCACTCGCAGGCGTTCATATGCAAGGCCACTGAACCGGTTAGAAAGACGTGCCACCGAACGTGTTGCATTTGGCATTGACAAGGTCATAAACATCCAGCCAGGTCGATGCAACCACCACAGATGGAGCCAATATCATGGAACGACGGCCAAAGTGGGTGCAAATGCCTCGGTGATCGTGAAAGTTGCCGTGACCACAGCGCCTCCCGAAAACGCCCGTATCATGCGAATCGTTCAAGCAAGAAAGTTCTTGATGCCGAAGCCGAGTTCAAGTGGATTTGCTATCCCGACTTTAGCGTAGCGGCGGCCTTCTCATGGACCGTTGTCAAGTTGCATTTGGAAAGTGGACAGTCGAGGGTGGAGGCGTCGGCTGGATTCTCCAACTTGAGTCGAGAGTGTACATCACGGTCGATGTATACCTATTACCTAGACAGCGCGAGGGGTTGAATTAGGTACCCTCCCACTACGGATCTCGCGACAAATTCGCCATGGTCCTGTCCAGAAACGTGACTTGCCATGAAGACCCAAAAATGCTATTCTAAATAAGCTTGCTGCGCGGGCTGGGTGGCCACTACCAGATCAGGCTGGAAGTCCGCGCCACCGTTTATACTGGCAAACTAAAGTCTCCAGCAAGGAATAGGGTGTCTTCTGTGCCTATCTGAGACAAGGAATACGCCGAACCATTGGCCCATCGACTACCCTTGACTCCATCTTCAGTACCGCAGAACCCCTCCAAGGAAAAGAAATCCTGGAGAGGCCTCGCCCCCGCTTGCATCCAGCCGCTACCCCCGAGGAAAGTCTCTTTTTGAGGGCTGCTCGACTGGGAAGTGGTCGCTGGCTCACGCCACGTGCACATGCGTTTGAACGTGGAGAAATGAATCTGGGGTAATCGACAAGCTGCATTTGATTCCGCGGGGGGCCTGTCAGGGATTTTGGAAGACAGTTGATGGAAAAGGGCTTCCTCCTGTGGAGTATAAGTACCCTCGCTGATTCCCGGATATCAACGAGCGCTTCCTTTGCAAAGTATTGCTTCGCATTCTAGCATTCTCTTCCCCGGACCACGTTTCTTTCCAAGAGGGTCCTCTCTTCTTTTCATTCTCAAGATGTCGCAAAAAGAGGGTGCTGGTGTGGTCCACCAGGAAAGCACCTTGAACCATGTCACCCTGGACAAAGAGCCTCAGGGCCAAATCAGAGAAGTCAATGCCGCATCGGTTGCCCTTGCAGCGGCCGTTGCTGCTCAGCCTCCTCGGCTGCTGTCCACAAACATGATCAAGTAAGTCTATCCATAAGCGGAGATCGAAAAGCACGATACTGAGACGCTGACCACAACCCGACAGACTGTACATGATCATGGGTATCTGTTATCTGGTCTCCACTATGAACGGGTTTGATTCCTCGCTCATGGGTGCCATCAATGCCATGAAGCCCTATCAGGATTCTTTCGGACTATCCGGTGCCGGTAAGACATGATCCTAATATCCTCGACTTTACTCCTTGCCACGATCTCTAATTGAACGGTCACTCTTTCAGGGTCCTCCACCGGCGTGGTCTTCATCATCTACAATCTCGGTCAAATTGCGGCTTTCCCCTTCTGTGGTCTCCTGGCTGACGGCTACGGTCGTCGTATCTGTATTTTTGTCGGTTGTCTCATTGTCTGGATTGGCACTGCGGTTCAGGCCCCCGCCACCAGTATGAGCATGTTCATGGGCGGCCGTTTCCTGCTCGGATTCGGTGCTTCTCTCGCCAGTGCTGCGGCTCCCGCCTGGTGTGTCGAGCTCAGTCACCCAGCCTACCGTGGTACCATGGCTGGTATGTACAACAACTTCTGGTGGTTGGGTAATATTCTGGCTGGCTGGACCACCTACGGAAGCAACCTGCACCTCCAGACATCATGGGCGTGGCGGATTCCCACCATTGTCCAGGCTGGTCTGCCCGGAGTCGTTCTCGTCTCTGTCCTGTTCTTCCCCGAGTCTCCCCGTTGGCTCATTGCCAAGGACCGCCGTGAGGAGGCCCTGGACGTGCTGGCCAAGTATCACGGTGAAGGTAAGCCATGCTTCTGTCCTCTTCCTTTCGCCTCCAGTTGATCACCTTCTAACCCATCCATCATAGGTGACCGCCACCACCCCATTGTCCAGCTCCAGTACCACGAGATCACCGAGCAGATCAGCGCCACCCACAACGACAACCCCTGGTGGGACTTCCGCGAGCTGGTCAACACCAAAGCCGCCCGCTACCGTCTCTCCCTCCTGGTCCTCATGTCCCTGTTTGGCCAGTGGTCCGGCAACAACGTCGTCTCCTATTTCATGCCCCAAATGATCATCCAAGCCGGCATCACGGACCCCAGCAAGCAGCTGCTCATCAACGCCATCAACCCCATCTTCAGCATGATCGGCGCCATCTACGGCGCCACTCTGCTCGACAAGCTCGGCCGTCGCACCATGCTTCTCGCCGGTCTCGCCGGCGGTCTCATCGCCTACATCATGCTCACAGCCTTCACCGCCGAGACCCCCAACAACCCCAACCTCAGCTACGGCGTCATCGTCTCTATCTACCTCTTCGGTATCATCTTCGCCTGGGGCTTCACCCCCTTGCAGACTCTGTACGCCGTCGAGGTCCTGGAAAACCGCACCCGTGCCAAGGGCTCCGGTCTGAACTTCCTCGTCCTCAACGTCGCCATGGTCGTCAACACCTACGGTATCTCCGTCGGTATCGAGAAGATTGGCTGGAAGCTCTACCTCGTCTACATTGCCTGGATCATCGTCGAGATGGTCGTCATTTACTTCTTCTTCGTCGAGACCGCCGGCAAGACCCTTGAAGAACTCAAGGAGATTTTCGATTCTCCCAACCCCCGCAATGCCAGTCTGAAGAGGACAAAGGTCGAGATCGACCAGACGGGCAATGTTGTTGGCATGGAGGCATGATTCTTATACTCATGGTCAACCTCCGTTTCCGTTTCTTGTTTTACGGTGATGTTTGAAAATGTGACACGAGTGGAACGTCGGAAGGCTCTGTGAGCCTTCTTGTTAATTTTACAATGATGATATGCATGAAAATATATGCTATAATGAAGTCAATCTATCTTTGCATAATCTCGCTCGCCTCACACTTGCCAGTTAGATAGATCAATTCTGGCCCGGCTAGCTAATACGAAGATATTGGAAGTACTCATTCAGGCATTACATGCTACTAGATCTCAGTCTCTTATTCGCTCCCTGAGGCCGGCCGTGAACAGTCACACGCCAAGGTCAACCCTTTTTATAAGGAGCTGGCACCGGAATGCGGTTCGACAAGATACGTTGACCGAGTTGTTGTCAAGTCTGGAGAATAGATTTCGCTTTGAAAGGTGATGTCGCATACCTAGGCACAACGCTTTCAATATACTTTCAGGTCACTGCCGGTCAGAACTCTGATTCAAGATTCTTGTGCAAGCTACTTGCCGAGTTTGCACACCAGAGTGGTGCGAGACTCAAGAAGAGAGAGGGAGAGAGAGAGAGAAGGAAAACCAAAGAGCAAGTAACAGTCTGTGTGAGATACTATAGGTGGAGTGCATCGGATTTATCGTCCCGAAAGAATAGTAATAAAAAACGTCCATAACAACAAGAATCATGAGCTGAGAAACAACTATAAAGCAACTGTTCTGCGCCGAGAAGGGTCCTTTCATCCATTATACCCAGCGAGGACCGGCCCGTCACAGAAGGGTCTCGATAACATCACAGCTCTAAGCGCTAATAGCATCCTTGATCTCGCTGTAGATGGCGCCGAGCTCGTGGCTCAGGACCTTCTGCTCCTTGGCAATGACCTCCTCGACCTTGCCAACAAGCTCGTCGAGGTGCTGCTTCATTGAGTCAGAAGCACCAGCCTTGTAGCCGCCCTTGGAGAGGATCTCGGTGTAGTTGGAGGAGCCGCCACCGTTCCAGGCGAGGAGCTGGGAGAGGGGTTAGCAAGATGAACTAGATGATGGAGGAAAATGAAGACAAGTCAACTTACGTTGGGGGTGTCGGAGGGGATGTCAGAGAGGGCACCAGAGGTGGCGACAGTGATCAGCGCATCCTTCAGCTTCTTGGGAGTGATCTCCTCGACGGCAAAAGCGGAATCAGACGCAGGCTGAAGAGAGACGTAGTAGGCCAGGAGACCAGCGATGTGGGGGAGGCCATGGAGGTGCCAGAGATGGTGTTGACGGCGTACTTGCTGCCAATCCAGGTGGACAGAATGTTCAGACCGGGGGCAAAGATGTCAGTGCACTTGCCATAGTTGGAGAAGTAAGCACGCTCGTCGCCCAGGGTGGAGGCGCCCACAGTGACGGCCTTCTCGGCAGCCGCTGGGGAGTAGTTGCAAGCATCGGCGTTGTCGTTACCAGCAGCAACAGCGAAGTGCATACCGGCATCAACGGCAGCGTTCACAGCAAGGTCAAGAGTGCGGGAGCTACCACCACCGAGGGACATGTTGGCAACACTGCCCTTGAAGCCCTTGGCCTTGCCGTCCTTGGCAGCCTTGGCCTTCTTGATGTGAGCCTCAGCAGCCCACTCAACACCCTTGACAACATCTGACATGGTGCCAGAGCCGTTGGAGCGGAGGACCTTGACAGCGTACACATTGGCCTTCTTGGCCACACCGTACTTCTTACCGGCAATGGTGCCGGAGCAGTGTGTGCCGTGGCCATTGCCGTCCTCATCCGCATCACCTTGGGGGATCGTCTTGCCCCACGAGGCACGCCCTTCAAAGTCAACGTGGTTGATATTGGTGCCGGTGTCAATGACGTAGGCATCAACACCCTCACCACCATCCTCGGCATAAAGGTACTTGTTGTAGGTACCGAAAGAGAGAGAATCGCGGTGAGAGATACGAGCCAGACCCCAAGGAGCGTTCTTCTCGATGGCCGGGTCCTCGAAGTGGTGGACCTCGGAATCCTTCTCGATATACTCGACCTGTAGGAGTGAGGGTGTTGAGGTTAGCCGAGGAACCTGACAAGTGGGGAGACTGCAGCCAGCGAAGCGAAGACACGACCACTTACATCTGGGTGCCGGCGAACCTGCTCGATCACATCTTCGTGGAAGTGACCAGCATAACCCATCAACGAGCCCGCGACGTGGAAAGTGTGCTTCACGCCGAGATAAGGGTCACTGTCGGAGCCAAAGAGGGAGCGTTTCTTCAACTCCATCCGCATGGTGTCCGAGTGGATGTCCTGCACCCAGCTGTGGTGAGCGGACGCAGCCGAGGCTCCGACATGCTTCTTGAACACAACGATGTAGGAATCTGGGATCTCCTTGGCACTCGTGGAAGACAAGACAGGAGCAGCACCGTTGTGGATGGATTCGGACCAGGTGGGAGAGGCAGCTGCCAGCAGCGGGAACAATGTTAGGCTGAGGAGGCCCTTCATGATGACGATTGAAAGTTGGATATGGACAAAGAACGACAGGGATCCAGAGATGTCACAACAGGATGATAGCAGAAATAGGATGGGATATCGACAGAGATGTCGATGGAGAGATGGAGATGGAGAAGGGGAAGAAGAGGAGTAGGAGGAGAAGGCTAAAGCGATGAGGAGAGCGACGTGAGGAGTAACGGGGTCACTGGGTCACTGGACCAAGTACCTTATCTAAGGGTAGCAGGTGGAAGGCGGAGAAAGCATGATGCAAGCGGGAGCTGACGAGGCAGACACCGCGGGATACGGTCTGGATACAGACTCAAAACGAGGAATACCAATCCAAGGCTGGCACCGATAAGCGGTCGATTGGCGGTGGGTTGTCGATCCTGGTGGATCCGTCAAGAGACAGTCAAGACCGGGGTTGGGGCAATACGCTCTGATACAGTGATACGGTACCACCTTGATACGGTCACAAGGTCTAGGTCGGCGATAAGAGGAGCTTATCTAAGCCCTCCTTGATCGAGTCATCTTCCAAGTTCATGTGGATGGATCTCACCTGTGGAGGCGCACGCCCGTTGCTCGGTCGGGCGGGGGTCCCCTCATCAAGATGGCCGTCCACTACGATCATCCTTCCGGGCTGAAGAAATCCGGGGCTGGGGAATCCATAGTGATGCCTGTTCCGCTAACCAAGTAGGTAGCAGCTATAGCACACACTGCACACAGAAGAGTCAGTGCCCTAAGTAAATAGTAAGTACTAAGGTAAGTACTAAGGTAAGTACTACTGAATGTGTATACCAGGCGACCAGCAGGGCAGTGCGCAGTTCGCATTTGTTGCATGGACCCAAGCTCCAGCATGATTTCTTGTTTCGGACTCTGGAATTCACATGACTCGATGACTCAGGGCTGTGTCGGACAGAAAACAGGGACTGCCCGATCCTCTTTGGCTCGCAGCCATCTCGCCCCCCTCGGGCTTGCATGGGATGACGAATTGAGGTGATCGGACGGAAGCTACGACTAGGGGAGATTCTCACCAAGGACCCTGTGGCCTGCTCCTCCTTCCGGGTACCTGGCAGGTGCACCGATCGAGTGGGACAAAGCATCTAATTCGCGGTAACTATGGCCTGAGGGTGAAGTCCTCGATGGTCTTGCAGGCAGCTTTTCAAGTCGCGTGCTTTGGTCCTCGGATGCACGCATCTACCTACGTCTAAGGTACCGCTAACTAGAAGCTCTGGCTCCTTCGGCGCAATTCTTTGGGTATTCTAGCTACGTCGAGAAAAGTAGAATCGAGTTGAAGCTCCCTGAGGTGGTGTCTGGGAGCCATTTAATCTTATCCGATCGACAGATACCTTATATACCTAGTTTACCTATCAGGGCAAGCTGTGGATCCAGTAATGTGTGCAAATTTCCTGTTTAAGGTGTCACGGGCATGTCCATGAAACATCCTTTATTGTCGATGTGAGGTTACTGTGCACATGCGTCTCTCAGATGATCTTTCTGATAAGGTTCTATCTCATACAAACTTTCCATCAAATCGGCTGCTTTCGGTCTGCCTGCGTGGTCGCATATGTCCAGGTTCCTGAGGGAGGCTCTATCGGTCGCAGTACACCACCAAGCCACCACATCATATTTTACCTAGTATACACTATAAACTATACACTATATACTATGCTCTGTACAGCTATGCACTACATAGGTACCTAGCTAATAGCTACTAGCTACTACACGACGGACATACTACTAGGTAGTGGACAGTAGACACTACAATAGATAGTAGACACCAGACACTGACAGTGACGCACTAAAGGCGCTGGATTTGCCCATCTCCTACCTTCGTGACGAAGGTAACCTACAATAGCCTACAACAGTACCTCAGTGGGGGTATACAGAAAATCAACCATCTTCAGATTCCAGGCGGTTTCCAGCGCGCCCTTGCGACGGAAGCTGGAGGTTGCTTACTCCAACCAAGTTGAATCCGACGGCATCGCGCTTCTAACTGGGAGCGGAGGCCGTCCATGGAGGTGGATAATTGGTTCCAAGCGCCCGACGATATGCTGAGCACTTCCTAGTTCCTACTAACCGAGCTGTTACCCTACCTGATCCTTTGCCTGGGTTGAGGATATGTTTTCATAGCCAAAGTTTGTGTCCCCTTTACCCAACAAATGCCTCCCGATGGAAGAGCATACCTACCCATCGATCCATGCTCCCTTAAGTCTCACTGAAACATCTCAGATATGAAGATATAGGTATCCTTAGACTGACTCGGCTGACTGCCCCCATTGAACCGCACATGAACCTTCTGAGCCGGTAGAACCAACGTGCCTGACTCCCCGTCGTTTGAGAAGAAGTTGCAAAAAGAACTCTATAGGACCACTGGAAGTAAGTGGTCCAAAAAAAAACCATATCCGACCACCAGTGACGAGGTGGGCTTCACCTACTAGCACAGGACGTATGATGACCAGGCACTGCGTTTGGGCGTTCTGTCTTGCCCTGGTAAAAGCCATCGAAAAGCCCGCGATGGACGGTCGAGTTTGAGGAGTCCCAGTTGAGCTGACGCGGAAGATTGCTCTTACTTTGCCGGAGAATATCAATGGAGAGACCAATTGTTACTATGGCGCCCTTTATATGAAATGGTGAAAACGAATGATGGCAACTACAGATGGCTCTCTCGTGGCCTAAATGATGTCCACTGGCCTCAAAGGAGAGTAATTTGCTGTCAATGGTGATAGGGCGGCACTTCCACGCACTTGACTGCCAATAGAATGACAGAAGAGAGCGGAGAGAAGGTTAGTAGTAGCTGAGACAGGTAAGAGAAGTATAAGATGTATCATTGTCCATGAGGAACTAAGGATGTTTGTAATAGCAGCGTCGGGAGCGCTTCGATCTGACGTCAGTCCAGAGCGGCCGGGGGCGGTCAACAACAGTAGTCAAGGTGCTGCCTGTCCTGGCCCATCTGGTGCTGGAAGTACATGCACTCATGCAGTAGTCGTCGTAAGAAGTGAGGTGCATAAAGTCATGTAGAAAAATGATGAGAGAACCAGGTATTGGGTGTCGACGGTTCGTAAGCTACCCCATGCGTGGCTCACATAGACCTCAAGAATGCGTGCCGTATATGATGAGTGATGGATGTCTTGGACAATCCCCACTCGACCTCGACAGACAAACTGCCCGATAAGGTGATTGTTGAAGGGTCTCCACTGCATTCTCGACGCAGCCCCCATCTCCATCGTCCGCATTGACTTAGTTTCAGGATTCATCTGCTCCCCGATTTTGGTCACCTGATTTGACTGATTGTGTCAGAGCGACCACCTCGAGCATTTCCGGTCGAACAAGCAAGTGCGGCAACTGCCAGTCGTCGCCCACACGCCGTTGATCAGAAAGCGGGCAAGCTTGCCTTTCTGACTGCGCACACGCATGCCGCAAATCTTCGCAGATCTGGTTGCCAAAGTCCGCTGACCTTCTTCTCCCTCGGATGGCCGTGGCTCAATCGTCCCCCTCGACTTGCTGAACAACCGTGAGTACATTTCAATGCGGACCGCTTACCTCGATACGCCAATTGCGCACTCACGGTCTCTGGTGGTCACACGCCATCGGACCGGTCGTCGATAAGATTTGGCTATGTCTGCGCCGCCCCTCCTACCTGCCTCCTCATCCGCCGCGATCGACTGTCATGCAGAGGACCTAGCACCGATTGTCGACCAACTCAGGTCTCTGACCACGGCCGAGAACCCCCAAGTACCTGACCTCGCAGCGGCGACTGAACCTCTGCTTCGTCTTCGTCATACGTTCATCGACGATGCTCGCCCGCGAGTCGCAAAAGATGCCTTTCGCCAGATGGCGGGATTCCAAACAATATTGGAGCTCACAAATCAGCTTGCTGAGATGTATGATCCCAACGGCATGTCAGATGACGAACGGAAAGGTCTTCTGGCAATCTACAAAGATGCTCTGGGGACGCTCGCCGAAGCATTGAAAACCCACCTGGGTAACAAGAGGTACTTCGCGCGAAAGATAGCCGGCGGGGGTATGGCGGCATTAGAGCGATCGCTTGCGACCCTCACAAGGAAGGTTGGCAAATTTGAGAGCGATGCGCAGCAACTCTATGGCGCCATACTGGCCGCAGCTTTATGTCAGGAAACGGCGGCTACAACTTTTACAGCAATGAGTGCCAAATTCCGGGGGAAGGAGAGCGTCCTCTCACCACAAGAGGTGCGCAGCGCTGTCGACCAGTTTATGGGATCCGCGGAGACAGTCGAGGTTTCCGAGCTTCTTGGCTCCTTGGTACGCGTTTGGGCAGCCGAGTCCGCTTCAACAGGATCAGAAAGCGAGATCATGCGGTTGACCTTTGCGGCCTGTCTGGGCCAACTGGCAGCACAGTCTCGTAGAAACGTCGTTGCGTTGCATGCCACTGGTATGCTGACTGCTATTCTGTCCATCTTGTTCCGGCAAGGCTACTCTGAAACAGAGAGGAAACTGTACCAAGATCTGGCTCATCATCTGAGTGTGCAAGGCATCAACAACCTGGAAGATGCTGTTGCTCTGTACCGCCATGCTCACGATAATTACCGCAACCTCGAGTTTCTACTATCTGCGCTGAAATACTCCAAGGAACCACCATCTATACAGTTCGACCTGTCCCTTCACGGCTTCTGTTCAGTTGAGTTTGCGACTCTTGGTCGGCCGTTCCCGCCGACTTCGTCTGCCGGGTACACCCTTGCGGCCTGGGTGCGTTTTGATGAATTCGATCGCAATACGCACACCACCATCTTCGGAACATTTGACGCGAGCCAGACTTGCTTTGTTCTGGCCTACATAGAGAAACATACAAGAAAATTCATTTTTCAAACCTCAATTCGCGGGTCTCGGCCAAGTGTACGCTTCAAGTCGGCAACCTTCGAGACAAATAGGTGGTATCATATCTGCATTGTCCACAGAAGGGCAAAGCCTGCGCATTCGTCGCGGGCATCGTTGTTTGTGGATGGCGAGTTCATGGAACAGCTGAAGATCGAATTTCCTACTACCCCAGTCAGCAACAACCCACACAGACCGCCCCGGATACAAGCCTTCTTTGGAACCCCTCAAGATCTTGCTATGCGCCTTGGAAAGGGCGTTTCCAATTCAAGATGGTCTCTTTCAAATGGCTTGCTGCTCGACGAAGCATACAGTGATGATCTAATTGCGGTCTTCTACAACCTTGGGCCAAGATACTTTGGAAATTTTCAAGACTGCTTAGGATCATTTCAAACGTACAAAGCTTCTGCCACCCTGAATCTACGCAATGAACACTTGCATCCGGGAAGAGAGGAGGAATCGGATATTGTTACAGCCATCCGAAGACGGGCCAGTAGCCTCGTGCCTGAGACAACAGTCGTGATAAATCTGTCTCCAGTTGCCGTCCTGGATAGCAATGACGGCGGCAACGTCGGCGAGTCGCGACTCAGCAAGTGCCTTTCCAAACAAGCTGCAAAGAGCCTACAACATATGACGAAGGCGGGCGGCAATGCATTGGTAGTGAACGGAGGCACCCCGGCAATCAATGATGGATTGACGCTACCACAAGGAGTCGGGGTTCTCACAGGAGAACCAGTAGTGGCGGTGCCTTGGTCAATGGACGATGCGAGCTGGTGTATAGGTGGCTGTGCAGCAGTTCATCTCAGTCTGGTTCGAGCGGCCGACTCAGCACAGGCGACTCGTCTCGCCGTTGAAGCACTTTACGAAGCCGTGCAAGACAATTGGAGAAATAGCGAAGCTATGGAACGAGAGAATGGCTATGGAATCTTGGCCGTCCTACTGCGCGAAAAGCTAGGTTTTCAAATAGCCAATCCTTCGTCTATCGGGCCATCCTCAACCATCAGCGTACCTGCTGAAGAGCACAACGATCTCATGCTTGACCTGCTGCGCCTCACGCTAAGGTTCGTAGGCTATGACTTTGAACACCCAGATCATTCCATCATCGCGAACCCTCTGGCTTATCGTGTCTTGCTTGTGGACATGGACATCTGGAGATCAGGTGAAGGAGACGTGCCTGACTTGTATTATTCCCAATTCCGTACATTCGTGTCCGATAGCAACTACCGCCACTTCAATGCCAAACGTTTCGGGCGTATGCGTGAGTTCCCCTCTTTCTTTGATCGTTGAATTCCTGTGGAATGTGCTGCTGACTATCACAGGCGTTAGCAAGAAGTTGCTCGAAACTTTGAAAAGCAATGATTTGGCCGACGAGTCAATCCGTCCCTGCCTAGGTTCATTCCAGGCTCTTATGGAGAGTAGTCTTTCTCCTGATCTTCTTCGCTCACTCGCTCTGTCCATAACGTTCAATTTACATCGACCCCGAACACCATCTGCGCTCCACAAGAAGAGAAGCCTTCGATTTGCTGGTCCAAGCTCGCCCCGGCCTTCATCATCGAGTATAAGCCCACCCACAAAGGTTTCCGGCACGACACTAGCGATAGAGATGCTGCGACTCTATGCATCGGTGCTCTGCAATGCCCTCGATCTCAATCCGCTGAAGAGGTTTGCCAAGGCAGTCACAAACAAGGTATGGACACTATGTCCTCTCTCTTCTGATCTCTTCGCTTATTCGAACCGTAGTGGCTGTTGTATTTGTCTTGCGAGGATGAGCCAGAAGTCGTTGTGCTCGCAGTCAAGATCCTTGCACGACTACTTATTGTTCACGGGAGCAGCTACAGCAAAAAATTCTCCGACAAGAATGGTGGTTATACCGTGCTTGAAAAGAACCTGGACAAATGGTGGAATGTACCCGTTCTGTGGCCAATCTGTTTCTCAATTCTTTTTGGACAAGACCTTGCGGCTGTCGACCTTGACCGTCCATTTACCGCCGCGGACTTCCTCAGTGTTTTCCTTGCGGAAGGCGACCTTCGAATTGCGTTTCCTGAGATGCTTCCCGTCATTATGAATATGCTCAAACATGCAGCGGAAAGTCTTGTATCATTGGATGAGCCTACTGGGCAAGAGCCAGTCAGTTCCGATGTGCCGAAGAAAATTCTCATGTCTGCGCAAAAGTCTAAATGTAAGTCTCCAGATTTGCATTGAGCACTTCGTCATGCGTTCCACTGACATCCAATCCTCTCGCAGTAACTAGCGCATCCGAGGTCCTTGTGGAAGGAACTTGCATTGTGCACTCGATTGTTGCATTTCTGGAGGGGTTGTTTAAGGAGTCGAGAAACTTCCGGGACTTCACAATTCAGTCTGGCTATGTTCAAGAAATACTCGGTCTTCTATGGCCCACTGTCGTTGGTGTTCAGCCCACACACGCAAGCTTTGAGCTTCATTCGCGACACGGCGACTTCAATTTTGAAGAAAGTAGCTTTCTAACACGTCCCAAATCGAGCCGCAAAAACAGCTCGACGCCACTGCAGGTGAGCATCATTGATTCTGCCGAGAACCTCGACGAGAGTGCGGACTCTCCGCAGCGCCGCTCGTCATTTATACTTGTCTCTTCCGATAAGTCCAAAAACCAGCCCTCATTCGCGCGGATTCAAAGGGTTGTAAGCGTGAGCCGTCCGGCCGAGGAATATTCAAGAATTCACCACCTGGTCAAGTCCATCGCCAGCCTCGTGCTTGACGTGTTTGAAGAGCAGCTTCTACAACGCAAAGATTTTTCCGGACTAGGATTATACCACAAAACACCCGCCGGTAACCTAGAACATCAGGCTGATTTCAACTCATGGCTCTTGAGCCTGTTCCTGTCGCGGCTAGAGGGTATCCCCTCAACACGACCTCACCTCCTACACGAAGCTCGGGCCCTGACAAATATCGCGCGCTTTGCCACACATCTCACAGAAGCTGTGTATGAAGGGTGGTTCCTTAACGGGGCTGCTGTAGTTCTCGAATTCCTGGGAGTGATTCTGGAATACATTCAACGTCCAGATGTATCACACATCAAGACCATTCGCTTGTGTAGCCAGTCTGTGGCAACACTACACGCAATGCTTTACAGGATAACCCTTTTCCAACTGTCCGAAGCTCATGATTCAAAGACTTTGTCTGTTCTGCAACGCCTGAGCTACTGGCAAGTTGTCCTTCTCGCTGCCGCTGAAACGCAGCCAAGGAACCTGCAACTTCTGTGCTATCTTCTCTACACGCGGCTTATCAGCACAGACACCCAAATTCGCCTTGCTGCCGCTAGTCTTTGGCGGATGATTCTGGTGCAAAAGCCTCAAGATATGTCGAACCTCTTGCGTCACGGCTCAGCTTCTCTTCAGCGCCGACTTACGGACGTGTTCGAGGCACTGGCTGGCCTGGATGATGAGAAGTTCTTGCGTGAGATCGATGACGAACGGCAAGATCTTGATGGCTTTTTCCTGGGTGTCTTGTCCCACCATTGGGAGTCTTTCGTTGCGGATGAAAATGTGAAAAATGAAGAGTCTGCTAGACACAGAATTTCCAAGCGCAAGGAAAAGCTCAAACAGTGGGCTCAGTTGGAAAAATACGACGAAGACGTTCTTCGCAAGCACGATGCTACTCTTCCACATTGGATATCCAATATTTCAGCGTCAGAATTCCTGAAATCTCAAAGATTTCTTCAAGATCTCCAAGATAACTCGGTTTTCATGTGGTCAGCCTTCTCAAATCTCTTGTTAGGCTTGAAGAGGCCCGGTGCCCTTCTCGCGGAAGACAAAGAACGCAATTACAAACTGGATCAGACCGAAGGTCGCAGCCGCATGCGTCTGCGAGTTGTTCCGGACGAGTCTGGTGAACGCCAAGATTATCAGCCAAAGCGAAAGGCTTCTGAGCCGCCAGCGCCCAAACTTGACCTCCGACTTCGCGCGTTGTCAGCGGGAGAGATGGCTTCGTCGCCAAAGGCAACAATAGCGAAGACAACCACTGGCGAGCCCCGGCAACAAGATGATCCTTCGGAAGAAACAGATGACCGCAGCACGATCGAGGATGAGAACTTTGAAATGGTCGATGATCCAAAGCTTGAGCTTGAGGATTATGAAGACAAGAACCGTCGGGTGATGCGCTCCCTTCACCGCGGGGATCAGGTCCAAAGCGTGTGTAACATGTCTCGAATCATCGGCCTGGAAGCTGTAGAGGGTCTTCTAATCCTCGGAAAAGACTGCATCTACATTCTCGACAACTTCTTTCAAAGAGCGGACGGTGAGATTGTGAATGTCTGGCAGGCCCCTCCAGACGAACGCGATCCCTACGTACGAATGATAGCTGGCAGAGAATCGAACGACCGTCGTTCACACGAACACGAGACTCGAAGCTGGAAGTGGGCCGACCTTGTTAGCGTCTCGAAGCGCCGATTCCTCTTCCGGGATGTTGCTTTGGAGATATTCTTTACGGACGGCACCAGCTATTTACTCACGTTCTTTGCCGCACACGTGCGGGACAATCTTTGCACCCTGCTCGGAAACAAGGCTCCACAGGTTACCGGAAGTGCAGGTCACTCGCGTCCCGAAGATATCTGGAGATTCGAGACCCTTCGCAGTCAAGAGGATGCGCCACAATCTTTGGGCTCCAAATTCGCAAGTGTTTTCGGTCATCTACCTGCCAATCCCGCTACGCGCAAGTGGGTTCGCGGGGAAATATCAAACTTCCACTATCTCATGTTGATCAACACCCTTGCCGGACGAACATTCAACGACTTAACCCAATATCCCGTCTTTCCGTGGGTTTTGGCTGACTACACCAGTGAAGAGCTCGACTTAACCAATCCCAAGACTTTCCGCGATCTTTCCAAGCCTATGGGCTGCCAGACTCCAGATCGGGAGATGGGTTTCCGTGAGAGGTTCAACGCTTTTGCGGAGATGGGTGATGACAATTCTCCACCATTTCACTACGGAACTCATTATTCGTCCGCCATGATCGTGACCTCTTACCTTATTCGTCTGCAGCCGTTCGTCAAATCGTATCTTCTCCTGCAGGGTGGTACATTTGACCATGCTGACCGTCTGTTTTACTCTGTCCGTAAAACTTGGGAGTCTGCATCTCGCGGAAACATGACAGACGTCCGCGAATTGATACCTGAATTTTTCTATCTTCCCGAATTCCTAATCAACTCCAACAAATACGAGTTTGGAATGCTGCAAAACATGCGCACCGCAATCGACTCTGTTGAGCTTCCGCCATGGGCTAAAGGTGATCCGAAGATCTTCATTCAAAAGCATCGAGAAGCCCTCGAGAGCCCTTACGTCTCTGAGAACCTACATCACTGGATCGATCTTGTTTTTGGCTGCAAGCAAAAGGGCGAGGCTGCCATTGAGGCTGTCAACGTGTTTCATCATCTCTCATATAAGGGAGCGAAGGACTTGGATGCAATTTCTGATCCCATGGAACGATTGGCGACTATAGGTATCATCCACAATTTTGGTCAGACTCCTGGCCAAATTTTCCACCGAGCGCATCCTCCGCGGGAGGGCCAGAAGTATCGTGTACCTCGATTAGATGCTCTGGCGGAATCGCTCACACAGATGCCCTTGTCTCTACTTGGTGAGTTGCTCCGGGTTGACTGTGACTTTCGATGCGCTGAGGCTAATCAGGGTTCCTCACTAGATATTGGTGAACATGTCACAGCACTGGCTATGAAACAAGATCGACTACTTTGTACATCCGCTCTCCGTATTAACGTACCACCAGCGTACGATCAATACCTAGAGTGGGGATTCTTTGACGGAAGTGTCCGCTTCTATTCCGCAGAAGGGCGCAAGGTACGTGATGATCACCTACATCTGAGTTATGATACGAGTGTCTAATCCATGTTCACGTTGCAGCTGCTGGGACATTTCGAGCACCTCCATATAGGCCAACTCTCATATGTGACTTTTGCTGATTCGAGGACACTTGTCACTTGCGGCAACGACTGCACGGTTTCCTTGTGGACCGTGACTGCGACCTCGCGGGCAGTTGACTTGCAGCCTATCGGATCTCTCTTCGGACACCGAACCCCAGTGACCGTGCTGGCTGTCTCCCGTTCTTTCAGTACTCTGCTTTCCGCATCCAGTGATGGTCAGATCATGTTGTGGGATCTGAACCGCCGTGGCTTCGTGCGAACACTGCCCGGAGACGGTGTAGTCGATGTAGGTTTGGTGCCGACTTCTGATTCGCTTATCCAAGCTAACGGCTGAAATATCAACAGTGCGCTAAGGTCAATGACGTGACCGGCGACATTATTGTGTGCCGAGGCCGCCGACTCACCATGTACACTCTGAATGGCGAGATGGTGATTGATCAACCGGTCTGTGACGCACCCGACGACCGGGTTTTGTCTTGTAGCTTTTACGAGGGGTTGCAGAATGAATGGCTGGAGCGCGAACTAGTGCTCACCGGTCATGCTCGCGGCGTGGTCAACATCTGGAGCAAAGTTATTCGCCACGGTGCATTTGAACTGGAGCTCATTCGCCAGCTTCACCATACCGATAGCAGCCGTGACAATGGCGCCAACATTCAGACTGGTATCAGTTGCATTCTGGCTCTTCCGCAGGTGGTGTACACTGGAGATGAAGCTGGTCGAGTGGTACGTCACTACGCTTGGATGTCCCTTCACTCGAACTCGCCGCAGCTGTCAATGGACGAACTGAGCTAACGTGATTTTCTCACAGTATGAGTGGAACTGTGTTCAACGGCGCTGAAGCCTCTGCTCAGAGTAAGATCTTGGACCTTATACCTCCTTTGGGGTATGGGACTTATGATTCGGGCCCTACGAGTTATCGTCTCTTCTGTATTGCATCTCTACATTTCTGATACACGAGATATGGAGGACATGTCATACATGTCTACACGATGACAGGAGTCCACTACTATCTATATCAGTTCTGAACCCCCCTATAACAAGAAACAGTGATTCGATTGAACCTCATTCAAGGCAGCCCAAGGGACGCGGTGCAATCTCCACTGGGTGGCACCTGAGAGCGATCATCCCCCGGATACAGTGAGAATGGTGCATTGACATCACCGGTACATGTCTCGATTTAGAAGACTACATGTAGTCCTGTACTTTCCAAAACACATAACACAGACTAGGAAAATAGCCGCGCTACGATATTGAGGTGCCGGTAGTTGACTAAGTGCGCGTGCTCAGGTACAGCGAGCGGATGGGGCATCGCGGGGTGATGGATGGGTTCCCCAATCAGCCCTTTGGTGGAAATCGAGCCCCTGGCCGATCTTTCTTCCACCGCGCCGCCTGAATTATTCGGCAAGAGCACCCAGCACGTTCTTGAAGGAGCGTTTGTGTCTGACCAGATTTAACCGGGTCTCGGTGAGCATGGCGTGAACTTCACCGTGGCAGTTGTGGGCCGTTGGCCGGTCGACTTCCCTCCGCCGCTTCGGGTTGGGCTGACTCGGTGCAGAGTGCTCCGAGTTACATATGATCACGCGGAAACATTCAGAGACCGGGTAGGATTCGGATGGGTTAAGTCAACCCAAGAGAACGGATGATTGTAGAATACAATGGAACGAACATAAGAGTAGTCAAGGTACATTCGAAGTGCCGGAGTCAACAAGCACTCGACCATGATTACGGAGGCCACCTCGGGATGGTCATTATGCGTTTCTCAATTTTGCCGGGGACATCCGGCTTTCAATGGGAGGAGCAAGTACAAGCACGGGCAGTAACTAGTACAGAGTACAGACCACAGAGTACAGAGTCTTTGATAGGGGACTACAAAAAAGCACCTATCCTGTTGCAACACTTGAAGTGTGGTACATCGACCCAGCCACAATGGGCTGTCATATTCTGACTGGAGTCTGTCAGCAGCTGGATCTCGTCCATAATGATTACTTCACCGTTCGTCTTTCGCATGCGTCTGGGACTTTTTGGGACCTTTGGGGTGCCGCCAAAATACCCACGGGTGATTTCATCGGGCCCGTCATTTGCCCCACTTCCCTCAACGCTGATGTAGCCAGCGTAGAGGTACCCCGTCTCACTATGGCGTAACCATATGGCTCCCAGGTACCCCCCACCGACCCGCCAGAGAGGCATCGCCTCTCTGGTTCCAATGCCCCTCCGCTAAATAGTGTCCTGCTCGCCACTTCTCTTTTCTTTCGACTCTCTCCCCTGAACTATCTACAACTTCTTCTCTTTCCCAAACCACTCAATTCTGCTTGAACGTCAACGTTTTCTCACCACACATATACTCCTGTCCATCAACATTATGTCTTCTTCTCTCGAGCAGCTCAAGGCCACTGGCACCACCGTCGTCTGCGACTCTGGTAAGTTTCTTACTGCGTTGGGGGTTGCCGATTATGCACGAGGAGGAAAACAAACAAAAAATTGAATACTGACACTGAATGCTTCTAGGTGACTTTGCCAGTAAGTAGTCTCTCTTCGCATCGCTTGGGCTGTCGGGACACTTCACTGTGTCCACGGCGCACCATCGCGCCGTCTTCGCGAGTAGCCACTAACAGACATCCTCACAGCCATTGGCAAGTATAAGCCCCAGGATGCCACCACAAACCCTTCCTTGATTCTCGCTGCCTCCAAGAAGGCCGAGTACGCCAAGCTCATCGATGCCGCCGTCCAGTACGGCAAGGCCAAGGGTGGCTCCATCGAGCAGCAGGTTGAGGCCACCCTCGACCGTCTCCTTGTCGAGTTCGGCAAGGAGATCCTCAAGATCATCCCCGGCAAGGTCTCTACCGAGGTCGACGCCAGTCTGTCCTTCGACACCCAGGGCTCCGTCAACAAGGCCCTTCACATCATCAAGGTAAGCTAGAGCGGGTCCCAATCCCACTGCGTGAGTTGGAGTATCCCCACGATGAGAACGCACGCTAACGATATGTTTTCCCGCCACAGCTGTACGAGGAGAACGGCATCCCCAAGGACCGCGTCCTGATCAAGATTGCGTCCACCTGGGAGGGTATCCAGGCTGCCCACATCCTGCAGTCTCAGCACGGCATCAACTGCAACCTCACCCTCCTTTTCTCCCTTGTCCAGGCTGTCGCTGCCGCCGAGGCCGGTGCCTTCCTGATCTCTCCCTTCGTTGGTCGCATCCTTGACTGGTACAAGGCTGCCCACAAGCGCGACTACACCGCCACCGAGGACCCCGGTGTCAAGTCTGTCCAGGACATCTTCAATTACTACAAGAAGCACGGCTACAACACCATTGTCATGGGTGCCTCGTTCCGCAACGTCGGTGAGATCACCGAGCTCGCTGGCTGCGACTACCTGACCATCTCCCCCAACTTGTTGGAGGAGCTCTTCAACTCCACCGCCGATGTCCCTAAGAAGCTGGACGCCGCCTCTGCCAGCAAGCTTGACATCCCCAAGCGCAGCTACCTCAAGAACGAGCCCGCTTTCCGCTTCGACTTCAACGAGGAGGCCATGGCCGTCGAGAAGCTCCGTGAGGGTATCTCCAAGTTCGCTGCCGATGCCGTGACCCTCAAGCAGATCCTTGAGGAGAAGATCAAGGCTTAAAATTGATGAGCCAGCGGGACTGGACGAGGATTCGGATGGGGTCTAACCGACACCTGTCTTGATTCTGACCGACCTCACTTTCTTCTACTTCTGTTACTTTTCATGGTTTGTTAAATGTCTCACGTGATATGTTTATGTAAATTGGCGATCACCAAAATGGCTCGGGAATTCGGTAGATACGAATTGATGAATTTATAATTACCTTTCTCCCCCCACCCCCCCCCCCCCCTAAATCAACATTTGGCTGAAGTGAGAAACACCCAGAGATATGGGAAATACTCAAGTGTGAATGCACCGAACACTCCCGTCGGCACGATTGGAATTAGAGTGTGGATTGAATGGAATCTGCCGGACCGCAATTTGAACTGGCAGATCTACGAATATGTCAAGACTCAATACTCATCCCGCCTGAGCGAGACGTCAATGGATGTGACATTTAGATTTTACATTTCTTTTTTTTTCCATCGAGAGTCACACATCAATTGTTGGATCCTGTTACGCCCAATTCGAGAAGAAATCAAAGTTTGTACTCCTAGTCGTGAAAGCACGCCCGAGGTCCGCCAGGTAGATGTACAACATGACCTTGGTATGCCTGGTGGACAAGTGATTGCATCGGGGGTGCTCTGCCGAGTCGGAGACCGATATCGCCGTATATCCGAGGTGAACCACCCAGCCGAATGAAGGGCGAGCCTGGCCTGGTCTGCTTAGTTATGAATTGGAGGATGTGATGCGCTAAGCTCGTTTGAACCTCCCTTATGGGTTTCCTTTAGGTAGTCAACAAGAGCTGGGCGAAGATTTAACCCCGCAGTGATCCGAGAGGGGTTACACGGGTATTCGTCAAGGCGGTCAAGAATTGCAATTGGGCTGGGAAACATTGAGCGCTGGAAAGAGGTACAGGTAAGACGTAGGGAATGGATTTGCTGAAAGGCAAAGAAATCCGACTTCGTATCATAATTTAGGGGTGCTTGATGCACAGACTGTTCACTCGTTGCATCTAGGCTGTAGCTGGTACCCCGATCGTCATCACCGATGGAGCTCCCGAGTCTTGCAGAAAGATGTTATGTCATTTCCCCTCCTCCCGGTAGCCGCCCGCTTAGGCAGGTGGGGGATGTGGGATGTTTTGGTATGGTTTGGCCCTTTTCCATCGACTTCCATCTGCAGCGGAAAATCGTGGCCGCTTCGTAGTCCCACCATGTACCCGAGCCGTGTATCGGCACGGTTACAGATTCCACTTTACCGTACAGGAGCTGGTTGGAGAGTCACGTTCAACTTCATCCACCTTATTATTGTCCCATCCCCGCTGTCCTACACATCCTTCCTGGAGTTTTTTTGTTCTCTCCTATCCTGTCTGATTGATCACTTCGGTATCCCCAATTTTCATACCTCATAAATCCATCCACATAATCATCAAAATGGTCAAGGCTGGTAAGTTTGCCTTCCTCTGCTCGGTCTGGAACAGGCACCGATTTTGAGTTCTCTCCCTTGGCTGTTCCCCATGGCCTCCCCGCACCCTTCATTGGCTCTGAGTTGAACTGCACGATCGGCCGAGGACCCCCGGGATGAGCACATTTGAGCACCTTGAGAGCTCCCTCAGCCCTACCGGCAGGTCCTCGCGAGCACCAAGCTCTCCACTGAAGCTTCCAGGGTGCCTGCAGTCGGTGGGCGTCACGGGTGGAAATGCATGGTCACTGGATGAGCAAGAGGAGGTGATCTCGATTGAGTCTCACATTCCATGCACCCGACCCTCAACGCCATCTCGCAATCTTTGAACTTGTCACCTGATCAATTACATTTCGAGTGCTTCCCATCAACATAAACGCTAATGTCCTCCCTCAGTTGCTGTCGTCCGCGGAGACTCCAAGGTCTCCGGCACCGTCACCTTCGAGCAGGCTGACGAGAATGCCCCTACCACCATCTCCTGGAACATCACCGGCAACGACCCCAACGCCCAGCGTGGTTTCCACGTTCACCAGTTCGGTGACAACACCAACGGCTGCACCTCCGCTGGTCCTCACTGTAAGACCCCTTCCACTCTGGGCTGGCTCAGGTCTCAGGCCTCTACGTCGACGGATCACATACGGGCCAAGCAAGACACATCCAAGGCTCACATGAACTGATCAAATTCTCTTCGCTGTCATCTAGTCAACCCCTTCGGCAAGACCCACGGTGCTCCCGAGGACTCTGAGCGTCACGTCGGTGACCTTGGCAACTTCCAGACCGATGCCGAGGGTAACGCCGTCGGTTCCAAGCAGGACAAGCTCGTTAAGCTGATCGGTGCTGAGAGTGTTCTCGGCGTAAGTTGGGCCCATCCTTTACACACCCACTGATCAACCAAATTGATTTGGATGGCTCACTATTGTCTGTGAACAGCGCACTCTGGTCGTTCACGCCGGCACTGATGACCTTGGTAAGGGTGACTCTGAGGAGTCCAAGAAGACTGGTAACGCTGGTCCCCGTCCTGCCTGCGGTAAGTCGACCTGATTCTCTACTGATTTGCCCCTTGAGCGCAATTCGCTGATGAAGTCCACAGGTGTCATCGGTATTGCCGCTTAAATAAAATCAATATCTACGAATTTCGTATATAGCGTCGGGTCTCTCCAGTCCCCACTTGCATCACGTTCAAAAATATCGTGCACGTGAATTTGGAACTTGGGGAAACTCTTCTCTATCATGACTAGATTGAATATGAATGACCAAACAACTCTGTCTCATGCATCTCGGGCTTAGTTCTTCGATCCATCCCGCTTGAAAGACTAATGGAAGGTTGAGCCATGGAGAATTCTCTTGGTTTCGCAGACCGAGTACGTAGACGTCTTCAAGTGTCACGCGCCCCTTGAGCAAGGGCTGTATCTGACAATTCGACCTCTTCATTGCAAATGACACGTATGAAGGTTGATCTCCAGTGGGAAGAACCTTCTGGGCGATGCACAGCTGGATGCCAGCGCATCCTGGATGTCATGAATCGTGCTGAACCCTACAACGTTGCGATTTCTCCCGCCTTGCCCATCTCACTCTCTTTTTTCTCTCCCTCTCGACCGGCATCTTCGCTATGTAGCCATCTCGTTCTATCATCCACAGTAACTTTCTCAATGTGGACACGACCGTGCTTAAATCCTACAACTGTTTCCCGAGCCATGTGCGACTAACCAAACATTCAATCAAGTGTATATCTTTCCTCTTTGTGAAACTTTGGAAACGTCCCGATACTGCAGACAGGTCACACAATCCATCGGCAAAAAGCCTGTAATGAACCCAGCGAGAATGCTCTCGGTCATCGCTAGTCAAACAACAAATTAAAGACTCGCCTATCGCCGTGGCTCAGAGCATTCTTCCTATATTCCAGACCTTAGGTACACATTCCATGGATACATCATGATTCAAGTCGCCAGAGTCGATATTGTGGACTGTTGACGGAGATCAAGCCTCGCATCGCATGCAAGTAAAAGAGAGACGCCCGTTAAATTTCAGGTGGTGAGACACAAGAAAATAGAAGACGGATGGGATATCCAGAGTACAGAAAGAGGGGGGGCACCTCCGGACGATAAGTAGAGGATAAGTAGAGGGTAGAAAGCCCTCTACTTACTTCAGCTCGTCCTACCTTCAGATTGGGTAATGGGATTTGCAGAGGTAGGAACCTTAACACCTTCAAATCTCTATTGCACCTCTCCTAGAACTGGCACTACCGTTGCTAGTGTGGATGTCGAATCGTAGGCCTTATTGAATGCCGCGGGCAGGTAACTTGATGGAACGGCTGTGAACAGATTGTCATGTTGATTTTATTCTTTGCAAGGGGTTTCTGAGAGTTTCAAAGACGGGTATGTCTCTCTCCTGGGGAATGTGATCATGTTACCATGAGCTAGATACCCAACAAGGAGATGGAATCTCTCCCGAGCTCAATGTTTCTCTCACTCTTTTCAGAAATTACCCTTGCCATTGATACAGCCCGAGAATCTGATCACTGATCGAAGCAATGAGAGTTCTCTCTGCGGGTCTCCCTAGCTAAAGTGCCAAGCCAACAACATTAGGCATGCATACCCCAGTCATGGGAACTCAGACAGGACTTAACTTACAAGGTTCCCTGACACAGTGACTATATTCGAGATGTCTCAACCTGACTCGCAACCTTGAGCTTTCTACCATCCCCGATAAATAGCAAACGGCTCGTACATTAGGGAATTTGAAGTTGTGAAATATTATGCTCAGTATCTTATTTCCTAATATTCTGGTTTAATCGTTCGTGCAAATTATATTTACTGTCGGCTGAGATATACGTCAAGCCCACGGAACTATTTTTCGGAGTTTCGACGCGTAAAGCTGTCGTAGTAAGGCTGGAAGACAAAGACACCATATACGTTGATCATGTATCAGTCATTACATGCTGACATCAATCTAGGAAGCAGGCTTCGTGGCTAATGAGAGAGTGGTCGTTGAATGTCGAGAAGAAGTACGGGGAAATGATACTGTTCAAACACTTAGAAAGCGGATTCATTGGTGTCCACGACGTTGACCCAAACCTGATTGAACCTGCAAGAATCTTCTCGTCCACTACAAGGGGAATATATAATCAGCAAAATCTCCCCCCAATCGTTCCTTCGCCCTCTTCTCTCCATCATCATCACCCCTTCGGACGGCGAGTCTTTGACTCAAACCAAACGACCCTTCGCGGACTATGACCCGACTCAATGGATCACACATGGGGTAGTGACTTCACTCAAAGCAGGTGACCTGACTCAAGGCACGTCTCCAACATTCGAAGCCTTTCCTCGTCTCTCTAGAACTGGCACCCTCTACCGATACGAAAACATTCTGCCAGCATGATCGGACCAACCAGCGAGAATATTCTCGTGTATTTCTAGATCAATATATAGACGTCGAAATTTCCTGGGACGGTCTTTCCTCCTCTTCTCTCCCTCATCACCCCTCGAGCTATCACCATTTGGCTGAACAAATTGCTACAGCCAAGTAGGAGAGAATCTCCCTTTTATGCCTCGCAAACGCCTCTGCTAGCGGTTCACCAATGAGGAGAATTTGGAATCTATACTAGGATGAGCATCACTGTTCCCGAGAAATGAAAATATCATCTTGGAGCATCAAGGGCTTCTGAGCATTCGATTGCTATAAGTGCGAGGATGAAGGATGAGTCACTAGAGCGCAAAACAGGGCTTGAGTCTAATTCAGGAATCAAGGAACAAGAGGTCTTGTACGACCCCTCTAGTATGTTCGAATCCATAGCTGAATAAATACATGTAGGATGCCAATGGATAGTAATACCTACCAAGTAGGTGGTTCTAGCACAGTTGCCCGATAAATTCATGCAACAAAGACCATTGGAGCGAGGGTGTATCTGGAGGTCGACAAACGACTTGCGTCAGTTCTGATCTCACATCCCTGACTATCAACCCTCGGATTAAATTTCATTTGTGTTACACTTTTCAATCGCATTCGAATCGCCGTGTGAACTTTCGGAACCATTGATTTCACGGCATCTCCTTTGAGCCAACCCGCAATCCGTGCGTGGCTGCGTGGTCCGTGTCCCCAAGTCACTAAAGGCCAAGAGTCAAAGCCTCGCAGCTCCCGTCTAGACCGCTTTCCCCACAGACAGCGGCCACGTTTCTGCTCCGAAGCTCTAATGATTTCGCCGCAGTTGCCCCCTTGGTTTCTTTTGATCCCTTCACCCTATCCTCATCTTTGGTTCTTTGTGCGTCAGTCCTGATATCACTCTCTAGCTGAGGCAGTGGTCTTCAAAAGTTCATTCGCAATGACGTTTGAAGCCCGTGTGAAGTCGGTCCTCTCAGGCGACACTGTAGTGTTGTCCAACCTCACAAACCCGACACAAGAGCGTGTCCTCTCTCTAGCTTATGTGTCTGCGCCACGATTGAGGAGGGAAGGCGACGAGGTATGTTCTTATGCCTGCTTCTAGCATGCAACACTCCGTTTGCTGCATTACGCCCTGCTTTCCATTTCAATTCCATCTCCACCCTTTCACATGTTTAGGGGTCGCGTGCTCAGAAATGATACCTATGCAATCAATTCTGGAACGCATTGGCTGATGCATTCACACCACTTTAGCCTTACGCTTTCCAATCTCGCGAGTTTCTCCGTGAACTGCTTGTCGGCAAGGTCATCCAATTCCACGTCGTCTACTCCATCCCCACCGGTGCCAAGCGGGAATATGGTATTATCCGATTACCTGGGTTTGATGCACAGCTCCCCGATATCAGCGTGCAGGAAGGCTGGAGCAAGGTCCGTGAGGAGGCTGGAAAGCGCAGCGATGACTCCGAAGAGACCCTGGCGCTGCTGGATCGGCTCCGGGCCCTTGAATCACTCGCTCAAGATGAGAGCAAGGGTCTCTGGAGTTCCTCAGACAAGGGTCTGGTCGACACCACATACGAGCTTGCCAATGGACAGGAGCTCGTCACACAATTCAAGGGAGAGCAACTGGAGGGTATCGTTGAGAGGGTCCTGAATGGAGACCGCGTGGTGCTTCGTCTCATGGTCTCACCCACCGAGCACATCCAGACTGTGGTGGCTGTCGCTGGTGTTCGTGCTCCTTCGGCCAAGCGTACGACCGCCGATGGTAAGGAACATGCTGCAGAGCCCTTCGGTGATGACGCTCAGCAGTTTGTGGAAACTCGGCTGCTCCAGCGTAAGGTCAAGGTCTTCCTGCTTGGTGTCACCCCACTAGGCCAGTTGGTCGCGACCCTCCTTCACCCCAACGGTAACATCGCGCGGTTCCTCCTTGAGGAGGGCTTGGCTCGCTGCCAAGACCACCACTCGGCCATGCTTGGTGGAGACATGGTCCTGCTTCGCCAGGCCGAGCTGAAGGCAAAGAATGCCCGCAAGGGTATTTTCACCAGCCACGTGGGACCCAAAGGCACGGGTGCCGCTGCTCTGGACTACACCGTGAGCCGGGTTCTGAATGCCGACACTATCTTCATCCGCAACAAAGCTGGCCAGGAGAAAAAGATCAGCCTCGCTAGTATCCGCCAACCCAAGCCTTCCGATCCCAAGCAGGCTCCGTTCGCCAATGATGCCAAGGAATTCCTGCGCAAGAAGATCATCGGGAAAAATGTGAAGGTCACAATCACCGGCAAGAAGCCAGCTAATGAAGGCTATGAGGAGCGTGAGGTGGCTACCGTTATCCAGGGTAACACCGACATTGCATTGGCCCTTGTTGAGGCTGGATACGCTTCCGTAATCCGTCATCGCATGGATGATGATGACCGATCCCCCGACTACGACTCTCTCCTCGTTGCTGAAGCCGAGGCTCAACAGGAGGCCCGTGGCATGTGGTCACCTAAGCCGCCCAAGGTCAAGCAATACCAGGACTACTCTGAGAGCGTGCAGAAGGCCAAGCTCGAAGTCGGCATCTTGCAGCGCTCTAAGCGTGTTCCTGCCGTCGTCGACTTTGTCAAGTCCGGTTCTCGTTTCACTGTCCTTGTGCCCCGTGAGAACGCCAAGCTGACTCTGGTTCTGTCTGGCATCCGCGCTCCCCGCTCCGCCCGTGGCCCCAACGACGTTGGTGAGCCCTTCGGTCAGGAAGCCCACGATCTTGCCAACCGTCGCTGCATGCAACGCGATGTTGAGATTGACGTGGAGACGATCGATAAGGTTGGTGGATTCATCGGCACCCTTTATGTCAACAAGGAGAATTTCACCAAGGTTCTGCTTGAGGAAGGGTTGGCCACCGTGCACGCCTACTCCGCCGAGCAGTCCGGTCACGCCAACGAGTACTTTGCGGCCGAACAGCGTGCCAAGGATGCCCGTAAGGGTCTCTGGCATGACTGGGACCCCAGCAAGGAGGCTGTGGCCGAGGACTCTGAGGCCGCGAATGGCAACAGTGATGAGACCGCTGCTGCTGCTGTTCCAGCTCGTCGCAAGGACTATCGTGATGTCATGGTCACCCATATTGACCCCGAGACTGGTCGCCTCAAGTTGCAGCAAGTGGGCAGCGGTACAAGCGCTTTGACTGAGCTCATGAGCGCTTTCCGCGCCTTCCACATCAACAAGGCCAATGAAACCTCTTTGCCCGGCCCTCCCAAGGCCGGCGACTGGGTTGCAGCCCAGTTCACCGAGGATGGCCAATGGTACCGCGCCCGGGTCCGCCGCAATGATCGCGAGAAGCAGCAGGCCGAGGTGCTTTACATCGACTTTGGCAATTCCGAGACGCTGCCCTGGAAGGCCCTGCGTCCTCTGACACAACCTCAGTTCTCCGCTCAGAAGCTCCGACCCCAGGCCATCGATGCGGTTCTCTCCCTCTTGCAATTCCCCACCTCCCGAGACTACATGGATGACGCCGTGGCTTTCCTCGGTGACCAGACCTTTGATCGTCAGCTGGTTGCCAACGTCGACCACGTGGAAGCTGATGGCCTTTTGCACGTCACCCTCCTCGACCCCTCGGTCTCTAAGAATCTCGATCACAGCATCAATGCCGATGTGATCAGTGAGGGCTTCGCCATGGTTCCCCGTAAGCTGAAGGCCTGGGAACGCGCTTCTACCGAAACCCTGCAGCACCTGCGTGAGCTAGAGGACGAGGCTAAGGCTAACCGTCTGGGGATGTGGGAGTACGGCGATCTGACCGAGGACTAAATCAATGACTCCGATATCATTGAATACTCCGTGTATTTTCTCTTATGAACCATTTCCGCAGGGCATCATTGCCTTTTGTGTGTACAAAACCTTGGGCGGATCATGAAGATCCGGGTCGATCTCGAAGCAAATTTCTTTACCTTTTTCAATCTTTACCTTTTTCAACGCGCGATCAGTGGTTACTAGCCTTCACTTTTTTTGCAAGCACTGTTGATCAGAGTACCAGCTCGATGCTTACAGATCCTTAAAATTCAAGCATTTTGAGTACGACAGTCGAGTCAGGTGGTACCTCAACCTCGTAATCTCAGTCTCCTTACATGATCTAGTTCTTTGAGCCCGGTGCTCATACTACCGCTACACCAACTACAGCAACAGGATCCTGTCCTTCGGGAGTGGATCGGGTCAGCCGCGTTTCACGATACACGCGATAGAGTTTCTTCCCTTTGATTTGGTCGGCAGAGGCGCAAAGAGCATGGACAAGAAAGATCCGGACCATCTGCTCTAGGACGTGTAGATCATTGGACAAGAGACAGATTCAATTAAAGTGGAGTGAGTCAAGCGTGAATGCATGCGCCTTCCAATTCTCGATATGGCCTCGCCAAGGTCATCGTGCGCATGACTTTCCATAGCTGTAAAGCATTCTGACTTTCGGAGGGTCTTGACGTGCTGTGCAACATTGCCCCTGAACAGAGCGACTGTCACAAATATGAGCGGTCAGCCGTCTGATTGATAATCCAGCAAGTGAGAGCCGTGGCACCGGAAGGCGTTCGTCCCAAGGTTCCTGACCAGAATTTGTTTTTGTGGCTGACCGCCCGATAGCCCATCCGCCATCGCCGACGACCGTCACTAGCGTCATCTTCATCGGATTCGAGACAAGATCAGAGAAGACGATATTGACGACTTCGATCGGGTTTCTGTGTTTCCAAAGCTGAACTGCGCATTCGCTCGCACAGTCGTAAAGAAAGCCTTGTCTCTGAACCTTTTCGATTACCACCGTCAACATGCTTTGGCGGACCAAGTCCCACCACAGTGAGACGTCGGAGCAGGACCTCTCCCGCACGACGTCAGCAGCGAAGAATGATGCGGCTGCGTCGGCATCCCAGGCTGCGGGCACGGCATGGTTGGCGGGCCATCTGCATCACTTGACGCCGGAGCAGGAGGCGAAGCTTGAAGAGTTCAAGAAAGTTTGTGCGGAGCACAAGTACTATACCCCCGCTGTTGTGGCCGCAGATGGCGTTGAGGCTTCGCCGGCGAGTCATGGAGATGCGACGATGCTGTATGTTTGAATTCTGTGCTCTTGTTACCTCAAGATTTCCTCTATCAATTTTGTGCTCAAATTCTAATACACCTGTTACAAATGCGACGGTTGGGCTAATCATGATTTCTTTTGTTTAGGCGTTTCCTGCGAGCCCGGAGATTCGATGTGGAAGGCGCATGGGGCCAGTTCAAGGACACTGAGGATTGGCGCAAGGAAAACGATATCGAAGATCTCTATGCGAATATTGCAGTGGACAAATATGAGGCGTCGCGACGAATGGTACGTACTCTGTGTCCGACAATTGATTCAAGTGGCCGAGGTTACCTGGCTCACATATTGACACTCATCTCTCTCATTACAGTACCCTCAATGGACTGGTCGTCGCGATCGCCGCGGTATCCCCATTTACGTATTTGAAATTCGTCATTTGAACTCGAAACAAATGGCTGCTTATAACGACACGATGAACTCGGCCAAACCCGAGACACACAAGAAGTCATCCGTTCCTCCGCGACTTCTGACTCTGTTTGCGCTATATGAGAACCTTTTGAACTTTGTCATGCCCTTGTGTTCGGCGCTTCCACGTCCTAACCCGGAGACCCCTATCGTATCGTCGACCAATATCGTGGATGTGAGCGGCGTGGGACTGAAGCAATTCTGGAACCTGAAGAGTCACATGCAGGATGCCAGCGTGCTGGCCACAGCTCATTATCCGGAGACGCTTGATCGGATTTTCGTACGTTCTGCCATAGCTCTGCCTCGCACTTGTCCTTGCGTGGACCTTGACATCAAAACTAACCGTACGTTTCATTTCGTAGATTATCGGCGCACCTAGTTTCTTCCCAACTGTCTGGAGCTGGATCAAGCGATGGTTTGACCCCAACACCACGTCGAAGATCTTCATTCTTTCAGCTGCTGAGGTCAACTCCACTCTGACCTCCTTCATGGAACCCAGCAGCATCCCCAAGCAATATGGTGGTGAATTGGAATGGCAATGGGGAGAGATGCCCAACCTGGATGCGCCAGCCCATGAGCTTGTTCACGACCTTGAACAACCCGCAGCTGATGGATCGTCGAAGAAGGAGCTTCTCAAGGGTCCAGTCCTCTTCAAGGGGGACACCGTTGAAGTTTTGGGTACAGTGGATGGCACACCGCGCCGAAAGACCATTCCTGTGCCGCAACCCCAAGGTTCGACTCAAGCGACTCAGGTCCCCGCGAGTACTTCTACAGCGCAAGCGAACGGCGGTGCGGAGACCACACCCAACCCTCCGGTTGTCGAGGATGAAAAGACGGTCTTGGACAACGCTCCCGTGAATGCGGAGGAACCCCAGACCACAACTGCCGCCGCATAGAGATATGAAATACATGCAGGTCTGGGCATCTTGTCAATTTCTCAATCCTGGCATCGATGCTCGCCTATTGATTGGTGTGTACATTCGAGCTCCGTTACGGGGATGCAGGTGCAGATGACTTTGCTGCGTAGACCGAGGCTTGTCCGGGTCAATTCATCATCCCGTTCCTTCTTATTGATCTTTGATTCTCACATGTGCAGAATTACACAATTTCTCTTTATAGACTGTCATTCCCCACTTGTCTTTATTCCCCTTGGTATTTTACCGACTGATTGACATTTCTGACATTTCTTCTCTTACCCCGGCATATATCTACGAGAGTGAGGCCGGGGGCCTTTCTTGAGCATATTCTTGATGTTTTCACACCCTGTCTTGCATTAATGAACGAGGGTATTTTCGGGCCTTTTTCGATCTTCTGGAATTTTACATTTCAATCCAGCACATCAATATATTGCTGAGCACATGTATGATCTCCCGTCATCTTTCCATGCTACCACCTCAGACGTGCTCCATGTCAGGGGCCATGATCTAGCTACTGGACGTAGGCCTCCGGATTTTAAGCCACGTCTCGACGAGCCAAAGCCCACATGGATGCGAAGCGAACTTTCGATTCCATATTGTGTGGCTGGCCCAGATCTTGGGTGAAACTTGTTATTGAAGGTTTCTAGACTATGCGCATCTTCTTGCCAGGGATTCATAGTACAGAGTACAGACTAGTTTAACAGCCCTTCTGACTTTTTACGCGAGCAGTTATCGATTCGATTGAACAGTGAATTTCAAATCTGAAATTGCTGCTTTCAGTGATTAAGACCCGCAAAACTTCAAGCTGCTCTTCGCTCGTTGAACCTTGAAGTAAAACGGGCATGAGATGCAGAAGGGAAGCAAGTGAAGGTAATATGGAGGGCCGCCTCTCAGCCGCTTGTCAGAGCGCCGTCTGATTCCTGATCCAATCAAGATACGCCGCGGTGCTAGCATAAACACCATCCTTATTATGTTTCCCACATCCCGGTTCCGATGAGACCACTCCGACCTGCTTGCCCGTGCTGGCATCAACGAGTGGGCCACCACCGTCTCCATCACAGGCACCCTTACCACCGGCTCGCACTCCAGCGCAGATCATCTTATCATCAAGCGGATGTTGATCAGCGTATTCTTTGGCGCACTTTTGATGATCCACAATGTTGACGTATGCAACCAAGAGATTCGAAGGCATGGAAGCCCCTCCGGGAGAAGTGGTTCCCCAGCCAGTGACGGAACATCTGGTGCCGACCTGCGGTGTATCGTCGGTCGACGATGGCAATTTCACCGCCGCGACCCTGGATCCGAAGGTCAGGCTCGAAGCGAGCCTTAGAATCGCCATGTCATTAGCAATGGACTTGGCATCGTATCCGGCATGTGCAATGACCTTGGACACTTTAACGAATTGGCCGCCCGAGTTACGATCCAACGAGCCCGCGCGGATCCTCAAGCGTTGGGCGGTCAGCCCGTCCACGCAGTGAGCTGCGGTCAAGATGTGATTTTTATCGATGATAGAACCACCGCATCTGTGAGACGAGGTTTGGACCGAGACTTGATACGGGAATTCGCCAATGGCGGCATGTTGACCGCCGACGATGTCGTCGTTGGCGAGAGTCAATCCGACAACTGAGAGAAGCAAGGTGGCCACAGTGTATGTTTTCATGGTTGTGTTGGGTTCACACGACGATTGAAATTGATGATGTTCCTTGACAGCGAGACGGGGCCGACGCGAAGGACGCCCTCTTAAAGAACTGGCAATCCATATTGTCCCCAAAGAGTTGCTCGGTGTTTTCTCTTTCACTCGACAGATTAAAGCCAGGGGGGGTAATTCTTCAGAAGAAAGTTTATTGACCAGCCCTTGCAGCCAAGCTCGCCCTGTTCAAGTCGACTATGAATCAGACTTAGCTGCACAGACAAGGGGTCTTGAAGACTCGTCGTCCATATATGTACGCTTGATTGTCGGGAGATCTTCTCCAGTCTTCCATGATCGACATTCTGGGTCTGCAAGGTAGCCCGCTCCGAGCTGGACCGAGCCCCTTCGATAGCTGGAGACTCTATCACACGAGTTTCAGCTCATCTCATGGCGCTGGACAGGATATATGATTTTCCGTGTGAAGATTGCAGTGGAACGGAGGAGGGTCGCTCGAGTCTGCCCTCCAGGAGATGGATGCGTGGCGGTTGCTCACAAGAATTTTCGTTTCTCTGAGGCTGCTCGGCGTATAGAGGTCGTCACATGTCTCTCAGAAGTTGACCACGTTGGAAGTTACTTCAGATTCATGGCCTATCCGCATCGCTAAGGGCAAACCATGATCAATCCTCGCCGACAAATGTTGGGTAGGTATGGGATTGACCGATTCAATCGACAATTGTGTGGTTACCTTGCTGATATGACTGGAAGAATTACAGAAAATTGAGGGCCCGATATGGGAGAGTAGACGAAGCGATTCCAGACTGAAGAAATGTTGTTGGGGAACATCACATGACCGGATCGGCCGCCTGAGGCCCATCGGGGCATGTGAACCCAACCTGTTCCAGAAGTCAGGTCCGCTTCAGGTACTAACCTTGAGGCCAAGGTAATGTGCTTTACCGAAGAAGTTGAGTGGGCTATCGGAGAGAGAGAGAGGTGTACCAGCAGAATACCTAACCTGGCAGGTCCGCAGACGTATCTGGACCTTTTGGTGTGACAGATCATCGACGGCCCGACACTTCAGCGCTGAATCTCGTGCGACATGTTCCACGTTTCTCGTACGACACATGGATCGACGGTGGAGAACATTTATAAGGGCGGGCTGTCGACGATATAGCCTTGACATGTCCACTACTGTAGGAGTTGGTGGAGCACCGCACTGACTCCACACATTGCGGCGCAGGCCAGGTTGTGCCCCTGTTCCCACTCTTTTGTCCTCCACTCACACCACGGTTGGATGAACTACAGTCTGGGGCCCCTCACCCTCAATTTGATGTCATTCATCAAGGATCCAGGGCTACCTTCGGGACCGGTTTGATCAAATCCCTCGTGATTGTACGCCAAAATCTGCATGCTGTTATTCTTAGGAGCCCGACTCACATGAAGACAGGGAAAGAATAGTGAAAGGGGAACCAAATGAGCGTGCGATCGACGTCATGCGCCCGGTGCCTTTGAGCCCCATTCGGATAGCTTCACTTGTGCGGAGGCGGAGAAAGTGGAGATTCACATGCCTCTCCGACGACACCTCGAGGCAGTAGGACCGTAGGACGCATTTTTAGAGCGCCTCTGCAGATGTCTAAGGATCGACGCCCGTCGGCCGACTGCCTCGTAGCCGAACAGCGAGGAACGATGGCCCGCCCTTTCCCCAAGATCGAAAGGATCGGCATGTCTGCCCGCTATGGATGGCGCTAAGGTGAGTTAGATTGTCAATATTGTCCGGGGCTTTGGGCGTGATTTAAAAGCACCAGGAGGCCCAAGGGTCTTTCGGACAGATTTGGTTGTTGCTCGTTAAGGACTTTTGCAAAGGTTCGCGATTCAATATGACGACCGAGCGAAATCCCAAAGACTCCATGAAGTCAACCTGGCGACTACAGGATCGCTCAGGCTGGACATTTCACCACTGGTTCTATGAGGTGCTTGGCATTCATCCAGAGCACCTCGATGCCGATGTTCCTGTCCATGTGAAGGAAGATGCAGTGCCATACGTTCCCGACTGGTCGATGCATCGCTGGGTGCTCACCCACGCCGTGATCCCGATCCTTTTACAGCACGCCTTTGTGCAATATACGGGCCACAATCTCGGCCCGATCGGTGCATTCATACTTTACAGCATCGCCTTCAAGGCCATCGCCATCCACGAACTCCACGTGCTCCGACGCCTGGGGCACACCCATGGCTTCCTAGATGGCGACAAGCATGCTCGAGACGGAGTACCCGACGTTGGCGTCGCCAAAGTGGTTCGGTCGCTCATGTCGACGTCGACTTTCCGGCCTATGTTTACCGTCTTCTTCGCCTATCGGACGGCAGAGGCACCCTCATCCATGAGCTTTGCCTGGCTACCGCTCGAGATCGGTCTATATGGCATCATTCTCGACTTTTGGTTCTACTGGTATCATCGCGTCATGCATGACTTCGACGGTCTATGGAAATACCACCGAACTCACCACTTGACCAAGCACCCGAACCCACTGCTCACTCTTTACGCCGATACCGAGCAAGAATTCTTTGACATTGCCGGTATTCCCCTGATGACTTACTTTACTATTAGACTCATGGGCATGCCAATTGGCTTCTATGAGTGGTGGATCTGCCACCAGTATGTCGTTTTCGCCGAGCTTGCCGGTCACTCAGGTCTTCGTGTCCATGCCTCTCCGCCCTCAACCTTGAGCTGGCTTCTGCGATGGTTTGATGCCGAGCTCGTCATTGAGGATCATGATTTGCATCATCGTAAGGGATGGAAGAAGAGCCACAACTACGGCAAGCAGACTCGATTATGGGACCGTGTCTTCGGCACCTGTTGTGATCGGATCGAGTCGGTGCCGACTAATGTTGACTATGTCAATCAGTCTCCTATGCCGTTGTATTGATTGAGGCAGAGCTGAGAATGAAAAAGGAGAAACTTGTTGAAACGAAAGGCATTATGTCCATGAATTGATGATTGTGTACTGTGATATACAGAAACGAGAACTTTACGAACTAAGAAGCGCTCTCACCTTAGTGAGACTGACAATGATTCCGACTTTGGCCCTGGCTCTCGCTCACTTTGCCTAGATAAATTGTACTACTTCCCGATCGTCTATCTGTATGCTCCTCTTATGATGTAGAGGACGAGCAGTCAGAGTCACAAAGGAAGGGCGCCGTGCCGAGAACCTAGTAAAGGTTCGAAAACAGAAACGTTCACAGTCAATGAATACCTGGCCGAATGTATGTAGGTAGTGCTTGTCTAAGATGACCCACTCTGCCCTATCAACCCAGGATAATCCTCATTGCGCTACGCTCAATTTCAAGTTCCTAGTCTGCAAAATCCAGTCCGTTACGGTAATCCGTCAAGAAGGAGAAGCAACCGGAACAGAAAGAGTAAACCGAAATGAGCCAGACTTCGAGTTCGATGACGACTTGGAGGTACCAGGTAGCACCGAGCTCCATCTCCACTCCTTCGTTCCTGGTCTTCCAGTCTCTCATTTATTTCCCTCCAGGCAGACAGCAGGTGCAGGACCGTGAGCCTCACTGTTGCTCGAGTTGCAGCAGCACGGTTGTAGCAGAGTGCAGCGATTCTGTGATGGATTTCAACTGCTCGCTAACTTTCACTGCTGTCATCATGTCGGCGGAGGCTTCTGGAGGCTTCCCTTGCGCATCGATGACTGTTTGTAGGACCTGGAGAGTAGGGTCAATTGCCTCGTTGACTCTCTCACCCAAGATTTCATAGACATGGTCAAGCATCTGGGTGAATGCTTGACTCGCCATAGCATGATAACTTCTCACAAGACCGTCCTGCCCAGGACCTCCGCTGGTAACTTGGTCATCTATGGCCTTCTTACGTCGCTTGTCGCTACCACTTTCTGTAAAGGGACAACCCACGTGAGTCGCCATTCTGGCTGATTATACGAAACCTCCCCATGAAATCGAGCGCCTACCTCCTTGTCCGTTCGCATACTGATATGCGGGAAGCATAAACTCGGCAATGAAACACGTCGGTCTGTCAGCACTGACATCCATCATGTCACTCTGGATGTTCCTACAGTATATTTGTCATTTAGTGAGATTTCGAATCGGCAATTTTAGACAAAGAACGGGCAAACTGACTTGTACGCGTCTTTCACCGCATTTAAAGCTTTGTTGAAGCACGCCCAGACTTTGTCTCTCGTGAGGTCAACGTTCTTCAAAATGGCTTCGCGAACCTGGCCTGGAAAAGTCCTCGATCCTAGAATCTCAAAGTCAGGTTGCGGTGTCAAACTGCAAGTAACCAGCTTCATAGTGTCCGACTTACCCCGGAGCGACTTGGAACTGGCGAGCATAAGATCGTTAACCTCTTTCAACACTCTTTCCATTTCCTGATGAAACGCCTTGTGAAACGCGTCCCAGGCAGTGGTCAATGGCTCATTTCCGGGCTCGAAAAGCTCGGCGTTCCAATCATGCTCCCCATAAGCCGCTGATTTATGCTTCCCCTTTTTCCGACAAGCCGCAGTAAACGAACCGTGTGACCACTTATAACGGTAAGAGTCAGCGAAATTGCCTTTTCGATCGTCATTCCAGGGGGAGAGGTGTACTACATTTCGAACCCAGTATGAACAAGATAGCTCGCAATGCTCTTGCCATGCCTCGCTCTCAGTGTCTAAGCAGGTGTCAGCATATCGTACGCCATAGGTAGAAGGTATGCCATTGAAAGGTATTGTTACCGATCACAGTGAGAATACGACGTTGGAACATTTGTTCTAGTTCCATTCGACTGCTTTGCACAAGTCCACGATGTGTATCTTGGAAACTCTGCCCAAATGAAAGTCAACATCAGATAGAAAGTGATACGAAGAACCTCAAGCATGCTGGAAATGAAGTGTTACCTGCTTCAGCTTCCTTTGCATCAACGTGAGCTCATCTTTGATCACGGCAGCTTTTTTCTTGGAGGTGGTATCGTTCGCACCAACAACCCATAGTTTTGTGGAGGCAACAGCTGCGGGAATGTCGATTCTCAAGAATTGAGCAGCTTGTTTTTTCTGGGCATCTGAAAGAATTGATCGACAATGTTCCTGAAGCTCTGGGATTCCACTGAGCTTGATATAAGCTCGGCTCCTCTTATCATCCGCTGCGCAATTATCTGCGTAGAGCTTGTTGCTAACGCAGAAGACTTTCATGCCCCTGCGCGAAGGCATAATAGACATCTCCACCTCCGTGCGTTGATTGCGCTGAGATATTAGGTAACTCTCTTTCCTAGTGTTATACGATAGCATCAGCTGCTAGATGACGTCTCCCGAGTATGTCAAATGATGTACTTACTGATAGACCAAATCGTCCTCCTCCTTACTATGCCACAGGTCAGTACAATATTTAACTGTGTCTGGAGCTCGTGAGCAGATGCTGGTCTTACCCTAACTGACCGAGTTCCGCATAGAACGCATCTTTCTCCGCCCCCTTGGCTTTGTTGGCAAGGGAACCGAGAGTCTTGCGCCTCTCTTTAATTTGTTTCAGCTTCTCGTCCCAGGCCTGGGTAACCAAGTTCTGGCTGGCGTCCCCTCTGTCCCCTCCAGCCCCGGAAATTTCCTGTGAAATGAATATTGTCAGACCCGGAGCATCAACGTAAGATAAGCGGATACGCGCCTCTGACCGAGTCACAATGAGAATTGGCTGCATATTGGTGATTACTCTCCACTGCATTTCTTCGACGGTTTCATCGGCCTGGCACCGAGTCATTCTGGTCACATAGGCAAGGACATGACATTGAGACCGAATGTAGTTCTCGGAGGCTTTCTGCCTGGTGTAGTTAAGATCATGCATCCCTGCAAAGTGATATACAATGAATGCCAAGTCTATCAAGGTAGGAAGAAGGGTAGCTCCTACCTGGCATGTCTGCTAGAACCAGTCCAGTCTTCAATATCGGGGCATCGACGTACGCTCTGTATCATTTTCGATATGAGCACCTCGTCAGCATTGTTTTGGGGGAAGGGGGGGTTTGGAAGGACAAACCGGATTAATCTGACGAACGGCTAAATGGCAGGGAGTTCTCCAAGATTGTCACTTGTCAGCCGGTCCAAAAGCGCCGTGAACGTTTCAAAGTTCTCGGCGGCTTCCTTGTACCGTACAGCATCGGGGCCGCCCGGACGATGGATAAGACCTCGCTTGGCTTTCTTCAATAGTTCTGCAATGATCTTGCTTTGCGTATTAAGCCCATCACTAGTGTCGGGCTGATCTTCCTGTAGTAGGAACTCATCTGTCGGCTTTTGGCCACCTTTGAACAAGCTGTCGAAAGTTTGGCGAGCCGAATGATTCGCCTTCTTTAAGTAAACCATCTCCTCAGGCGTCAGTTCATCTTCGTCGTCTGCCCTTTCATGAATTTTGTCCTCGTTGTCATCGTGACCGAACTCTATTATCTCCGGGACGTTGTCGTCATCGGGCTTTTCTCTCTCGACCTTCATCGGCCTTTGGAGCCGAAAATGGTACTGTCGGACACTCTCAAGATGTTCTCGAAGAAGTTCTTGCATCTCATCCGCGCTCATATATTCCACCTCGATTGTGTAATTCTGACTGTGTTGTTCATCCAGAGCGCGATATTCAACGATGACGCAGGTACAAGCTGTAGCTCCGTCGTTCTAGAGTTTCTGTCAGTGATACATCGGGATTGTAACAAGGTGGAAAATGAAGCTTCGTTACCGATCGTGCGAGATTCCCTGCAGCAAGAATCGAATTCACCACTGTGCTTTTCCCTGGATTAATGTCAGCCACGAGAAGCCCAGAATAAATTCCATCGAACCCAAAAATAAATATTGATTCATGCATACCCACGCCGGTGTTACCGATGAGGCCGACTGTTCGCGTTTCGGGGTAACTAAAGCTGCCCAATTTCCGGACCATCTGTCTTAGCCGATGAAGCTCCGTCTTCGGGCCCCTGTCAAGCTCGGAAGCGCCCATGATATCGGCAAGCCGATTGAGCTCGTCCAGCACACCTGCCATCTTCGCCGGAAGCTGCTCGATGTCAATTTTTGGGTCGGATGTGAGGTTCCCAATCAAATCAACTGGTTTATGGCCAGCCGGCGGATCTGGCTCTGGAAAAGCAGAGTCCATCTTCGTGTTACCCTTTTTCTCTTCTTCTGGGACAAAAATTGGCGAAGTTGATCTTGACCGTGAGCTGACGCCTACATCAGGGCTTGGGCGCTCGACCATTTCAGTGTCTGCCGTGTCGGCCATTGCAACTTCCATGCTGCGCGTGAAGCAAACAGGACGCGGTATTTCTGAATCTTGGGTGTGTTACAAGTGAAGGTTTGAAGAGTTGGTTGATTCGAAGTGTGAATAGGACGTCTCTGAGTTCTAAAGAGTTCAGAGTCAGAAGAGGTGCTAGATTTCGGGGCAGCGACTTGTTGGACCATTGAGTGTCACCGAATTCAGAGTTCAAGGCCCTCGAGGTAAGGAAGATGGATATTTGGTCTGGAGGTAGTTCAGTTAGAAGATGTGCTTGAATTTGCGCCAGCGAATCATTGGATTATTGGAAGTCACTGATCTTAGACTTCCAAGACCTTCCGTCGAGCCCGGTGACGAAGATATTGGGCCTGAAGGATTTGGGTTAACAGAAGTACTATGATTCTTCGGTAGCGACCTGTGACCATTAAGTGTCACCGATGTCAGAAATTCTCAAGGCCTTCCAGGTAAGGAGAATATTAAATCAAGCGGTAGCGAAGTTATTCAGAAGAAGTACTTAGCTTTGTGCTAGCGACTTCTTGAGTCCTTAAAAAGTCGCCGACAGAATTCCAACGTCTTCGAGACAGAGAAGATATAAAGCCCCGCGGTGGTTAATTTAGAAGAAGTGCTTAACTTTAACTACTCAAAGAGTTACCAGTATTTATCTTCCGAGATCTTTGTGGTGTGGGAACTCTAGAGGCTTTTTCGCCATGAAACGTTCCTCGAGATCAGTAGTGGCTGAGAGGAGAAATGTTGATCTTTGGATAGAGACCTCTTGGTCACCTTGAACAGTAGCCGGTATTAGAGATCTGAAGGGTTTTCGACAGAGGAACTGCGTTCAGCCTTGCGGTGATTGCGTTGGGGGGGAGCAGCTCGATTCTTAGCCAAAGTCTCGGTTATTGAGGATGTGAAAAGACGTAGTGTTGGCAGCTCCTCGAATCATCAAGGAATCCAATTCACCCCACGGCCGAGTCGCTTTTGACGCCAGCAAAGTTCTAATGCAAGCGAGTATTGCCCAAGTCAGGGAGAGAAAGTCGACTTGGGTGAGGTGGACAGCCTCATACCCGTGAGCATAAGGTAGCTTGGGATGTGCCAGACTTGCGGAGAAAGAGTCGTTTCTGCAATCAAAACCTGCGACTCGTCGAGACACTCGAGCGATTGTAATCTAATTCCCCTAACATGAGTCTTGCTAGAGCAAGTGTAAAATCTAGGTGAGGCTGCAATGAAGAAGTTCCGTGACGATATTGTCATGTGAACAGAACGTCCTATGAGTAATTAGGAAAGGGCTCAGACTTAAGAAAGCTTCAGTAGCCGGGTCTCAGAAACAGTGCTGAGAGCTTCGTGAAGCCAGAATTCTGGGGCATTTTCAACATGAGTGGGGTTTTGATGTTAGCAGTCATTGCAGAGTGCGAGGTCGGGCCTGCAAGAGGAATTGAGACATTACTTAGTCCTCGACCATTTTCCGCCCAGATCACATAGTCAATATAGTCTGAGTAACTAACAGGGCGTGGTATGCGTTGAAGGATCCCTTGGGTAGAATAAAGGCGTCAGAACAGCCCTAGATCCGCGAAGTTCTTGATCGTGTGTTCCATCCGGTCGACTAGAATGCAAGGTGCATCGGAGACGCGGGGACGGCAAGAATGGCATGTGCAAAGAAAAGCGGCCCGAATCTTTGCCTACATTTCGAGGATTGCACCTGCTAGTTGGATCTGGATAAGGGAGGAAAGAGGGGAAGCAGGGCTGCCAACTCACGGTAGCAACCAAGTCAAGGCGACACCTAGGCAACGGGCAAGGAAAGAAAATGGGTAGAAGATGGACGGTGTGTTCCGTCATTGATATTTAAGAAAAGAAAGACTTGGTACAATCCCTGACAAGATATCATCTTATTGATCGTGTCTACGCATCGCTCTAATAAAGCTAAGTAGATTTCCACAACATGTTGACTTGTTTCGCTCGTGCCTTTGAAATCGTTAGTGGATGAAGTTAGAACAGAAGGATAGAATGGAGAAGATGTGGTGGGAAGACATCGAAATATTACTTACCATAGGAGCCAAGAACATAACGCCACCCGTCAGAGCGACGACGGTCAAGACAAGTTGCAACTTGGAGAAGCTTTTGCCCAGAATGTCAAAGGCTTGGCTTGGAGTGGCACGAGTACCAAAGATGTCGCCTCCGAAGGCAAAGATCAAGCTGGTACTCTCCAGGAGAGTAGGTTGAGACAATACAGTTTTAATACCTGCGACATCACGAGAGTGACTCAGGTACCACCGACCGTCAAACTCCAGGAAGGGAGCATAGCGGAACAGACCCTCTTCTGCCTCGGCAGAGGTAGGATCACGGTCAACAGGGCGACGGGGGTCCAGCACATGCCGGGGAATGCCAACAATGGCATTGGAAGAGGGCAAAACGCAAAGAAGCTGTCGAATTGTAATACCCTGGCGAGTCTGGGTCACAGCCATGTGGGAAATGGGTTCGGCAATGACAAATGACTGAGAAACAACGTGGGGAAGTGGGAGGCTATCACCGCGCTCATTATGAAGACTCGAGAAGTTCCCAGCAGAGCCCAAGGGGCCACGATCGTTCACGATGGGCGACTCGTAGAGCTCTGACACCACAAGCTGGTAACCCTTGGCGGAAGATTCTTCAAGTGCGTCCCCAAAGAACGAATAAGCGAACCAGTTCTCGGAGATGGCTGATGTGATAGGCTGAGTGGGATCAACGCCGGCACGGCTCACAGAGTGCAAGACCTTGCCAGAAACTCCATCCAGCAGATAGAATCCTGCGATATGTTCCTGCTCGTTCACAGCCGTCACCAGGACCAAGTTCGGATTGAGATACTTGTACAAGACAGATCGATCTCCGAGAACCTTGCCGATCGACGCAACAGGGTCATGTGACGGGCGGCTCACAGCCTTGACGACTTTCTGGCCAGCCGGTGGAACAAAGTCCCACACGGGGAACTTGCTGTCCTTCCGAGCCCATCCAAGCAGACGTCCATCACTGCTGGTGGTGACGAGGAAGCCACTCAGAAGATCAAGAGGCGCGACGGGGGTACCATCTCCACGAATGCCGATAGCCCCATTCTGGGCCGCCGATAGCCCGGCCTGCTGGTTGATGGTGGCAATAGTCTGTAGCTTCACATCCGTTGGGGGTGATTTGGCGAGGATCTCTCCAGTGGAACTGTTCACACGCACTGAGCTTCCGTCGCCTAGAAAAACTTCAGCCGAACCAGGATTCGCAAGGATAGCCTTGACATCCCAATCAGAGGTCTTCTCAGCCTGAATAGCCCACTTGATGATCCCATGACGCCCAGTATCAAGGGCGTAGACACGTCCCTTGTCAGTGGCCAGGATGATTGACTGAGCAACACCAAAGCTATCCAAATTAGAGACTTCGTCGCTGAGCATGCTGGTGACGATACGCTTGGGAAGGTCCTTGAGCCACTCGGGGAAGTACTGCAAATCACGGAGATGGCGCTTCACACGATGGATGTAGGCACCAACAAGACTCTCATGGCCCTCAATCTCAAGCTCATGCGCCAGGTCCTCCAGATCCTCCTCAACTGCCCAAGCCGCAGCAACCGTGTGAACCAGAGCCTCGGGACGAGTCCACTCAGTGTGTCCATTGCGGATCAAAGACCAGTCGCCTGATTCGCGAATAACAGCTGAGCGAACAGCAACAGTTTTACCCTTGGTGACAACATCCGCGACGGCATGCAGTGCTGGGTCGCTGGTGGACACGTCCGCCTTCCAGCGTCCCAGAATTCCGTGAGAAGCAGAGGAGACTACCACAGCCTCAGCATCGGTCACCCGAGTGAAGTAGACGTTGGCATTGATGTTGTTTGTTGCGACCACCGACTGACCCTGGAGGTAGGGGAGGTTGTAAGCTTTGGTGACGACGGACGACTTCATATCAACATGGTAGACCTCTGCCCAAGCACCACTCTTTGTTTTATAGTGAACCAAGAAATGAGCAAGTGAGTTCAGCTTCCGGGGAGCATGAACGGTGATCTCCCCGATATCAAGACCAGAGGCGTTATCAATCGGCAGTGAGGTAACGTGCTTCGTGCCAATAACGTTGACCTTGAGGGTTTTCAGCGACTTATCTGTCCACACAATTAGAGGAGAAGCGGTATTCGCGCCGACGAAGAGTATCGATTCTTGGCCGGTGACATCGCTCTCGGAGTTCAAGATTACATGGCGGGACTGGCGGCCGGTCACCGGATCGAGTGCAGTCACTTTGATCCGGTAGCCCTTCAACAAGGCGGGTTGAAGCGAGATGTAGAAGATCTCTGTCGGCGAGGACGAGACCTGGAATGCCATATCACCGCTGTGCCTTACTATCAGTAAAGTGTATTTATTAGCCTCGCAAGCGGCACGAACCTTGTATCCTTATATTCCCACTTGGTCTTTCCCAAATCACCGTCCAGCCGCCTCACCACTCCGGTCCCGTCGCTATAAGTCAAGGCAATCGCATCTCTTGAGTCAGGGCTTTCGCTAGCATCGTGTAGCTCGAGAAGCTCAAGATCTGCGACTGCACCGCCGTACAGTCGAGATTCCCAAATCAATTTGCCGTCCTGGGCACTCCATGACGAGATAGAATCACCAGCGGCGCTGACCACCGCGCTGTTTCCATCCAGACCCCGGAGAATTCCTGGACCAGTGGGCGAAGAGCTGAAGCGACCGAGATCTTGGCGCCAGATCAATGAGCCATCGCGAGGATTCACTGCGCCGACAATTGATTTCTCGGAGATTGTGTACAGGAGAGAGGCGTTCGAGGACGAGGAGGGCTTCAGGAAGAAAGTCGAGTCGGGGGAGGGCGCACCGAGAAGGGCATGATGGAAGTCAATATGATTAACCTCATCAGAAAAGATGGCCGCGACGGGCGACAAGCACGCGGCAAGGGGGAGGACCACTTGAAGCCGCATTGTGCTATGATCGGAGCATTTCAGGAGGGACGGTAGAAGATGAGGTGATGTTGGCGTCTAGCTTCGAGGGTGGAGTTGCGCGGGCGGTCTCCCCGGCCATATCGCTGGCCCACATGAACGATAAGAGTGCAGCGCTGCCCGTGCTTTCTCCAAACTTGATCGCGGGCATTTTGATGGTTAAAAAGGAGCTTTTGGCGCGTTGTGAGCATGTGACAGATCAGTATTTAGAGACATTTGCGACACATGTCACAGAGAGTTTGGAATGAACAATGTCCTCTCTAGAGCGTTCCAGATATGCGAATGTACCTTCTCAATAGGTTCCGTATATCTATCAACGCTGGCCATATGTTTTGACATCGGACATCACCTAGGTATGTATACCTAGTGGTATACCTACCTTAGTAATTACCGTACCTACCTACACATAAAGTTACTATGATAGGTGAGGCAGAGCCACATCCATACCTAACCTAGGCGTACCTACCTATTGTAGAGGGGAATGCTCAAGGCAGTCTGATCTCACCAGGCAGGTCGAGTCCTGAATCCTCGATTCCCTTCTCCGATGGATCTCCCGGATCCCATGAAGTCGTTCGATGATTCTCGGATTCCTTCTTGGATTCCTTAGGTGATCAAGTTGATTGACCCCCTCTCACAATGTCCAAATAGTCTCTCCCGACTATAAGGCCACCATCAGGCACCCGCACCTCTGCAAACCATCGGCTCTAAGTACATATAGCCGGATTCCCTACTACACTATCTATTGCGGATGGAATCTGGAAGCACTTCTCTTTTGAATAGGTACCTACTCTTAATAATATCCTGTAGACTGCCTCACTTCATGATTCCTTCTCCTCAGCAATAGCATCGACTTCAATCTCCACAAGCATCTCGTCATCCACAAAGCTATCTCTGACTACAATCATCGTTGCCGCCGCACCCACTTGAGGCCCGTTCTCTTTCCCCAGTGCTTCCCGAAAGGCCTTGCCAACCGCCCCGCAATCTTCTTTGCGGCTCACATACATTCGGCACCGCACGATGCTCTCGGCACCTTGCCCCCCGACACCCTGAATCGCTTGTACGATCTCTTTAAAGGTGACCTGCGCTTGAGCGTATGCATCCCCAGGGTATCGGACACGGGGTGCTTCGGGCGGCGAGTGTGGGTCCGCAGCTGTTGACCCCGAGATGAAAATGTGGTTTCCGTGTCGAACAGCTCGGTAGTACCCGAATTTGGCTTCCCATGGCGAAGAAGTGCTGTAGAAGCTTTTCTGTGCCGGTGATGTGTCGGAGACCATGGTGGAGAAGGATTATTGACGGATCTCCTGCAACCACAGGGACCTATTAATGCTGTTGTTAGGTGATTGTACCGCGGAAGTACAAAGAAGACTGGAGATACCAAATTCTTACTTTGCGTGAACGGTCAAACGCTCCTTGAGAGTTTAGTGTCAGAGAAAGTCCAAAATCTGGAGACGCTGCGAATTTTTTACTCCCTGCCGTGGCTGAAATGACCCCGCAACCCCAAATGAATTTCTTCTGTATGAGTCACTACTGGAGAATCTTCAAATATTGCAGTTGGAGTCCATGATGCCTTCGTGGAAGCTAAGGCTGGATAATCTGAAGCATAATTATTGGATCAAAGTATTTTTTTCGGTGGCCAAGCACCATGAAGACTGCCCCAATCAAATGCCGGAATGGTTTGAAGTCTGCCAAGAGGTGCTGATGATGAAACGATATTGGTATCACGATAGATTGTAGTAATTGCCATGTCCCCGGAATAACCGAGTCAAGAAGGCTGAGTGTTCGAGTTCCTGTCATCGTTTGGAACACAAGGAAAGAGCGCCAACTTTCGCTAGAAACCACAAAGCTCCCAAGAACCGAAAGATAGAGAGGCCCGAAGTTGCCCAGAGTACGACACGAAAGTACCATGCGGTGCGGATAGTCGAGGTTGACTGATACTGTTAGAATGCGCTCAAGGTGATATGCAAGAGGGGACAAACCGTCAGGCAGATCTTCTTGATTCCATCATTGTTGATGCACAATGCTAGAATTCCATTACTGAGAGTCCAGAACAAGACAAGATTGGTGCGGAAGGCCTTGTACGAATCCTCGAGAGTGATTTCATCTTTCTGCTCGGGCTCTTGCCAAGGCGTTAGGGCCCGCTTGACGGTCTGTTCAAATTGCACGTCAATGTCTTCTTGCGGCTTTTCGATTTCCTCCACAAATGGAACGTGAGCTTCTTGTTTGGTCTGCACGGACGGCAAAGCATCAGCCTTGTCCGATCCCTTGGTGCCCCAAGAAACATCGTGCCAGTTGCAGAATGCATAGACCATCAAGATGTTGACTGACGAGGGCATGCCGAGGAAGTATGCCCACGACGAGGTGAACATGTGCCATGGGTCCCAGTAGAGGAAGCTAGCGATGAAATAGATCCCATAAGTAGAGACGAGCGCAACCAGGACCACGCCCCCAGTAGACGAAACGAACTGCCGCAAGAACGCGAGAACGCCGTGCGTCAGGTCAAAGCTAAGATTCTCAGGGGTCAAAGCTTGCGCAACGAGATAAAATGAGAGCACGAGAATATAAAACTGGACGATAGAGAAATAAATCAATGAAAGCGTGTAGAAAACCTTAGACCTGGAATGAATTGTGTTAGGAGAAGCAAGTAGATGGATGACTCCTTGAGTAAGAATATTACGTACCCCTTCGGCCGGTTTCCAAGCGCTAAGATGAACTGAAGAATCAGGAAAATAATATAACCAAACTTAAGGAATGTGTTGAAAATGGGCGAGGCTTCGGGACCGAATGGCCACGATTTGTAGTGGTTCACTGAGCTCGGTGTACCAACAATATCCATGATGACCGAAGTTGTGAGCCAATAAGAGGCTATATGAGTTAGTCAAGTCAATGTAAGAATCGATAAGAATACTTAGCTCGTACCGAGAGAGAACCATGTCATCACAAGCTGGCAGACATTGTAGATGAATTGGACATGCAGGAAAAACAGCCTTGGAATGCTGTGGCCGCTGCGATAGATCCGGTTAAAGTGCATCAACGAATAAAGTCCTGCCGCAAATGAACCATTGAGCCATCGCCGTCTTTGAGAGAGAAACTCAGGTGGACTCTCAGGCACATCAGTCTCGCCTTTGGACGCTTTCACATAGGTCAGTCGCCAACGACAACCCGCTTTGGCCACCAGTTCGAAGCACAAAATTCTGTCCTCGGCGAGGAACATGTTCTTCTTGAAAATATTCATACCCTCGATACCCTTTTTACCCAGTCTTTCGGAGAGTGTATGATCACCATGAAAGTATTGCTCGAGAGGCCGACCAACGATAGCCTTGTACCGATACGCGGAAAATGCGCCGGGCAGTACACTCACGTACCCGAAACTGCTTTCGAGAGGCTTATCCAAGATATTGGAGATCTTATACTCATAGTTTTGAGCAGCAACGATTGGATTGAAGACTTTTCGCCACGCAGGTCCAAGAAGCGCATGGATTTCGCCGCATGCGCCTCCGAGATTTTCATCATTGTAGAAAGCCTCCCAAAGCGTAAGGAGAGACTTGTGGCCAGGCTTGGTACCTGCATCGATCAAAATGCAGACCTCTGGGTTCAGAATACGACCAAATGCGTTGAAAAGCCACCGGTGTGAGTTGATCTTCTTGCTATTTTTGTGCTTGAGGCAAAAGATCATTTGCACTGGTGGAAGATTGTTCGGATCATTTAGAGATGGACGTATGAGTTGCTGAGACGGGGTGACCGAAAGCTGAGTTGTGTACTCGAACTGGATTCATGTCAGAAAGTCCTGTCGTGGAAACCATGTGCATTTTCCGACTCACGATATGAGCCACCGTCTCACGACCGTCTAGATCATGTTTCATGATACCATCCTGATATATTCCGATCGTCGCAAGCAAGTCCAGAGTATTCTTGTCACATGGTTTGATGCCATCAAACACAAGACAGACGACGATCTTCTGCCAGGCTGGGCCTCCCTTGTTCCAGAATTTTGTTTTCTTCAGATTGACCTAGGAATCAGGAGTGAGAATCAAAGATTCAGTGTTACTTAAAATGTCTTAATGAGACCGAGACCAGAAAAGAAATATGGCAGAGGTACTCACGATATCACGAACGTTTTGCATCACGCCGTGCAAGGTTCTTGCAGTCAGCACCTTATCCTCGTTGTAATAGGTGATGGCAATAAGCATCTCCGTGTGTCTGTTGTACATAGACTGACGAAGATTGTAGCCATGATGAAGAGTGAACTCATCAGGGTCACATGTCGCCGCCGTGTCTTGACATATCATTCTTTGTCATGCTCAGTGCAACACAAACAAGGGGGGGGCTTACTCACATCGCAGGTGGGTAAACTCTTCATTCTGTCCGTCTTCGAGGTCACGGTACTTTGGCTCAATTGCGTTTCTTATAGGACTCGGGACTGGATAGTCTACGCTGAGTACTGCTCCCTTGGTGAGTTTGATTCGACGCGTTGGATATCTGCGGAGGGTGTTGGTAAGTGGGGACTGTCGTTGCACCCATCGCTTTGAACTGGTTGACTCTGCATCGCGACTGATAGTCTCGGTCAACTCGATTCCATGATCATCATGCGCCCCTCCGTGGAGAGACCTGACGGAGCGGCTGGCAGTCTCGCTGTACGATGGGAGATATCGACTTTGACTGCTCACACTTCGTCTGGACGGTGGCCTGGAGAGGTCTGGTGGATGCAGAGACTGTGTGAAGACTTCCGGCTCTTCGAACTCTGAGCTAGTCTGGATAGTTCAACGCAAAGGGGCAAAGATAAGCACACTGAAATATCCACCAGTGACTTGCTGTGTCACTCACCCGGGAACGAGCCGAGACATTTCTTGCTTCCTGATTTGAGTGCAGTGACTGCTGTGAGTAATGTCGCCTGTGGGAGGTAGAACTCATGATTGACTCTTTCAAATTGTGGTAGAAAGAATGCCCATTGCTGTGACTCGAAAGCTGATGGAAGGTGAAGTCAAAATGAGAGGGAAAATGTAGTGAAAGATGGTTGTGTGCGCCTTTGTCGCGGACGAGAGAAGGTGTCGAGGGTCAGATGATAGTTGGATTTCGTATATTGGCGGAATGACCCTTCTCTTGGTCGAATTTCCCTAAATGATCTTCGAGTCAGCCAAACACGCCAAATTAGAGAGTCAGGCAGTTGTTTGATGACCAATTGATTCCACTAGGCCTTGACAGCAAAACCTTGCTATTTGGAATCAGGGCTTTTGTAGCGTGCTTTGTTTCAGAGTGAACTGTCTTTGTGCACCGTGGTGTCAAATTCACGAGCAACACTTCACCGTGCGAGAGCCACATGTCGGTTCGAAGCAAGTCTAGGGTACCTCCTAGCCCCGTTGTTGATGTGGTACAAGCTATCGGACCTCGAGCAGATTTCTCTTCCAATAGCAGAGGCCGCCTAGATGAGTGACACATTATCACCAAAGCCAAGTCCGTTGGTAAGACTGAGTGCTTGTTTCTTGTTCAATTTGAAGATCTTTATTCTCTCCTTCATACACATGTGACATTTGACAGACTATTATAGAGCAAAGACTATAGATCTTCCGCTTCTATTTGTGTTCTGCTTAATCCTGCACGCGCCACATTGGAGAAGACAGTATCTCTTAGCCATATGACTCGCCTTTGCTAGGCCAATTCATGACAATCAGACAAGGATCGTCACTACAGGGCCCGTGCAGCGTTCCCTACTTTGCGAATGCAACTATCCGAGATTGGCAGAACTCGAAGTCCTCAGCCTTACCGTATCAGACGCACTGTTCAGTGCTCATAAGCTTTCGACCCCGGGTGACCACCAATAACTGTACTGTCTCAAAGAAATCCTTGAACTGCACATGCGTTGCGTAACATCCTCTTTCCCAAGGACAACTCTTGTGGACAGACAGGGCAATGCATGGCTCTACAATGTCCCTCACTTGTCGAAGAATTCATAAAAAACCTACTCCCATCTGCTTCCAAAAAGTCAATTACAAGCTCTCAATTCTCTTTCTCAATACCATGCACCAGATAAAATTACATCCGAAGGAAATTCCGGAAATTTGCGGACAAGTCTGCAACAGGTCCTAGGTGTGATGTGTGCTTGAGATTTCATGGCTTGATTGCCCTATACACCAAAGCAAACTTTGTTCGCCGATACCACGGCTTCTCTTTCACCGTCGCTCATTTCCTCTGAGACTTCCCAGGATTTGTCTCCAAGACCCATGGCCCGTTGGCCCTCTGCGCTCAATTTATTCCACTTCATAGCCCCCGTAAAGCCCCGTTCGCCCGGGCCCCCAGCGCCAGGAAAGTCCCAAGGTGGTGAGTAGTCAATAGCAGCTTGGCGCTGTTTGAGAAGGTAGTCGACATTCATTTCGCACAGGGGGGTTGCGGGGATGTACAGAACGCTGGAATCACCTTTTCCGCGGTGTTCCTTGTCGACGGAGTGAATCATATCGCAATGCCAGAGCACATAATCTCCAGGCTCGACCGTAGGAGCCGATGTCATGGTCGAGTTGAGCTCGAGGTGTGGATGAGTGACAGGGTTAAGTTCCTGAGCAGCACCAGCAACAGATCCTGGAAACGATGCGTCCATCTGTGACTGCTGAGTTCCGGGATCAAAGAATGGACGAAGCATGGTGTACGCGGTACTATGGGTGATCATGGGGCACACGCGCAGTGATCCCTCACCCGGGGCAGTGTCGGACATGGCCAACCAACCCTGGAAGAGGCGAAGCATTGAACAGGCACCGGCACCATTGTACAGGTCCATTTTTGCTCTGAGACGGTGCTTCACGTCCCACGCGTCGTACTCCTCCCATTTGCCCTCGAATATCTTCGCGTACACGCGTGAGTACTCAGGATCCTCCCAGCGCTCGAGGGACCCCCGTCAACATGAGGCCCAAGAGCGAATTTGGCGTCGCCGGGGTTTCTTATACGCAGACGATCCGCATAGGTCAAGGGGTGATATGTTGACAGCTTCGAATCAGGATCCGAAGAATGCCAAAGACGCTGAAGAAAGCGCTGGGTGTTGAGCATGTTCGGATGAGCGCGGGCTTCTACCTGGCCTGATGACCAGTAGAGCTCATAAACAGCCGGTGAGTCGGCAGGGAATGCTTTGATGTTCTCTCGGTTCGCAGCGATGTATTCCCGGATGCGCTCTTTGTAGTCGAGTGCCTGCTGCCGAGAAACCACATTGCGAATGACGGCAGTACCCCGATGACGAATTTCCTTGACAGTGGCTTCGGGAACTGTTCCGGAAACTATATCATTGTAGTTTACTGAAGGAATGATCTATCAACCAGTCAGTGATATCGTCTTTGGGTAAGTGGCAGACGCTAGCTAGATAAGGAGATGTTCTCGGTTCATACATCGCTGCCTTTGGTCTTGATCTCGTGGACCTCACGCTCCAGGCTGGATAGGAGCCTGTACCAGCTATCGGTCAAAGCTGCCGAATTTTTGGCAAAAAGGCGGCGTTTCAAATCCGCGAATCTGGGAGCGAGAGGCTCTGGTTGATAATCTGGTTGGAGACTGGGAAAGACTGATGAGATATCACCCGCCGCTTTTGTGGTGTGTCCAGCGGTGGATGTAGATGCTGCACGAACTGCAGCTCTCGATAACACCCTTGACATTCTGTTAAGATGACTTTAATCTTCTTCAAGGATTGATTTCAATTCTGGGGGAGTCTTTTGCTCTCGTTAAATACCCCGGTGATAGGCGGGCGGTTACCACTTTCAGTAGTTACCCGCCTTTGAGCGGGTAGATTTCCCCAAGCAGTATTCTTGCGATTCCAGTTTGCTGAAGGACATCGGCTTCCGCATAAGAAGATCCGTCTCCTTTAGGGAAGCTCATCCCATTGACAAATGGGCTCTTCGCTTTGCCCTCTGGCAGTAGCACGCACGCTCAAAGTCTCGACAATACTTTATTCAGAGCGTTGTAGTTGGGTTAAAGCCACTGCAGGGAATGGGAATGGTTCTTCACGTAACTACTTCCCCGACTTTCCTCTTGTAGAGATCGTCCCGACGGCAATTCCTGGTCAGTGGATGTCATGCACCGGGGCAATTGATGCACCACAGAGGCTGACGCTGTATCTCGAGGTATCCCTGGTGCTGGAGACTGTCATATCATCCCAGTGTCACTGATCCGTGATCACAGTTACGAAAGACTGGATCGTTCCTCGCAGTCGGTACATAGTGGAGATCTGCTTCTTCTCCTCATGCGATGGACTTGACAGTATCCTTTCCGGTGATCAGGTGGTTTTACAATCGAATCTTGTGCTGCATTTCATCGCCAATCCTTACAGTAAAGTCACCGAGTACCGTGATTGCCACGATGTTTCTCTTTCTTCTGGTCACACGGAACGGCAGGCGAAGATGTTTTCCTAATTGAGAGTTGTTTGTAGATCCGGCGATTTGCCGATACCCGGACAGCAAGCTTCCCCGCAAACCCCCTCATTCTGCAACAATACTGGGTACTTTTGTATGACCTGTGCAGGTCGCTATTTTGCGGACCGAAGGCCGAGAGAGCACATAGTATAGAATATAGATAGTGGGAAGCTGGCAGTGGTGGATCTTGGCCTGCGTTCAACATAACACACCACTTCATACTTCACCATCTTACCAGTAAGGCACAACCGCACGATGGCTTTTTCAGTACAAGATCGAACTGCTCTTATCACTGGCGCAGGCTCTGGTATGTTTTCAAGGCAATGCCTTTAGTACAGAACTGTGCTCCAGAAACTGACAACCCGCGAGGAATCAACTTTTCCTTTGCGAAGCTACTCCTTGAGAGCGGTTGCAATGTACTGATTGCCGACCTGACTCTGCGATCAGAGGCCAAGGCCCTGGTCGAGAAGTACGACAGAGGTTCACCGCGCGCCATTTTCCAGGAAACCGACGTGCGAGACTGGCTCCAACTCGAGCGGATGTTTGAGGTGGCTGAGCGGGAGTTTGGAGAGGTCGATATTGTCTGTCCTGGCGCAGGTGTCTACGAGCCGGTGAGTCTGCCATTCCACATGGAGCGTCTCCAAGTCTTCAGACATGAATATGACCTAATTGACCCCAAACGCGGACGTAGCACTGGAGCAATTTTTGGCGTCCACCTGGCTCGGCGCCAAGCGGAGACGCGCGTGATGGTGGCCGGTACGCCCTGGTGGATATCAACATTACACATCCAATTCGTTCTTCGCAGCTCGCAATCGCGCATTTCTTGAAGCACCGTAAGCGCGACCAACCGAAACACCTGATTCATATCTCCAGTATCGCTGGGCAGGTCTCAGCTATGGCGGCACCAATGTATGTTGCATCCAAGCACGCCATTAGCGGGTTCGTCCGATCATTGGGGAAGCTCGAACGACTTGGCATTCGTGTCACCGCTGTGGCCCCTGGTGTCATCAAGACACCGCTGTGGACTGAACATCCAGAGAAGATGCAGATGATCAATGAGAGCGCTGATGAATGGGTGACACCTGAAGAAGTCGCCGAGGTCATGCTGGCGCTTATACAGCAGGACTCCGTTAGCGAGATCATAGGTGATCGGTCGGGGAAGGGTCGGCAGTATCAAATCACCGGAGGCACCATCCTTGAAGTGTCAAAGACCGTCCGTGAGGTTGCTGCGGTCAATGATCCAGGCCCAGGTGGTCGGCCGGGAAATAGCGTCTCTCATCAATCTGCTGTAGAAGAAGAAAGTTTCCAGCTCCTGCGAGAGGAGGGCTGGGGTGGCGCCAAGGACTAATTCATCTCAATTGATAACGCGTATGAGACAAACTCCAGAATCATCCCTATCTGTGCTGTCACGTTTGCTTCTTATCCGGATCCAGAAATGTAGAGGCTCGAAAGCAATCACCTCTGGAATAATAGGATATTGGTCATGGAGACGGTGGGTCTTTTGTGGTGTTAATTTGCCGGAAAGATGCCTCGCTCGGAGGGGCCCGTGGAGGTGGAGAGAGGGCCGAGAAATGGAGCCCCGAGGCTGGACAAGTCAGGTGCCGCTGAGCTATCGCGGCCACGCTCGATAAGACTTGGGCCACCGCGTCATTCTCTTCCCTTCCCAGCTTACACATTGTTATCTTCGTATACGCAGTTTTGAGTCTGTCCGACTCCGCTGGTCGTGGTCGCTGTCAGTTCAGATGCCATATCCTACACTCACAGTCGCATTCGATCTGTGATCAATCTTGTCACCATGGAGGAAGATTCAACTGTTGGAATCGTACACTCGCCACAGGGCGGCCCACGATGGTTAGTTCGCAGACAAGACGGCGATCCTGGACTGGGTTTATTGAATATAGGCTAACCATTTTCTTTTCACAGGCGAAGTGCGCGTGGAAAGAGAGCGGTCGGACATACGGGAGAGGCTAGTTGGTCTAGTAGCGTGATTAATCTGGTCAATACGAGTGAGCGCAGACGAGTATCCGAATCCGATTGCAACTATCGCTAATCCTTCCTGGCTTTCTCTAGTTATCGGCGCTGGCGTCCTTGCAATGCCACTCGCCATCTCGCACATGGGCATGGTCTTAGGTGTGTTTGTGATATTGTGGTCTGGAGTGACCGCGGGGTTCGGTCTTTACCTGCAGTCGAGGTGCGCCCAATATCTCGATCAAGGGAGCGCATCATTCTTCGCGCTGTCACAATTGACCTACCCAAATGCTGCGGTGGTCTTCGATGCGGCGATTGCGATCAAATGTTTTGGAGTCGGCGTTAGCTATCTCATCATCATCGGCGATCTTATGCCGGGCGTGGTACAAGGCTTCGTTGGAGCCGAGCCGGTCTATGACTTTTTGGTTGATCGCCATTTCTGGGTGACGGCATTCATGTAAGTGTCTCCGTCGCAGGCTCCTGGTCAGTCAATACTGACGTTCCTTCTTCACTGTCATTAGGTTGATAGTTATTCCTCTCTCATATCTGCGTCGTCTCGACTCGCTCAAGTATACCAGCATTGCCGCACTGGTCTCCATGGCGTATTTGGTCGTCTTAGTGGTCTATCACTTTGTCAAGGGTGATACTATTCCTGAAGGGGGACCAATCCGTGTCATTCACTGGGCTGGCGCTGTCCCGGCCCTGAGCAGCCTCCCAGTGATTGTCTTTGCTTTTACTTGTCATCAGAATGTACGATCCCTACCTAAACCAGATCTCCCGCGCAGTTTCGGTGTCGGTCGCTTACATCACCCCTATAGATGTTCTCCATCTTGAACGAGATCAAAAACAACAGCCACTTCCGAACTACAGGTGTTGTGTTTGCTAGCATTGGTAGCGCTGCCGCAACTTACATTCTCGTTGCAATCACCGGTTATCTTTCCTTCGGTAACAAAGTGGGAGGCAATATTGTCGGCATGTATCCTCCTGGCGTCGCAGCCACCATTGGTCGTGCTGCCATTGTCATGCTCGTCGTCTTCTCTTACCCATTACAATGTCACCCATGCAGGGCATCAGTGGATGCTGTTCTGAAATGGCGCCCAATCTCACAGCCCTCCGGGACCGAGGCATCTCCACACCGTCATCCTCTTCTTGGTCCGCGTGGCAATCGTATTCCAGAGCCCATGAGTGACATTCGGTTCTCGATCATTACCACTACCATCCTTATTCTGAGCTACATTGTTGCCATGACGGTGTCGTCTCTTGAAGCAGTACTTGCTTATGTCGGAAGCACTGGCAGTACCAGCATCAGTTTCATCCTACCCGGCCTCTTCTACTACAAGATATCCTCGCCTGATTCTCCCGCTCACCGAGGCTTCATGAAGGAGGACGATGAGGTCGTTGATGAGCTGTCCGACGACGATGATGCTGCAGATGCCGAGGCCGAAGGATCACTGGCGCGCTCATTGACTGAGAGTGGCTTGCTGCTCCGAAACACACGTCACTGGCGCAAAGCACTTCTCCGGCGTCTTAGCCTCGCTTTGGCCGTGTACGGTCTGGTGGTCATGGTCGTCTGTCTGATCACAAACACTTTCTTTATTGCCTCACACTGACGGCTTTCCTTCTTTCTGTCAAGTCTTTTGGCTCGATAGTGGTTATTCCCACTTCCATCTGTCGAAGTCTGTTTTGGTTTCCCCTGCATATGACGGCCGGCAATTCTCCTACTTCTTGATGTTCCTTTTGCAAAATGCTCTGACTGGCTTGTTAGATTATTTCTGCTGTTTACATTGATGCATCTCGTGTTGCTCGGCGCTTCAATTTTTCAATGTACAAATTGTCTCGTTTTCTTCCTTTCGAACAGATTGTTCTTCTGGTTGTGCTATTTCTTGCCAGAAGCTTCTTACCACAGATTAGAATTTGATCTTGTTGACTATATGGTACTACATGAAACCAGCTTCGCTGGCGCAAAGCATTTCCCACCTACAGACTCGGTGAGATAGGTCAGTGTCTACAAAGAGGAAATTTTGGGACCGGTACTTAAAAATAGCATTTGCCTGTTGGTTTACAACATCCTATGCAAAAGGTTGAATCGGAATTTTGAAGCCCAATGAACGTGCGGACAAGTCATCCCTGCTTCCACGTTATTGAGTGCTCTGGGTACTTCTATCCATCCACATCGAGTTCAGTCTTAACATGCTCGAACGGTTAATGCCATATTCACTCTCTGTGGCGCCTTGCAATACTGATGTCGCCGCTCATCTTATCATTGTGGGTCCAACTCTAACGTCTATCAGTTATCTCTTGCGGAGACTGGTTGAGGTATACCTGACTTCTTCTAAGTCTCATTGAGAGGCTACTTCATATTTAGTGACTACACTTGAATCATAGCTCGAACTAGTATTCACTTTGAGGTATTGCACAAAGCCTATCAGTGGCAAGGCGCTAGACAGACATCGAATCTACGAGAAGCCCAAGACGGCGCGTTCCATATCGCCCTACCACAAGGACCTCACGTGATCTTATCGATCACGTCACATGGTTGCTGCGCCTCCCCAGAAGAAAGAGCAGGCAACTACGACATCAAGATTCCACATCTACTTCTGATCGAATTAACGTTGCTTTCGTTATAGCTAATACGAGCACCGTACTTTCAAAACTGGGAAGCTCATCTACAGAAATGGCTGCGAACACTCGTTACGAGCCCGCGCCCCAGCGAGACTCCTTCGAGGATGATCATTACACCCAAGCGCCCCCATCTTACCAAGCTACAGCGACTGAGCCGGCGCCACGATCCGAAGATGACAACTTGCCAGACGACTTCAAGGTATGAAATATCACTGGGGTTATTAAAGTGTTGGATATGAAGCCACTAACATGATGTTTTAGTTCGGAGGTACAGTAGCAGAGGGGACGATCGACATTCGGATGCAGTTCGTTCGGAAGGTCTATGCGATCTTGTAAGTCGAATCTCCTCCCTCGAATAGCGCCCGCTACCTGATACGGTACCGACTTTAATCTGAAAACCTTCTTTCTAACAATGAAATTCGTTGCAGAACTGCCCAGATTCTCCTCACGACCATCCTCAGCTCCATCTCCTTTTTCAATGCATCATACCGCACCTGGATTCAGGGAAACTTCTGGCTTATGATCATCTCCATCTTTGGTGCCCTTGGCTTCATGCTTGCAACCTACTGGAAGCGCAAGTCTTACCCGTCCAACTTGCTTTTCCTTTCCGGCTTCACGTTGATGGAGGCGTACTCTATCAGCGTGGTCACGTCGTTCTACGAGTCGCGAATTGTTGTGCAAGCGCTTGTCTTGACCCTGGGCATCTTTGTCGCACTCACTCTTTTCGCTTGCCAGACCAAGTATGACTTCACTAGCTGGATGCCATACCTCTTCGGTGCTCTCTGGTTCATGATCCTTTTCGGGGTTGTGGCCATGTTTATGCCGTTTGGAAGCACTGCCGAGTTGATTTATGGTGGTCTCGGTGCCCTGATCTTCTCGGGCTATATCCTGGTGGATACTCAGCTGGTCATGCGCCACTACCACGTGGAGGAGGAGATCGCTGCTGCCATCGCGCTGTACCTGGATATTCTGAACCTGTTCCTGTCGATTCTTCGCATCCTGAACAGCCAGAATAACAACTAGCCTTAGTCATCCTTCGTCAGCAAGCATGCCCGCGATTTTGCAATCCACGCTTAATCAATCCTTCGCAGGGATACAACCGGATCCGAGCCTGTCTTGGTGATCACAGAGACTGTACTTACCTCTCTCATATCTCTTACACAACATTACAGCACTTTGCGGGTCTTCGTGTTCTGTTCTGTCTATTTTGCAATAAATTATGCCATGAGCGCTGATATTCGCCTGACTTGAGGGTTGCCTCTTGTGTTTCCTTCATATGATGCCAATGCGCTGTACCTAATTGGAACTGAGAATCATCATCTTACGCTTGAGATGAGAAACGCCCTTATCCCCGTATACTTGAGTAATGTCCGACCATTCATGGAATGTAGGGAAAAGTAGATTCCAGTTGCAAAGATGGTCTAGTCAAGCACATCGATTCGGGTCGAGACATATGAACAGTTCCCAGCTGAATTAGACATGTTACTCGGGACAGGAACAGACATCTTGTACAATTGATTCATGGACACTGTTAAGGTATACAGACAAACGCTTCGCATTCACACCATCTTCCAAGCATCATGGATAATTCGTTTACTCGCCCTCGAGATTTGGTTTGCTTATTTGCTGTCCTGGATTTGTTTCGTAGCAACAGCCAATCTCTGAGACATATCGTTCAAATCCGCCGACGTGATCTCCTCGTCGTGTCTTCGCCAGCCAAGCTCAGTTGGCAGAGCCTCGTTCTCTGCAAAGGGCGATCATAATCAGTTGACAATTCCTCGCGGTATCACTTTCTTGTCAAGCAGGCAGCATTCTGGTCGATGACACAATGCTTTGGAGACTCGATTCACTCACGGAAGAAATATTCTACCCAGGCCTTGGGGACGGTTCCAGCCGTCTTGTCGCCAAAGGCGAGCATGTACGCTGAATTCTCGATGAACGTCGTTCCCTTGGCAGCTTCGGAGAAGGTGAAGTCGGGATTTGTTCGGTTGGAGGTATCTACACGAGCCTGGCGAGCGAGCGCCGCATGATAAACGTCAATCTCGTCGCCTTGCCAGTATGAGCGGGTCTGGTCAAAGGTGGCCTGGTCGAAGCTGTGGTCGTTTCCGCTGTAGTAGTCTCGGCGGCTGGTTTATTCAAAGTCAGACTGATCATGTTCTCTGCATCTCGGGGATTCACACAAGCAGTGATGAGATCGTCCTACCTCAGACTGGCATCGTGCTCGAGAATGTTATGATGACTTAGGTCATCGAGCGAGAATGTGGTCGCATTGGGTGAAAGATTGGTCTTCAGGCCGGCCTGGTAGAAGGTCTTGGAGAAGTCTCTGGCGAGATTGATGGAGTCTTTGAGTCCGTTGACGACCTCATCCTCTGTGAGATCTCGGCCGTGGTGAGGAATGAAGCCCTGGTTGGCCAGGGTGTTCAACATCGGACATGGCCCGCGTGCTGATATCTGGTCAGAGAGGGTTCTACTCGTGATTCTTTTTTTTTCGCTCGGCATACAACCATCCATTGGAGAATGTTGGGACTTACTGTCGCTGGGTCCAGCAGGTCGCCAGTTGACCGGGGGGTGATCTTTGGGGAGAGCCGAAGCTGAAGCTCCAAGGCAACTGGCCGCGATGACTGCGATGGTTACCTTCATGTTCGAAGTATGTATTGCTATATCGAAGGAGCAAGGATGCAAGTTCTGGAGAAGGAAAAATTGAAAGAACTGGGATCCAGGCCAGAATCATCCCCGAAATGATCGTCCCACTCTTGGCTTTATAACTTCATTTCGTCGATATTAAGATCGTCTCATTATAGCATCCGAGTTCACACTGTACAATTAATCACTATACAGTGGACTGAGTGTACACCTGAGATATTCATCACTAATCCATCCAGTCACGCTAGGTTATTTGGAAATCAACACCCAACCCCTCGGTCCATTCTACCCGTTCGAGCCCAGCATTTATCATCATATCAAAATGACCGCAATACTGACTTTTCAGTCTGCCACACATGATCAAGGCAACGGCCGTCTTGGACAGAGATTTCGCATTGGCACGTCCACATTAACACGGACTAATCAGCTCTGTCTGGTTAGTGCTCCAAAAGCTCCGAGTCCACTTTACCGTACCGTTGGCAGAGAGGACGGGCGATATGCCGCTTATGAGAGAACAGGACTACGAGACGACGGCGCAGATCACTGATTTGGAATGCCAAGGGTATTCAGTTCTGAGTCGAGAGATTGGCAGCATCCAGAGAGTTCCAGACTATGCATTGTTGACAGGCACATGGCCAGGGTTGAGTTGCAGCCGGTGATCGTGCCGCCTTCCTCCAGTCGGGGCTGGAGGGATTTGCAGAAAGGAATCTCCATTCGATGTGTTCCGGTTGGAAATAAAAGCTGCCTGATTCAGTCGGAAAAGGACCTCGGTTGACGATCTCGTGGGTGATACCCAGTCCATACCTATTGCCTGACTATGTAGATATGAAGGGGTCCGGGCGACGATCTACTTGGTTGGACGATGAGGACGTTTCACTTGTCAATCACCACTGCTACACGGGCAAGAAATGTAGAGACAATCCGCCACATGCTCGGTGTTCCTCATTTGCAAGCTTCTTGACTGGGCCATTTGTCAACTTTTGCACCCTTCAGCCCATAAAAAAAAAACACTTTTTCTTTGGAGCGCATCTTTTGCAAGACAAAATGCGGATTGCCGCCCCTGACTCCACATGCAAAAGTGGATCCTGCAAGCCATGCGCCAGGGCTCCAGCGGGCATCTTCAAAATTGGGTCCAGGCGAGTTGAGTATTCGGTTCTTCACCGGGTTTGTGCCCGGACAGGAAAAGATTTCCCATATCTGAATGTGCTCTTAGCCTTCTAATGAGGAATAGGATCAAGGTTCTCCAGTACCCGGAAGGTCGAGCAAGTTTATATTTTGGTTTGTTCACATGAAAATTAGTTTCTTATGTACATACGCCCATTAATCAATAACTCGTGGTCGGTCGTTATATAGCATCTCCCTTCCTTTTTTGACGCACTTGTCTTTCCCTTTCGAGCAAAGCGGCGGTGATACTGAATTCAACGAGGAGACTCAAGTATCCACTTCTTTTGGAAGCCTCTCGCTTCCAGATGAGGATCTCGTCTCATCCTCTTCATTCAGAGGAGGAGTCCCCGTACCTTCGGTCTCGGTATAATCGTCTTCATCGTCCGAGTCTTCGGCGCCCGCGTCCTGACCCATGTGCGGGTTGGCAGCCTCGGATAAGAAGGTGGGAAGCTGTCGCCGCTCAAAGTCTTGTGTATGAGCAGTTCCTGCGCGGAAACTGAACCGTCGGAGACTTCCCGAGCGAGTACCTGGTGGGATACGGGGCCGGATGGTCGAAGTTTCGGGAGTTCCGACCCCAGTCTCAACATCGATGACTGGCATAATTAGTGTCGGGGCAGGTTGTTCCTGAAGCTGGACATCACTGGCACGTGAGCTCTCACGGGCTCTTTGAGGAATTTCGAACTTGTAGGGAAGTTTGGGCTCGCGAGATGCATGGAACTTGGTCACATTCGCACAATGTTCATTCTCGACACGGAGAATAGACCACACGCCACGCCGAAGCACTTCCGACAGGGCGACAAAGAAGCTGAGCAGGGCTGAATGCTGGATATCGTGGGAGAAGATGGCGTAAAAGATCCAGTTGAATCGGACAACGATATCCAGGACAATCGCGCCGTAGTAAATCCAGACGTACCGGAAGGCAAGCTCGTCCCGCAAGAGAACATGCTTCGCATACGGGTCTCCCAGACTCCAGTCCATGAGCACGTCCCAGATGGAAGTATAGATTGAGTTGAGAAGGGCAAACGTCAGGAAAGGCGCTTGGAATCGGGTACTTCGGTTGATCCGCCACATGCTGAGTGTCGAGTAGTAAGCAATACCGCAGACGTATTTGGCCAAGTTGAACAGGTGCGGGAAAGCATCTTGTGGGAAAGAGAGCTTCTTGTGTTTCTTGTCATTTGTGTAGCGGCGAATACACTGACAGGCACGCCAGAATGATGGGAGACAAGTGAAGACTCCCATGACTCGGGAATGGGAGGAATTACACGTGGCAGGGGTGTCCCAATACGTGGCGTACAGACAAAAGAAGAGTTCGATGTTCTGCGCAAGGTTAGTCTTGTTCAACACAGCAAAGGGCCAATCGTAACATACCCCCATAGCATACGTCTGGGAGCAATACATGTCGCCGAGGAAAAAGTCCCGAAACTCGACAGTCTTGTAAACTCCCGAGAACCACAGACGCCACTGCAGCTTTGTTAGTCATGATACTTTACAACTCGTGATATACACCGGTGACTCACATTCGTTGCAGCCCACCAGCTGCGGCTCTGGTGGTATAGTACGGGTGCGGGCAGGTAGATAATAAACACAGACAAGCCAATTAGTACCACAGGCCAGTAAATGTACATCTCGTTGACCCATGAAAAATTAAGCCACATGAAAAGTCCCAACAGGAACATAAAGAAGGCCGAGACCTAGAGGTGCTGTCAGCACAAGATTCGCACAACGACGTCGTCCGGGCCCTGACATACCTCCAGCAATTGGCGCCACTCCAGGGTGTGCCTAGTATTGTATTCGAAAATGAACCGATAATTAACCCTCGAATGGCTCCAAACCATACAGGCCAAGCAGAACAGGAACAAATGAAGCGAGATCATGAAGTATCCGCCGTATAGCTGGTAAGAGCAAATCAGTTTTATGACACCTCTCTCGTCGCCATCAAAATATTCATTGAGCCGACATTGGAATGGCAGAGAGATTTGGGAGACATACCTGCAGCAGATAACTTGTATTAACGTGCAATGTGGGATCATTTTGCGACGAGTTCCGCGCGGCATATACGAGCGCCTGGATAGCAAAGAGAATCCCGGCCATAAGAAAGAGGCCGGCGCGAAAGGTGTGAGGGGAATAGTCGCCAGACTTTTGAGTTGTGCTGCGAAGTTTCGTCGCAGCGATTTTGGTGTTCCCAGCTTCAAAATACCGTCCATACCAGTCTTCGAGTTTACGCATGATGTCTGCGGTCTCGCCACTTCGCACAAAGTAGGACTTGTTGACGCGCTCCGTCATATATTCGAGAGGCTTTTTCTGCGTCGACCGCTTTATCGAATTTCTTATTGATCTTGCGAAAAGCAGTCTGGTTGAGATTAGCGTAGCCTCGCAGCAGATCGACCCCACGATAGAACTCTTGCATGGCGATTTTCAGCTGATGCTTAGCCGTTCGATATCCTGGGTCCTTCTTCGGCGTATCGTTGTACTCCAAATCTTCCCTCCGATCAAACATGAATTCACGATCTCGAGGGCGCAGCCCTGGTGTTTCCATGCGCGCCAGGGACTGAGAGTTCTTGCCAAAGCGAAGCGACTGCCCTGAAAACTTTTGCTTCAGGGTCTCCTTGAGATGGGCTGCATTCCACGCGGCAACATCTTTCGGACGATGTATGATATCTCGCGTCTTCCCACGGACAGCTGCTTTGACACCCTTCATTTCCTCTTGTCGGCTCTGAGACATCGCGTGAAGTTGCTGGTGAAGAGCTTCGTAGCGCTCCTGAGCTTCTTCTTCCTTCTTTCGATAGAATTGGTCGATCTTCTTCAGCTCGTCATCCAGCCATGCATAGAATTCGTTTTGGCGTTTTTCGACTTCCCGATAAGGATCGGCGGACGATGGATCTTCCACGTACGAGAAGACACGACGAATGAACTGCGGCGTACGGTTCGCCGCAGATGCGACAGAGGTTCCAGACGGGAGTCGTGTCACCTTTGCTGTAGTCCCAGGTTGCGTTGCAGTAGTGCCTCGGCCCGTGGAGGATTTTGTCAGTTCTGGTTCCAGTGGGCTCGAGGGATGTTGCTGACTGGCGACTGGCGGCGGTTTTGTCACTCGCTGCGAACTTAATTCTCTTGTTGAAGAGTCATGCTGATTTGGATCGATTGCGGGCTCCGGCAGTCTCAGTGATCTGATATCGGGGCTGTCAATATGCTGCCGCGGGGACGCAACGATGCTTCCGTAACTACCGACTGGGCCCGAGAGACGAGACCCCGGTGTCTGTAAAGGCTGCTGCTCCGTTGAAGGAGCGGGCCGATTGGATGAATCAGGATAATCGAATGCACCGAGCCCAGCAGAATGGGTGTGGGAGGGCGTCGGAGGATATCGCGCGGACTGCGAACGAGGAGCGATCCCCGGTGTTCGACTTGCGGTCTTGAGTGCTCGCGTGATCGCCTTGATTTTTTTCTTGCCGGTCTGCAGGTCTTTGATATTAATGATCCATCCCAGCCCCGATGCAAGCTGCGAGCCATTTTACCTTATAATCCAGGTACATCACCCTCCATTCCGGCACCAACTCTCTTTCCAGTTCCCTGCATTTCCACTCGGGATTAGTGACTTTGGAATGTCTTCTCCCGGGGTCACTCGCGGTGACATGCAAGCGGGTGAGGGGCATGACTTACTTTGCAAACTTCATCCTGATCACGACTCGATAGTCACCGCATACCTCGCCGTGGTGGGAAAGAGAGTGTGGCAGCCAAGCTGGATCAGAAAAAATGTGGACGAATGAGTAATGACCAGCAGGGACGAAGTTTATCGGGCCGACCAACAAGGGTCATACGGCATTATGGGGATGAGGCGTCCAGAGATCAGTAATTTGCAACCGCAGAAAAAGAAAAATCGCGTGAAGCACCACCGCCTGAATTGGCTTGCTTGGCGGAAGCGGCACTCGGGTGGTGCTAAACCAAGTTGGATGCGACGAGAGGCGCCAAGTCTTGAAGTTAAGTACAAGTACAGATTCCAATTTTTGCACCCTCCGTGCAGGCACGAGCGAGACGACCGGGAACCCGAAGATCGGAGCACGTCTCGACTATTCCAGGCAGGTCTTGAATTTGCGCCTGTTAAAGGTTTGCCACCAGGACTCCCAGAATTTTTCGGAAAAGCTTCTGAGATTCGCAGTCACAATCAGAAGGCTTCAACTGCGCACGTGCAGGTCGCGGAGGAGCTCATGTATGTCATGAAATGCCCGAGGGGACCTGAGGACGGCAACGCAGAGCCTGATCGTCCCTGCAGATGCCTCAGTTTCGAGGCTTCCATGAACGCACGGCGACTGTCCTCGAGCGTGATTCGTTGCTGTCATCAGGATGATCCACGGTCCGCGAATTCCACGGCGACCTGGAATTTCAGGACCCACCTTTCCTTTTCTCCTATCTTATCGAGCGGGTACTACTGTACATAGTACATAGTAGTTACATACTACTCCTCGTCTAGTGAGGTAACTACCTCAGTCTACTAACGTCACATGCTCTCCGGCTCAGTAAACTGCTCACCACGGTACTACTGCAGGATGTTCTCGGGCTTATCAGTGGTTTACCGCCGTTTTCCAATCTTTTCATTAAACTTTGATGCTTGCCAACAGTTCACCGGTCTACTGGACCTACCATCTACCTTACAGGATCTTGAGTCACATAAGCGACCCCCGTCATCCACCTTAAATGGCAAGAGAGGGGTCAGAGAGCTCGAATGTGGCCTGGCCCGAGCTCCAAAGGCCTCTCAGCAAGTACAGTACTATGCATTTGCGGGCCTGGAATGTAGCCCTGGAATGTACTCGGCGGTTTTACATCATTTTGAGTGGCCCATGAATCACCCGACTCTGTGACCCTCACGCCCTTAGTCCACGTATGTGCGTGCGTCGAATCATCGTTTAGTGAACCCGATCTGTCCAGTCTCTAGCCGGTGATGCGGTCGGCACGCAGCGACAAGAATCATAGGCTCCACAAAACATACTCCGCACTTCCGCAGGGCAAAATGACATGGATTTGAGTTCATCTGGGTTGATCTTTGGCAATCCCCAGAGCCTCCACGAATATACTTGAGTGTTGCCTCTGAGCGCTAGTATGCGCGAGCGATAAATGCATACTGCATCAGTGCATAACCGCATGGTACATAGGACATACTACTAACTAAGGTACAGTATAGTTAAGTCAGTACATAGTTAAGTACATACTTAAGTACATAGGTAAGTACATAGGTAAGTACATTCTACATACTGCATTAGTACTTACTACATACACGTACAAAATTCATTCGAGTCCCTTGCGGGCACAAAAACTTGTTATCTAGGTGCCCTGATGCCCCTCAGAAGACAGGAGTCCCAATGGACATGGAATTTATCTCTTACTAGTCCATAACATCGCAGGTCGCCGATAGAAGGTGGCTACAGTAGGTGCAGCATCACAATCCCTATGAGAGAGGGACAAGTGTGAGATTGTCTAGTTGGGAAGGATTCTATCTAGGCTATAGAGAAGTATGGACTCTATGGAGTTGTATGGACTGCGATGAGACGGCAGCATCACGGCAGTATCATATGCCATACAAACAGTCGTCTTCAAGATTTCACCGCCCTGTCACCTGCATCAGCGACGCCCATTCACTCTCTTCATTTGTTCTTGGAGTGACACAGGTTCTCTGGGATGAATTGATGGCTTGGCATCAATCACCACGAGTAAATTGTCCTCCTGTTCTGCCCTGTGTTCTCACCTGGTTGTGTTCTAGCGGTGAGCGTTAAACGAATGGCAACTCGTGCACAACAACACGCCAATCCTGGGCGCTCCCCGTCTGGTCTGCTTCAACTTCTAGTAACCCACATGAAGTAGGACTCGCACAACGATCGCCATCAGGCGTGGTGTCGTCCACCGTCACGCAGCTCTGGAGAGATAAGGCGGCTCATCAGCCCGTCCCACTGGAAATCCTCTTCCGGTAATTTGTCGCGTGGGACCATCGGTACAATGCGCTCGATGCGCTAGGACCCTGTCCGTTATCATGCAGACGGGCTGCATGTGCGTACTTGACTGAAGAATCAACATTATGACATATCCATTTTTTCCAGATCAGAGGATAGACTCCCGTCAGGATCCATCCCACCATCCACTCGCAGGTGACTCATTTCGAGACGTGTTGACAGGTAATGTCCCGACATTGTTCTGCTCACACACCGATAGTTGCTCAGAGATCATACGACCTGACACCGCCCTTCCTATAGTATGTAGTATATACTGTCAATGGTATATACACCGTTCCACGATGAACGACCTAGTCTAGTATAAAGGACATACCTACTGTATTAGAACGGGCAACTGTAGCTAGAGAACCTCCAAGATCGACAACCACTTAGTAACAAGAAAACCCCACGTCTACATATTGTTTCGTCGGTGAAGCCCTTCGAGCAATTCTTTGGTGACTTTGGCCGTCGTATTCGGGCTTCATATGTACCTACCTCCCCAACGACATCATATTTAGGTATATGATACATCGTATAGCTACCGGTAACTAACAAGAATCCTAAAGGTAGGTACGTTTCTCAATAAAGTGTCAGTTGACAGGAACATCCTTCGTAGCAACTAGTACATAAATACCTACGATGTAGGTACCTAGGTAGGACTAAGCCGCTCAAGGACACGGTTCTTGCGAAGAATTATAGGTGGGCAACGACTCTTTCCACGGTAAGTACCCAAGGATACGGCAATTACATAATTGTGGAAGACGATGTCTGGGATTTTGAGTTTCCTGCTTGTAGATTCATTCTACGAGGAGTGCCTGTAAATGGTACTCTGGAACGGGCGTGTACATTCCCGCAGAGACTCTCTCCCTCTCTCCCCCTCCAAGGCATATATGTTAAGCTCTACCTCGTCTCTGCTGGGTAAAATCGCCCGAATCTCCATAGATGACGACGACGTAGCTTAGCACGATAGGTATGTATGGCATAAAGAAGACAATCTCGGAAAATCCCTTCGTGCTGGCTGTTAACGCAAAGGTCAGGAGGGTATCATGCTTGGTGGACAATGGAGTATGGACTGTTCACGTGCAGATCTGAGGTAGTTACCAGCGTAGCAGATCTCCTATAGTAGTAGTCCAGGGCTCTAGGTAGGTACTATTGATCTAATTTGCCTCGGCAGTCCTCGCAGTGATGTGGTGGGCCACGTGAATGTATTGGCGATCAGCCAGTCTTGGCAGGAATCAGGGGTACTGAAGTAGTGTGGTGCGCTCTAATTACCGATGGCTGACTCTCACCTTAGCTCTGCAACTTGGTAAAGGCAGCTCCGAATGAATATCGACCGGGTTCCGTGCCGACTTTGACGGGAATTAGTTAAACACCGATGAGCACAAGTAAGGTACAGACCGGTCATCAAACTTGACCACTACCGGACAGTCCGGACTGTTGTACTGTCGATGCGAGTGTCTGACCTTTCTCCTCGCGCACACAACCACTTGTCGAGGATATATATAGGTGTACCTCGACTCTACGGGCGAGCACTTCGGTTGCTCGAAGTGTCCATGACCCTACAAGGAGGCTATATGTCAGTCTTGACAGATGATGCTTGTTCTATCACATGCGGCTTGTCAGTGCACACCTGAGCGACTCATACTCAGAGCCTTTTGAAAAAGGCACGAGGGAGTAGATACCGTAATAAGCCATCAGTCACCTACCATCATTACGCCTAGAGAGTCGTGAGTCGTGACTACTCTGAGAGACCAAGGTCACACTGCTCCCAAGGCCCGCAATCCATGAAATAGCTGGTGGTGATACTAGTATAATTCACTAGGGGGTGAATGCTTAGTCGGTCACCCTCACTCATAAGTTCGCAATGCAGGACCAAATTCATAGACTCCTAAAATATGACTATACCCATTCACTACCGTAGCACGCTCTTGACTCCTTGACTCCTGCTGGGCCGGTTCAATGCTTTGACGGCCCGGCTGGGAACAGTCCCAGGGGCCCGAGTCCTTCAGGCACCCAAACTCTCCCGGGACTAGTGGGCCACCATCAAATCGGTGGAAGTCTGAGTAAGATATCCACTCATCCACTCACCCATGCATCTGATGGCGTCCTCGTTGTGGGATCTTGACCTGGTTAGTACCTAACTACCTACAGGTAGCACCCACTGATCAACCAGCTTTCCTTTTCCTATGCACTATTCAGCTCCCGAATTCAAAAAGCAGATCAGCCGTCCAAGGCCCAAGCAGATCTTTCATCTTGACAAGATCGTGGCCTTGTCCCCATATGTGGTGTGGCCTAAGGACCAGTCGATCAGCCCTCATGTGTCTCCCAGCTCATACGGAACGCTGATCATTAGCAGAAACGACCTATTGATTAATTTGGCGCGGAAAGATCATCCGCTTAGGTCACTGTGGTAATTAAGTGTCCACTGCGAGAGATCTGATTCAGCGTGGACGATCCCAGTGGTGTCTCCGCCCGTGCCGTATCAGCTGGTCGACGATCATCATTGGCATTCCTGGTCCTTCCCAGGTAGCACTCCGTCGACCAAAGCACACGGTGACGGAAGCGAGGCTGGCCAAGTCAAGGCGGATGCAGATGAGTACACGAGAATAGTATCAAGACCACGGCCTCGTAGGCGATCAGGTCCAGCCTACTACTAGTCACTGATCGCTTGTGACAAGCCTCAGTACAGCAACCAACAACGATGCCCGTCGCCCGACGCCGGCTACAGGTACCGCAACAACAGCATTGACCAGAGATTGGTGATTGACCAGCAGAACGGTTCCCCACGGGGCAGCGGTATGGGCTCCGTGCTGTACATGCCAAATTTCGATTTCTCAAAACTCGTTCTAGTGGACTCCAATCCCGACCAAATGAAAGCGCGACACGCATCTGGGAGCTCGAGTCTGAGCACCATGCTGCGATAGACCCCTACGGCAATACATATTCACCACGGCGGAGAATAATATTCGCAAGGCGTACGAAGTAAAGTTCATCACCAAAGCCGTGATGGGAGATGTTCCCGATCGCAGATGACCCGCGAAAGTCACCGTAGCGAGTCCGGGACTAGGCTGAAATGGGGATCCCTCTCCGGCCCTAAACCGCCACAACCGGATGAAGAGTTTCCCACTCCATCATTTCCGAAGGAGGGGGTGAAGGTCTGATGCACGGGTCGCGCTTCGCCATGCTGGAGCAAGTTTTCGGTTTGTGACGGGAAAAGAAAAGGCAAGGCAGGCCAGATGGACAAAACTGGAACACAGTCAAGGGCAACTCGGCAACTGAGGTGCCTGGAGCAGTTGTTCTCAAGGACCATGCCTGCGGAAGACTCCGAACATATGCCACCCGTGAGTAAGTATGGCAGTGTACGTAGTGCCTTTTACCCTCATTTCGGGACTGCAGAACCTACCCCAGATTCTCCGCATTACTGTTGCGCTTGAGTGATGTCTGGGGAAATGTACCACGGTTCTCGCGTTGCAGGTCAGCGCAGCAAGCCGCAGCTTCGCAGGGGAGCCAATGCCCCTGCTCTCAGGCGGGCTGAGGTCGACTCGGATAACCGATGCATTACGTGGAGCCTCGGTGCTGAAAAGAATGCCAACTGACTGATTGGTCTCGGGCTGTTAGCAACGGGCAAAAGACGGAGATTCTGCGGGGCCGACTGAGCAGGAATCATGTCGTCTGGCGCAATATACGACCGACTTGCGAGCCACCGATGGGCTCTAGCTCCGCAGCACAAAGACGAAAATGACGGTGGTCCGAGTCGGCTAGGGCAATGAGATGGGCTCTGTGGAGTTGATACGATCAGGCACGCTGCCAATTCCATGCCGTCGTCCATTTTCTTGCTTCCATCGGCATCGCTAGCTTCGGAAAGAACAGCCATTCACAAGGCTAGAGGGATGTTTAAATGGGTATGAAGAAGTACTCAGATGGCACGCATTTCTCCAGATGAAGAGAAAGTTTCCTTCCCCGCAGCAGCCAACCTATCGGCAGCGACTAACAGCCTGCAGAATCCCCGTCATTTCGGCTTAGTCTGGGGAGATGCGCAGGGGCCTGGAGACCATGGAACTTCTGGAATATTCAGCAAAACCTTCAGGAGAAAGACGCTAATGCCAGTCAGCGTATGACATTGCTGAGACGAAGAGTGTCGGACAAAAACACTCTCAGCTTGCGGAATGAGGCGCGACGAGGATCAATTGCCTCGGACTATAAAGAGTCAGTTGACTCGCCTGTTAAATCGGACTTCTTTCTTACCAGGCTCATCACCATCCTTCTAAGTCCACTGATAAGACCTTGACAAACGACAGCCCTACTGTCATTCACAAGATGTCTCGACTTTTGTACGCACTCGGTGCACTGGCCATGGGCCAGTCTGCTCTGGCAGCTCCCCAGCTATCCCCGCGTGCTGGAACCTTGGACTCTTGGCTGTCAGCGGAGACAAGTTTCTCTCTGAATGGCATCCTCGCCAACGTTGGCTCAAGTGGTGCTTACTCGAAGAGCGCCGGCAGCGGTATTGTGATTGCCAGCCCCAGCACGGCCAGCCCAGACTGTAAGTGTCATTGAAATTGTTCGTTCACTTTTTTTTTTCGCCTCCCTAACAATGAATCTCAGATTACTACACCTGGACTCGTGATGCTGCGCTCACTATGAAGGCTCTTGTGGACCTTTTTCGCAATGGAAACTCGGGACTTCAGACCGTCATCGAGCAGTACATCAACGCCCAGGCCAAGCTTCAAACTGTGAACAACCCTTCGGGAGGTCTCTCCGACGGCTCTGGTCTCGGCGAGCCCAAATTCAATGTGGATGGCAGTGCGTTCACTGGCAATTGGGGCCGTCCCCAGCGTGATGGTCCTGCTCTGCGGGCCATCGCTCTGATCGACTTTGGAAACTGGCTGATCGTACGAAAGCTCTACTCCCAAGTATGTGAGGACCATGCTAATTCTAGTAGGACAATGGATACAAGAGTTATGCTGTGAACAATGTCTGGCCCATTGTCCACAACGACTTGTCCTATGTTGCCCAGTACTGGAGTCAGTCCGGCTTTGGTAGGTTTTCCGACCTCCGTCAATATTTTATTTGCCTCCGAACTTTGGATTAATGTCGATTCTCAGATCTCTGGGAGGAGGTCAACAGCATGTCTTTCTTCACTGTGGCCAACCAGCACCGCTCATTGGTCGAGGGTAGTGCTTTCGCTAGCCGTGTCGGTTCCTCTTGCTCTGGATGCGACTCGCAAGCGCCCCAGATTCTCTGCTATATGCAGAGCTTCTGGACCGGCTCATACATCAATGCCAATACCGGTGGCGGCCGTTCTGGCAAGGACTCCAACACTATTCTCGCCAGTATCCACACCTTTGACCCTGCGGCCACTTGTGACGATGTCACTTTCCAGCCATGCTCTTCCCGCGCCCTTGCCAACCACAAGGTTTACACCGACTCTTTCCGTCCCGTGTACTCTCTGAACTCTGGCATTGCTCAGGGTAAGGCCGTTTCGGTTGGTCGCTACCCCGAGGATTCTTACTATGGTGGCAACCCTTGGTTCTTGTCCAACCTCGCTGCCGCAGAGCAACTGTATGACGCCATCTACCAGTGGAACAAGATCGGTTCCATCACCATTACCAGCACTTCCTTGGCCTTCTTCAAGGATGTCTACTCCTCCGCCGCCACCGGTACTTACGCCTCTGGCAGCACCACCTTCAATGCTATCATCAGCGCTGTCAAAACCTATGCCGACGGCTATGTCAGCATCGTTCAGACCCACGCCTACGCCAATGGTTCTCTCTCCGAGCAGTTTGACCGAAACTCTGGTGTTCCGATTTCCGCTCGTGACCTCACCTGGTCCTACGCTGCTCTTCTGACTGCCAACGACCGCCGCAACGGAGTTGTTCCTCCTTCCTGGGGTGCTAGCTCCGCCAACAGCGTCCCCGGCTCTTGCTCTATGGGCTCTGCCACTGGTTCCTACGCCACTCCCGCCGTCGGCTCCTGGCCCGCTACTTTGACCAGCGGAACTGCTGCTCCTCCTTCCACCACCACCACTACCAAGCCCCCTACCACGACTACTACCTCCTCGGGCTCTTGCACCACCCCGACTTCCGTTGCTGTGACCTTTGATGAGACTGCGACCACCACCTTCGGTGAGAATGTCTTCCTGGTCGGTTCCATCCCTCAGCTCGGTAACTGGAACACCGCCAATGGTATCGCTCTGAGCGCCAGCAAGTACACCTCCAGCAACCCTCTGTGGTATGTCACCGTCGACTTGCCCGCCGGTACCACCTTCCAGTACAAATACATCCGCAAGGAGACCGACGGCTCCATCAAGTGGGAGAGCGACCCTAACCGCTCCTACACTGTCCCCGCCAAGTGCGGTACTACCACTGCCACCGAGAACGACAGCTGGCGCTAAATTGGAGGCACTGGCCTATCATGCATGTCGAAGGCTATGATCAAGAGGATCGTCGTGACGCGTGAGTACATGATATACACTGATTTAGAAAAGAATTACATGGTGGGGATGACACTCGGAACCAGTGGATGATCGAATACGCATGATGTCACTTTGAATGAGCTTTGTACTTGATTTAGAATGCATTACTTTCTCACTTTTTGATACTTTCACTCTTAAATAAAGCCTCAGGCATCCCCGTCTTGTCAGCAATGACGGCAACGATGGCAAGGTCCATCAAGGCCAATCATGTCAATCACGAGGCTCGGTTAGCATTCAAAAGTCAAAAAGAGAATCAAAGCTATGGCGAATCTCAAGTACAAAATTTCCGTTTCCTACTATCGATGTGGCCATGGGTCTATAGATTTTGACCTTGGGGAGCGATGTATCTTGGCAAGCATCGACCGAGCCACAAAGTTCCGCTGGAACGACCTTGGCGGCGGGTATCCGCCACAGTGAGCCACAACCTTAAAACACTCCCTCCGCCCAAATCTTTCCCAGGCTTGGTAGGAAGGTCAAGGAGCTATCACCTCTGAACGTGCACCCGAAGCAACCTCCAACCTCCAACCTCCAACCTCCAATCGAGGTGCCACTTCCAGTCAGACCCTACCTCGCCACTCAATCATGCCCACAAAAACACCCACGCTCGTGGACTTTCCCTCCACCACCACCGTCACCATCACATTACCGCCATCCACATGCTCTTCCGCATCCGCTCCATCTCCGAATATCCTCCTTCTACTACACGGCCTCGGCGACACGGCAGCGGGATTCACACCATTCGGCCAAGCGATCCGACTGCCCGAAACAACCGTCGTCACAGTCCAAGCGCCAGCCCCTCTACCCTTTGACCTGGGCGGGTTTCACTGGGGCGACGACGTATCCCTCGACAGTCGGACCGGCACACTGGACATGGACGCCGGATTCACAAAAAGCACCAAAATGCTCGCCGACGAAATCATCAGAAAGACCCTGGTGCAAAAATGCGGCTACCAGCTTCGAGAAATCATGATCCTGGGATTCGGGCAGGGTGGGATGGCTGGGCTGGCGACGGCGCGAGAACTAGGTTCTGGAAATGATAGGCAAATCAGCGGCGCACTCGCGGGCGTGATTTCCATCGGGGCGCCGTATGCACTGTCGGGTCCTCGTATGGGTGCGAAGAATCGCACACCGGTGTTACTGGTCTCCGGACGGGATTCGGAGATTGTCTCGGATGGTGCGGTGCGTAGAACGAAAGAAGTTTTTGAGTTTGTGGAGGTCAGTCAGTATAAGAGGAAAGGAGACGGAATGCCTTCGAATCGCGATGAAATGCTTCCTGTCATGCAATTCTTCGCCAGGAGGCTGCGTAGTCGGCAGGGGGTTCCGGCGGGTAGTGTTGAAATCGGATGATTGCTTTTTCACAAGTCATCTATCGAGGGGAAGACCGTACATCCAGATTGAGATATGGGTAGCCACAATTCGGACGCTGTGTGGAGCTGGTCAATTGCCTCGGAGAAAAAGCCGAGACATGGTTAGTTGTTTTCCCAACTATCTAGAATGGGCAGTCTTTCCGACGGACATGGCTTCTCGCAGACGGTCTTGACCTCCTTTGGTGAAGTTGAAAAGCTTCTAGAAATGGCTTTTTTTTTGTCCTTTGAGCCTGTGCATTTTTACAATTCACAGAGACCGAGAAACCATATCGGATGTTGCTCCCAGGCGCTTAAGCGGAAGCCCATATTCAAAGGGAAAGCCATAGGTAAGTTATAGAGAACAGATCGTCCAAAGATAAACCTCGCGAGTAAGTCTATGTATAGGTAGGCAGTTGAAAGTTCGCAATCAAGCGGTATCCCCAGATCATCCCAAATTGTATTCGAGTGTTCACGGATGTACCGTACCGCATTTCAATGTTAGTACCTAGCTACTACCTAGTATCCATTTTCGAAACACACTTTGGTATATATCTATAAAGTCTATCCTAGTATACGCTTCATTCATCATATGCACGAAGCTCATTTTTTGATGCCAATCACCGCCAAGTTGCGCGGACTCTCACTGTACTCAAAGACGGGCTCGACCCAACACTCCTTGACAGAGTCATGTTCTCGCAGGAATTGCCACCGGTCCACAACAATGACCGCTTCCACCACCTGGGCGCTAAACGCCATCAAACTCCACACGACACTCAGATGCTGCTTGCTCGTAGGATCATCCAGCTCGTACTGACGAATCTCCTCATCCGTCATGGTGACAATGCGCTCTTGTACACGAGCCGCGTGCTTGGGGTCGCGGAGGAGACGAGCAGACGCCGCTCGGACGTACGTGGGGAAGGACTCGAATGCACGTTTAGGCAAGGAGCCGATAATCACAGCGGCGTTGGACTCGCCGCTTTGGTCGTCGGCGTATAGATCTTCGGGGATCCCGGGCTTGGGAGCAACGCCCTTGTCGACGAAGATGCGTTGGAGAAGAGCGCGGAAGAGATGGCGGGTGAAGAAAGTTTCGCTGTCGTCGTGGCCCCAGTTATATGGGGCTTGGACGGCCATCATACGCGCTGTGATATTGAATTTCATACCGACTGTACCGGGGCTTTCGTAGGTTTCGAAGTGTTTGGACATGGGGAAGCCGTGGGGGTCGTAGGAGTTCCCGGTTGCTTGGAGACGGGGGTGAAGGGAGCGGAGAACGGGGAGCTTGTAGGTTGCCGGGCCGAGACGTTCAGTCATGAGATTGTAGCAGCAGCCGATCATGGCGACTGCAACCACGGAGGGATTGAGGATGAGGGAGCGAACGCCATGGTGAACTAGGTTGCCGCATGAATGAAGGGAGACAACCATGACACGGGCGTCTTTTGGTTGTGGACTGTCAAGTTGGGACTGAGAAGGGGGGTTGGTTTCCTCTGAGGAGGACTCACCCCGTGTCACAGGAGCCGTAGGGTTGACGACGTGGTCGATGATAGGTTCGAGGTATCCGTCCTGAATGTCGTGTTCGATATAACTTATAGTGCCTCCCGTGTCGATCAGATGCTCACGCTTCGGCTTCTGGGAACCCTTCGTCATCGACCCAAGAAGCTCATGCGGTTCGAGCTTGATATCCCCGAGCATCTTGAACATGGTCACACTATCCTCTCCATTCGTGGGCTCTTCCTGTGGCGCTGGGCCCGGGCCCTCAGACGACCGAGGTCTTGGCCTTTCCACGACTGGTACCCCATGTTCCTCGAATTTTATGTCGCTAGGTCCGGTCTTCATATCCACATCGTTGCAGTCCACGCAGGAGGTTTCCCGGCGAGGAACAACCACTTTTTTGGCCTTTTCCCTCTCGCGCAGCTTGGCCGAGACATCAATACCCTTTGCGCCAGCAATATACTGATGTTGCCTCTCGATCGCGATGATATGCTTATGGTAGGGCGCACTAGCCAAGGTACGACCGAGATAATTTCGCCCGGATCCGAAATCAACAATATGGGTGACGGGCTCGTCGCGACGCTCGGCCACGGTATCCGAGAGCGATGCGACATAGCCCGAAAAGCATTCGACTTCGTGCTCCTTTTTCGTTTTCATCCCAACAGCAACATGTCTCGGGAGTTTGGCTCGGGGAGACTGCGAGTTATATTCTCGGCGCAGACTCAGTCGGCGAACATCACGGATGTAGTCCAGCAGGCTTTGCGGGGGGAATGCGCCATCCTTCCACGTGGTGCGGGCATCGTCGCTCGCGGGGCCGTCGGTGTACTTTGAGCGCAAGGGGTCAATGTCCTCGCGCAAAAGGAGGTGTATGATGTCGTGGATGTCGTGATGCTCGAAGAAAGTCCGCCAGTCTTGTGGGATCAGAGTCGTATATAGATCGGGTTTGCGGGTCAAAAAGTCGACCATGTGCACGCCGCCGCAAAGATTCATAAACAGGACATTGGTGGTCGCAAAGCCGAGGAGTGCTCCGATGTATTGGTCGGGACTCTCCCACTCGTCGGAGAGTGGCAGAGGGCGATTGCGAGCCATCAGATGCAAGCGTGAAAAGCTGCAGAGTCTATCGTGCAGCAAATTGATCCGAACACGCAGAACAGATGCAATCCACACATTTCGCGGGGAGCCACAGTTATCGTCTATCGTCTATCGTCTATCGTCTATCGTCTATCGTCTTTTTTTTTTTTTTTTTTTTTTTTTTTCTTTATCTTATCAGGCCTGACTCCAGATTAGGTACTAGTAAAGTGGTTCTGCTGAGTCAGGCCGAGGCTTCCAATCAATTGCCCCGACCATTGGCCAGTTGGTACCTGAGCATGTCGGCTCTGATCACCTACTGTTCTTTTTTACACGCAACAGTAAAAAGATTTTTACTCTATCTCTTTGAAGTGGAATAGCTCGAGGTATGTATGTTTTGCAAAAGTACCAGAAAGCCTCTCTCTCTCACATCTGACTCCCGAAGCATACCATCCTGCGTCCTGCCCGTATGCCTAGTCGTGTCTCGCCGAGAGATTCGTGTCCTACACTCAAAGTCGAGGCTATTCCGCATTCGTCGACACGTGATTTCCAGACCGGACGGGGAGTTGTCAGCTCCCGACCCGACCCTTTCCCGGGCCATCGTCATCGTCGCCCCGTAGAACATACAATCGGCTGTACTCTATTTCCATAGACGATATACCATACACCCATACCCCCCCCCCCCCCAACAACACAATCATGGACACGACAGACCCCTTCCTCCAAGTCCAGGCGTAAGTCAATCGCTCTCATCCGGAGAGACCACTACCCTCTCCACTCTTGCTAAATCAAACACCTCCCTTACACCTCACTCCTCATACCACAGGGACGTCCTCGAAACCCTCCAAACCAGCCGCCCTCTCTTCTCCTCCTACCTGCGCATCCGCTCCCTCGCCAAATCCCCTCAAAACCCCGAACTCCACCAATCTCGCACCGAACTCGAGACGACCCTCACCGAACTCACCGCCGACCTCGACGACCTCGTCGAATCGGTCCGCGCCATCGAGCAAGACCCCTACCGCTTCGGCCTCGAGCTCGAAGAAGTCCAGCGCCGGCGCAAACTCGTCGACGATGTAGGGCGTGAAATCGAGCAGATGCGCACCGAGCTCGCGCGGGCGGTCTCTGCGGCGCCGGCGCCGGCCGACTTGCCCAATCCGACGGAGTTTGATGCGGCGCTGGAGGCGGAGGAGGATGGGGCCAGGGGGCCCCGCGGGGATGATTACTATGCGGCGTTGGAACAGCAGCGACAGGTGGAGTTGATGCATGAGCAGGATGAGCAGTTGGATGGGGTGTTTCGGACGGTGGGCAATTTGAGACAGCAGGCGAATGATATGGGGAGGGAATTGGAGGAGCAAGGTGCGATTCTGGAGGAGGTGGATTCGCTGGCGGATCGAGTCGGTGGGAAGTTGAACAATGGGATGAAACGGATTCGCCATATTGTGCGCAAGAACGAGGGTAAGTGGTACCCGAGCTGCATTTCTTGAGAACCCCCTCGGATCAAAGTCCTTTCTGGTGGAGGTGCTGGAGATTTGTCGCCCGTCGACGTGAATCGTGTTGATGGACTATGATGCACATGGTGAACGTTTACGAGTGGACAAGCTGACATTCCCGCCTTCTTCCCCTTGTCTACGAAATTTAGATACGTGGTCTTCGTTTTGCATCGCCGCGCTTATTTTTGCGCTCGTGGTATTATTAATTCTCGTTATTGTCCTTTGAAAGTGGACCCCTGGGGTCAAAGCGGAACATGTCATATCAAATAAAGCATCAGCGTCAGCATCAGCATCGGCGTCAGGGTCACCCTTGGGGACTCCGGCATTCATCTCGTGAAAACAAGGCGACAACAACAACAACTCAGGCGATTTTGAGCCTAGTTGCGAGCCTTCTTGGCAGGCGGCTGATCCTCGCCATCATCAACATCGTCCTCATCCTCATCCATATCCTCGAGCTCCTCGAACTCATCCTCAAAGTCGAAGGAGGGCTGGAAAGACTCGGCTGCAATGAGAAGTCACCGTGTCAGCTAGAGATCCTTGCAAATCGTCACCCAGGTGCAGCAGACCTCGTTCCCCGAGTCTGGGTCATTCACTTACCATAATACTTCAAGGCGTTGGTCCAGAGGTCCTCGGCAATGGCAATGGCGAGGTCCTCACCACCGGGGAAGACCTCGGCCTCCTCGAGGTCATCCACGAGGTCAAAGTCCTCCTCTTCCTCGTCGTCCTCCTCCTCCTCGTCATCGTCTTCGGGGACCTCCTCGCCCCTGGCAATCTTGGCCCAGCGCTCCTCATCCTCCTTCAGGGCCTCCTTGTTCTGCTCGGCAGAGACATCGCGACCACGGTAGGCGAAGAAGGAGAAGAAGCTGGCACCCGCGGGGCTATCGTCCTCATCCTCGGGCAGATCCTCCATATCTTCGATGTCGGCGCCCTGCATGGCCTCGGCCTCGGCAATCTCCAGCTTCTTGACGAGAGCCTCGTACTCGGGAAGATCGGTGCGCTTGCCACCCTTCTTCTTCTCGGCATCAAACAGATCGCAGGCGGCGTCCAGCAGGCCGCGGGTGGGGTCCACGTCGGCAGACTTCCAGTTGATACGGACGGGGTCGGAAACCAGACCCTCCCAAGCGCGGCGCTTGCCCTTGGCCGTCTTCTGGACATGCTTACGCCAGTAGAACTCCTTGACAAGCTTGGCGTTGTCGAAGAACTCGTTGTTCTCCGTTTCAAACTCAAAGGTGAAGCGCAGGCTGCGGGGCTCACCATTGCCCTCGGCATCGACCTCGAAACGCTCAACGACGACGTTCTTGAGGTTCTCGGCGAGGATCTCCGAGTCGGATTCCAAGATGAACTCGCTGATCTCGGAGGGGGCGGTGGAGAAGACGCGAGCCCAGAAGTCAGACTTCACACCGGGCATGGAGATGATCTCTTCCCGCTTCTTGAAAATGGGGGCGAAAAGGGGGATGGACTTGCGCACTGGTGGGAAGGAGATTCTATATTAGTCCAGAGTCCAATGCGAAGATTTAGAGTTCACGGCATGTCATCCAGGTGTCTGTCACGTAAGTTCCCTCAATAGACTGAATGCGCATTCAAACAAACAGACACCCAGAGACAGACAAGAGACCATAGCAAAAGCACCAAGGTCCCGATTGGAGTGACCCCAAGCATAACACCAGACACGGGGGGGGGGGGGGGGGGGGGGAATAACGGATCTGACTTGACTTACGCTGCTCCAGCTCCGCTCGCTCCAGCTCCTCCTGGACATGAGAGATCTTGCTCCGAGCTTCCTCAGGAATAGCCGGGAACTCGATGCGCTCAGAGAGAGACTTGTCTTCGCCGGACATTGTGACGGTGGATATGATGGTACGACGGAGGTTTCTGTAGAGAAGAGAGACAGAGAGAAACACAAGAAGAGGACGTAGTGTAGACTCGTCAAAGTCGACAAAGTACGATGGGCAATGAGCAGATAGATGGAAGAATTGGAAAGGTCAGAGTTAGAAAGCAAGATGGAGAATCCGGGAGCATGCAAAACTTTTTAATCTTCGAAAACGGAAACGAGAAAGAAGAAGAAAAAAAAAATTGGGGGTTCAGAATTTTTTTCTTTTTGGGAAAAGGCGTTGATCAGCACGGAGCTTTGTCGAACAGCGTGACGGCAGTGACCAGTGACCAGTGACCAGTGACCAGTGACCAGTGACGGGGGGACAATGAATTCAATGGGTTCCATCACTCCTCCTAAGCTGTCTGAGCTTTTTTGCTTTTCCCGATCAAATGATGGAACCCCTCGACCCATTCACTCGTCCTCCTGCCTGACCGCACCACAAGCTGGCCCACTCCTGCGGGGCAAGACAGAAGGCGGTAGAAGCTGGGTACTTGGCGCGAGACAGGGGCAGTACTTGTGCTTTGCCACTTTGTGACAACAATGACGATGTATTATCGATGTAGAGCGGATGTACCCCACGCGGTCTGGCTGGGCAACGGAAGTGGATGGATTTTTTGAGGGCGGGTCCGGTGTGACCCTAGCCATGCCTGAGGTGTCGTGAGGTTCGGGTCGGAAATTCCTTTTTTTTTTTTTTTTTTTTTGGGTTCTTCCGGTGGATTCGAGGGTGAAGGTCCCGTGTACTTTGATTCTACAACCACGAACCGTGTAGGCAGCGAGTAGGTAGCAGTAGCAGTAGCAGTAGCAGAATCAGCTCACAGGACATAAACCTTCCAGTGAGGATACGTTAGGATAGATAAGTTAGTACCAGTACCTGACCTACCTTACCTCACCTACCCAATCTATGGAGTACGCTCACGTCATTCGTTGATTGTCCGCAGCTTTCAAGCTTCAGTAATACAGAGAAGCCCGTGATAGCACACTTGGGACCTTTCGATCTGATCTTGATTGTGGCCCGTCCTACGTCGTTTCAGCTCAGCTTAGAATCTCGACGTTGTAGTGACTAGTGACTAGTCCTGACTCCTGACTCTTGATTATCAAATACGACTCCATAGTCCATCCAACTAGGTGAAGCTATTCCCATCCGAGGATTCTCCAGCTGCTCTATGCTCTACGGTATCCTGACAGTCCTGCTACAAAGTACGCTATCGACGCAATCGCAACATCGTATCAAAATCACCAAACTTTTTTTGTTGTGATTCTCCGCGATTCAATAAGAATCAAATCAAAGAGGAAAGCGAGGTGGAAGATGTTGGCCTTGCGGTGCCCAAGATATATAAAGAAAAAAAAAGAATGACCAAGAAGCTATCCTCAACGAGACGGGAAGAAAACCTCAAAATCCACATCAAGATCAGCAAGGCAGGCAAGGTCAACAATGTCTTCCCTCGGAAAGGAGGGGGGAATCAGCGAGAAAATCACTCAAAAAGCATCCCAGATGGTCCCATGCCCTTTTTTCGCCAACAATGCAATGATTAGAGCCAAGTAGACAGTAACCCACGGTTCAAACAACAGGGGAGAGAGAGAGAGAGAGAGAGAGAAAGAGGAAGAAGAACAAGATAAGGTATAGTAGTGGAGAGCCCACGGCATCAGAAAGATAGGCCGGAGAAGGACCTAAGAGGTGTTTGATTTTGTTTTTTTTCCCATTGTTGCCATGCACAGATAGACATCACCATGCATGTCTGGCCAAAGGCCGAGAAAAATCGTCGCGTCGATAGAAATAAATGAAGATTGACCAAAGGGGGTCACGGTAAAGCAAAAGGTGAGCCGATCGGTGCGGGTAACTCGTTGGACCAAGGTCACCATTGTTCGACAATGGGCCGATAAGCAAGTGAAACTGGAGAGCGACTGGCAGGTCTGTAGGAGGCGCAGCCGAAGGGGGAGAACCTTGGAAGATGAGGTGCCGTCCGAAGGTGTGATGCTTCTTGTCGCTTCCTCTTCTTGCTCTGGTTCAGAGCATCCAGTCCAGTCCATTTGCCTCCTCCTCGACCGGAAACACCTCGCGCGCATATTCCTCCATGTCGCGCCATCCCTGCCAGAGATGCCGGGCCTCATCCGTGACCCGCAACGAGACCACACCTCCCGGTCCCTGCATCATGCCGGCACCGGCACCTTTGCCTCCAGCGGGACCAATACCCTTTGGTGATCCGGCCGCCGGCTGCGAGAACTCGGGCTGTGGGAAATAGGGCGCATTGTATGCGCCAAAGAGGACCTCCAACGCCTCCAACTGTTCTCGATACCCTGGGGGAATTTTGACTTTGATTTCGATTTTAGGTACGCGCACATAGCGGCACGGTCGATTTAGGGCGCGGGTAAACGCCGCGCAGACTTGGTTTGGTGAGAGGGTCTCGAAAGTCAGAGCGATGCTACGGAGACGAAAGCATTCCCGCGTCAGTCGATTGGAATCCCCACACAGAGGAAAGAAAAAAAAAACATAAAGAGACAGTCGAGACTCACCGATGTCCATGCCACTTCTTAGGACCGTCCTTGAAGATCTGCAACAGGGTTGGTCCCACGTCATGCTCGGCGTCTAACCAAGGGAGCGGGGTCTCGGGATCAAAGGGCGCGTGCCATTCAAAGCTGCCATCGGGCATCAATTCCATCTGAAAGAGTGGATATGGCAGACTGGTGAAGTTGTTGTTGTAGATCCCCGCATAGACAAACGTCGCCGGTAGACCGAGCTGTCGCACGTAATTCTCGACGGTGAATTTAGGCGCCCACTGCGGGACGGCCGGCCAGGGTCCATGTACCGAGTGATCGGGCATGCTGCTGTAGATATAGTGCGTGATGGAGCCGGCGCGTTTGGCAGCGTCCGCGAGGGCGCGACCAATGGCGACCTCATCGCCGGCCTGGGAGACGGTGTTGATGAAAGCGTAGTGGGCGCCTCGGAAGAGCGTGTCCATGAGGGCGGGATTGTCGAGGAGCGGACCCTGCAGCAGGGTCACATTGGGGAGCGTTTGCAGCTCCTCGGCGATGAGCCCTTTGAGGGAGTGGATTTGCGCGCGCACCGCATATCCGACGGCGGAGGCGACCCGGATGAGCGAGGCCGCTTGTCGCCCGGCCGCGTTCACCACGGCTATCGTTTTCTGGGGTTGTGTCATTCGTGATAGTCGATCAACCCCGCAGGTGGGCTCTTATCGGGAGCCGCTCGAAGGATCGGAGGGTGGTTGATCTGATGGGGAAAAGAATCAGGCGTGCGAGAGTGGGCGCAGAGGCGTAGTCTTTTGTAGGTTTGTATATCTTCTACCGAGCCGCGGGAAGTCAGGCGAGAACGGATTCACTGGAGGTGGTTGTGAGATGCGGGTTGCAGTCGTCGACGGAATGATTTGTGAATTTGCGGTCGAACTTCAACGTTGGACGCGAAGCGTCGAAGGGATGAATGGCCCGATAGTTGCGAACACACGGCAGAACCCCCGAAATGAAGAGAAGCTCAGATAATCGCAGAGTCGAGGGTCTCGGCGACAAAACGGAGGGGATGGGTAGAGAGAAAAAAAAAAATGGAGGTGAGGGCTCCTGCGATAGTGGGGTTCAACTCTTTGGTGCCAGTTTTGGGACGAGCGGAGTACAAAGAGGAGGGACAAGGACAACCGCTGACGGAGGGGGTGCTTTATTGGAACGGTTGTAGATTGTTGGAGGAATGGATCGGTGTATGGGAGTAGGTAGTCGGACTGTAGGACTGATGTTCAAGATTGGTCTGGGATGTACTCTCAAGTATGTGCGCAGCCCTTCCCCCTGTGATCAGTACGAAACTGGCAAACACTACACGTCGATGACGGGCTCAGCCTCGGACCAGACAGACGCATGTACTGGAGGGATGAGTAAATGAGTCGTAGTCCAGTCCAGAATTCAGTTCAACCCAGGAAACAAGCTGTCGAAAGTAGAGGAAGAGAAGTAATTAAGGAAGAATCCCCCCCCCCTCCTCCTCCTCACCGAACCAGCAGCGAAAATTATAAAAAAAAAAAAAAGGGAAATGACCGTATTGAATCTGAATCAATTTGGTCCCCCAAAAAATCATATGAAGAATTCCAAATGGATAAAAAAGAAAATAGAATAAAACCCCTCTCAAGTAAGTAGGTGACGGTGGACACCGTCAAAGAAGTGGACTCGTCAATGCGAGTCCGGCACGGTGACTTCTGGACCGTCGGTAACCACTTGTCCACCCACTCCCCCCCCCCAAAAAATTTAAAACAGCCCGCGATCAGACGGGAGGTTCCACCGCGGGCCTCGGGGGGATGATGCACGATCAACTCAGAATTAGGCGATGAGAATTGACCGCTTTCCCGATGATCTGCACAGCATCCAGGGTTTGTCTCCACGACTGGAGAGGGGAAGATAAGTCGGAGGGACTAGTACGCAGCAAGACGGGAGAGATACATATCGAACGAGAAGGGGAAGATGGTGGGATCAATACAACAGTCAGGAAGAGGTTCGGGGCAAAGATGATTTTATGGCGTGTGGGGCTATGCTTTTGCGACTATTTTAACATTTATATAGTGAGATCGTCGATGGGCGATATTTTGTGTTTTTTTTTTTTTGGGTTTCCTGGTATCTCCCGATTGATCGTTGTTCCGCAGCCTCCATGTATTCTTGCTCCGACAAGGGACCCTGTGAGGCGACCGAGGACGCTGAATTACCCGCGCGCGACCAGATATCGCGGAGAAAGGGGCGTCCTGGGGATCATGGGAGTCCGGGGAGCTAGAAAGGGTGAAGAAGGGCTGAGAATGAGGCTGGGAAGACGGTCAACACGGAGAACGTCGAAGGCGGGAGATCGAACGACATGGAGTCGATAAAGGTGAAGAGAGTCACGGGGTCCGAGGTTGCAAATAAATCTACCTCGTCTTTACGAAGAGCGAGTGCCAAGATGAGGGGAGCCATATCCGATTATACAGGATATTCGACATTCGTAGACTCAGATACCGTACAAGCACACAGTGTTGACGGTTGAGTGTACAACTGTACACGACTATGGAGGGCGGACGATGGACGATGGAGAGCAGCCTTCTTGACAGGCGTCAAAACTACCTGAAAGAGCTTAGTCAGTCCGTCTCTTCATCGTCATCTCTTCGGGGAAAAAAATGGAAACTGAGACCCAGATGAGTCGTCATATCGATGACCTGGCGCGGGGAGCGATCTGATAGCGCGGGTCAGTCTGAAAGAGGAACAGGGCAAGCCTGCAAGGTAAGGAAACTGACTTCTTCGGAGACCGCATTTTCCCCAACTCATCACCTGACTGTACCTCATTGAATGTCTCGTTCATAATGGCGGACAACGCAAAAAGAAGAAAGGAGACGCGCCGAATGAGGGATAAAAGTGACTAATATAAAGAAGTAACAAGAAAAGGCACTCCCGAGTCCCGACGCAACAAGTCCACGATGAGCTAATTGAGCGGCTATTCATGGCCTAGTGGACCGAGTCCGGTGCCACTCGTCCAGGGCTCTTGCGGATCGAGTGATTTTCTCGGATCGAGGGATGGGACTCTCTGGAGTATGACTAAGGAAGGACTATGGTCGCATTGATGTTATACACATGGTCCAAGGGCAATGGATGTGATGATATTCCAAAAGCAAGGAGATCAGTGATCGTAGTCCAAGCCAAGTAAGAGAACAACCATGTCCACGAGGACTGGGATTTACTTCCTTTTCTTCCCACTCCCCATCCGCCTTGTCCATGTTTCCATGACCCTTCTCTCTTCTTCTCTGATGACAACATCGTGCGGCCGTCCTCCAGCTCGACTGGACCGGATGGTCTCCAGATCTCAACTCCCTTTCCTTTTTCTTTACGTAAATCGGAGACGTCGGCGAAGCGTCCACTGGACGGGAAGATCCTGCCAGACCGCAGACCGGCCATCGGGACCCAGTTCGGCGCCCATGAGGGGGGGAAGGAAAAAAATGGGAGCGATGAACAGTCCACGACTCCACGATGCCAGACTTGACAAGTTGACATTACTACTGTACTACTTACCAAGTTCCGACTGATTTAATACATATCGATGGAGAGTCAATAAGAGGGTTGTCGTCGCCGAGCAAGAGAGGGTCTGGGGTCTAGACCAGCAAAAGAGGGTCATATAAGGGGAGGGGGTTTTTTCTGGAGCGTTTCTCTCTTTCTTTTTTTTTATTAGGGTTCTTCTCGAGCTTTCTTGGTGATAACTGATTGGCAACTGGAACCTGATGCCCAGACGTGCGAATACGGGAAGGAATCGAGACCTTTCTCTGGTACCTTTGCTTGAGGAATTGGGTTATCGCTCGATGAGGAACTATTTGGTCCATCCAGGTCCTTCGTTATGTATGTTTAGCCGACTGGATCTTGTCGCGAATACTTCAACTGCCGAGGGTCGGGTGCCGTGTGACGTATACCGAGCTGTTTTCTACTTGCATATACCATATCAGTATATACTACTACTCTCTTGATATGTAGGAACCCTCGTGTGTCGGATAGGATATACATTCTTCGGTAGAACGTGACCCTATACTCTGTACTACTCGAAGTCTGTACTGTAGTAGCTAGTTGATAAGTGAGTCCCTTTATGTGCCAATTATTACCTCTGCTCGCGCAGTGCATTGCGCAAGATACAGCTAAAGACTTCCGCCCGCTAAGCTCTGCTGCCAAGGTACCTCTCAAGTATCTCTTATTCGATATTTTTTTTCCACTCTCTCGTCCCTGGCCCAAATTCGCATTTTTGACGCAGACGCGGCGACTTTCATGATTAATCTCGTGATCTCCGTCTCACTTCCGGGCTATCCCTCCCTCCTACCCTCACCATCTTGCCTAACCATCGAGGGTTGGACCAACCACAAGTATAGTTGAAGTAGCAGGTCCACCTGAACTTCTTTCCACTCATCGATATACACTAATGGAAGGATTTATGGCGTCGAGATATAAGCTCCGATCGAAAGCCCTACAAGGATCTTAGCTCCTCAGCTCCTCTAGCTTACCGCAGACGAACAGTCGAGATTGAGATCAGGTGCCGAGAGAGGTCGTCCCTGGCCGGATTCGTAAAAAATCGCGCAAAACCGTGGAGCCTCCCACGGGGCGGCGTGTCGGCAACGTGACCTTGGACCATCCATGGTCAGCGGAAAGGGGAGGGGACAGTCACTCGGTGATCGAGTCATCTCAACGTAGGCAATACATTCCAGCAATCCAGTCTTGCGGGCGACCAGCGCCAAATTGTAGACTGTTTATCAGTGCAGGACTATAGGTGACAGTGGTACGTAGGGTACTTCTGACGTGAACAAGGCATTAGAGATAGTGCCACCATATACTTACAACCTTCCGTTGAGTCCTCACTCCTCAGTAGGTAGTTAGGTAGTCCTACCAGTGCCTAGCTTTATCATACAACAAGGAAAACGAGTAAAAAAGATCAAAATACAGTCTCAATGGATCAATCCACTAGACATGAAAACACACCTCGCAAGGCTAGCATTATCATAATCATAACCAGCAGACATTGTTCAAATCCATACATAAATTCGCGAAAGCGACAGGTATAGCGATAAGCATCTCTAGGCCGGATACCTCTCCATAGTCCATCGTCCATAGTTCAGTCTATACTGAAGTAGGATAATTGATCTAGCTCAAGCATACTACACCACGGCACTGCATCATCTACTCCTACAGAAGGAGCAAGTCCTTCCTCACAGTAGCACCTTTTAGTACTAAGCACTAAGCACTAAGCACGGGGCATTAGCAATAGGGCAGTGTCAATCCACCAACTGCCAGGGGCGCCCTCACGTGGGGTGATCCGAATGTGGATTCGTCTGGTCCAGGTGCGCGCGTTCCAACTGAACAGTGGGTTTCGCAAAACTCCCTTTCCCCCCTTTCTTTTCTCTGCCCACACGTTGACGAAGGGGGGGGGCGCCCGGAAATTCCACGCGAAGAAAACTCTGGCTCATCAGCTGGACATCATTCCATCTCCACTTGACCTGTGACGGTGACGGTGAGCTATTTTCCTCTTTTGGGGGCAGGTTACGTTTTCTTATCTCCTGACCGGACCCCGGGGATACCGCTGAAAGGGGAGGTGCTTATTCAGACTTGACCGGAGTCGGGGCGATGGCGGGAGTGACCTGCCTGGGAGGCTTTCGGGCGGGGAGTGGTTAGAATACGACGTTGTGCAAGAGTGAAGAGTGATGCGCAGAGGGAGAGGGAGAGGGAGAGTAGGAGACAAGGAGTACTAGCAGTTGGACTGTAGGACTCGGGATGAAGGAATTATGCATGATAGAGTATAGCGATAATAATGATTTTCGAGTTGTTGAGTCAGGAGGAATACAAGAGGGGATATTATGATTCTGGTGATTGGTACTCTGTATCCGGGGAAGTACGAATCGATATGATATCGAAGCTCTAGTATAATAGTAGTAGTAGTAGTAGTAGTAGTACTAGTCCTACTCTTAGTACCTAGAAAGGTGTTGTACGCCTAGTCCGTGACTCTGTGCTTTGCTACGTGGCCATGTCGCAAATCCAAACTCTGTCACGAGTCAGAGTGAGAGATACCTCGAAGGTCGACCCCCAAGGTAGCAAACATTTCCTGATTGAGCGACGATAACTTCAGAATCTTACCAAGATGGAAACTCCCCGATCGAGTCTGCCCGGGGAAGACCGCCAAAGTCAAGACTCGAAGTATCCGCTAGGTACTAATCGGCCGAGGTACTCTGAGAGCTTCTCAGGTACTTCCATTCAATAAATGAGCTACTTGACTCACTATCACTCTGGGCCTGGAAATCCGTCACCTGAAAAGTGTACACTGTATCCGCTTGGAAGCTATAGTGTTCAGTGTACTACACTGGCTGGTACTAGGCGTAGGAGAAGGTCGTCACATTAAAAAAACGGTCTGCAGTCTAGAGAGTGGTACACTCTACCCTCTATACCGATGCAGTGTTATCTTCGACCCTATCCCACTGTTAGTCACAACGACAACTAATCACAGGCTTTCCAGGCTTCAGTCGTTCCGGAATACGGCGCCGAAGGTCCCTGGACTCGGGGAGCGACAAATCTCATTGGCAAAATCCAGTAAGGTCCGGGAGGTCAAAAAGGTTGGGGGGGGGGGGGGAGGGGAAAAAGTCAAAAAAAAGTGGGCTGAGAAAAAAGGAAAGAAAAAAAGTCAAACCCCGCAAAGTCTATCGATGAGGCGATATCTGGGCGGATGGTGGAGGAATCACGACGTTGGCAGAATGGCAGTGATGTTATCGTATTAGTAGTAGTATTAGTATTACTACTACTACTACTACTACTACTACTACTACTACTACTACTACTTGGCAGTGATGTTATCGTATTAGTAGTAGTAGTAGTATTACTACTACTACTACTATTACTACTACTACTACTACTACTACTACCACTACTACTACTACTACTACTACTACTACTACTCACAGTACTCAGTGATAAGATGGGGATAAGATCTTACAGACTATACTACTAGAGTACCCTAGAGTATTGGTAGGAAGTTAGTAACACTCAAGAGTGTTATGACGACGAACTGGTTGATATCACCAATGATTGATCTGCTCCAGGTTTCGGATTCGAGTGAGCGGGCACTTCCGAAGGGAGGTCGCCGAGGGGCTGTACATTCGCAGTGTATCCACCACCCAGTTGCACAACTGCACAGTTACCCACATCAAGAACAGGTGTTTGGTATACAAGTAGTGTCCAGTGTCCAGTGTCCAGTGTCCAGTGTCCAGTGTCCAGTGTCCAGTGTCCAGTGTCCAGTGTCCAGTGTCCACGATAAGAGCAGCACCAGGTAGCTGGTACGCGCATCGGTCAAGACGAGATGCAAGAGTCCGCTTGAAAGAGCCCGAGCCGTCTGGTACCTAGAACAAGTGGTGTTGCCAAGATTTGAGCAACGAGATATGAGCCAGTCTGGTACCCTGACTAGCAGTGGACCAGTGGTACTACTACTACTACTACTACTACTACTACTACTACTGTAGCAGACGGATACTTACTACGACTACCGCATGGCGCATGCACTTCCAATAACGTAGTCGTACAGAGTTTTTCTGGCCCCTGGCGGCCTGGCCCAGATCCCTTTTCTCTCCGTCTCATTCGGACAGTCTCCTCCCTGGCTCCCACTGCCCAGTCTAGTCCAGTCCAGTCCAGTCCAGTACTGGGGGATCCGGTGATCCAGAATGATCCACCAGCCCGTCCGTGATCGACTCCAGACCAGAACCCGGTCCCTCTGCTTCCCTCCCCCCCCCGCTTTTCGCCCCTCTTAACCCCTCCGTCGCGGCAGGACCCGATCTCCGCGGAATCGAGTGAATCCCACACGTAACATGCTCCGTGGCACGGTAGTAGGAGGAGACTACTGGGAGTGGGAGTCGGACGACGACGACGACTGCTCAGACTGCGAGTATCATTGATTTAATTGTGAGGGTCATGACAAAGGAATATCGCATGTGCTGTACTAGCTGGCAGTTCGGAGACTCAGGACTCAGGGCACTGAGAACAGTTTCTCATACTGTTGGGATCTACTGAAATGTCACCTGATCAACAGAATAACAGATAGTAGGAACATGACTGGCTCTATGAGTCGTACTGAGTCTACTGACTCTACTGAGTATACATAGTCTAGTTATACCGACATTTCCACCTCCATCTACTTGACCGAGGATACCCTACCCTAAATCGAACAGGTCAACGGTCAACAGTCAACACCGCGCTCTTTGAGAGAGAGAGAGAGAGAGAGAGAGAGAAAAAGAGAGAGGTTTCTGCTCGTCTTGGCACGGGCAAGTATGGGACCACCACCCCCTCCGGGTCGAGGTTCACGTCCATTGTACACACACACGCAGTTGATAAGACCTATCAGACCTGGGCGATAAGACCCTTCTATTATGACAGTTCATCCCCTCTGTGGAACCGAGTCCGACTCATTTGTCGGGCTCTGGCGCTGGCTCTGGCGCTGGCTCTGACTCTGACTCGAATTCTGACCTGAACCTGGATGATGGGTCGGAGTAGTTGCACTGCTGGTCTTGATCTCTGGTGGGTCGATCCCCGCCAAACCCCAGACGCCAGGACGTCGACGGGCCAGCAATTCGGCAGCCGGACGTTCGTCAGAGTGCAGGTGAGCACCGGACCTCCGCAACAGCAGTACGTGCTCCGACAAGCCTGCATTGGCCGCCAGGAACAGCGGGGTGCGACCATTGCGATTGCGCAGGTGCACGGAGCCTCCGTGCGAAAGCAGGAAGTGGAGAATCGAGATGGCGGGGGAGGTCGCCGCCAGATGCTATCGAGATAAGACAAATCCACCCGGTCAGCCGACATGTCCATAACACTCAGGTAGAAATAAGCGAGTAAATCCTCTCCAAAAAAGAAAAATCAAAGAGCAAAGAGGCGGGTGGGTGGCTCTGCGAGTCTGCTGCGATGGCATCGAAACGTATATGGGAAATGAAAGAGGACCTGAAAAAAAGAAAGAAAAAAAAAGAAGAAGAAAACCTCCATTGACTTACGATAGGCGTATTTCCCGAATAATCTGCATCATTCAACAACCAATGATGTTCGGTCTTCAGAATGGCTTGCACGCGATCCAAGTCCCCTTGGGCAATCGCATAACCCATCGCCGTCAACGTCTGTACACGCTCCGGCAGTGCTCCATCCGGATGACGAAAGACGGGCAAGGAGGACTCGGTCAACTCGCCTCGGAGAGAAACAGACATGTTTTTGGCGACCGTTTCGGGAGTCGAGTCCGGTAAGGCGAGGAGATAAGCCAATTTGGTTAGAGCGGCCTCGGTCGTCATATCGAGACCTGCCACCACGCCGGCTCGAGAAAGACTCATGCCAGTGGCATAGACGGGGCTGACACTTCCTGTAAGACCTACAAACGAAATTCCCAACAAGATCGTTGTCCCGCGCCGGTTAGTCATTCAGGTTTGCTGGCTTCTCCGTAATCTTCGTTGCCTGTCCGTATTTCCCAACATCCAGACCAGGGGGTGGGGAGGTGGGCCGCGATAATCACTCACATTGAGTCACATTGACAATCACAATGCCTCGTCGAATGGCCGCCGCCAACACATTGATCATCGCGTTATCTTGTCCCGAAGGAGCATTGCCGGCGCCGAAGGTCTCGAGGACTAAGCCCCGAAGTCCTTCCAATTTGAGGACCGCATCCACCATCTCGGGCTTCATGCCGGGAAAGATGCGAAGACACGCGACATGGGCGGTATCCAGATTCGTCTGAATGCGGAAATGCTCCAGGGTCGTGGGACGATGCACCATGTCCCATTTGACATTGGTGCGCATAGATGTCGTGATGGCCAGGGGAGCGCAATTCGGGGAATCAAAGGCGTTGAAATCACTCGCGGCCACTTTGGTCGTTCGATTGCCGCGGAAGAGCTTGTTGTTGAAGAACAGACACACTTCGGGGATCATGAAATGACCCGCCACCACTAGAGAGCCCAGCAGGTTATCCGTCGCATCATTTTGAAGCTGGAGCATCGGCGCCTGGGATCCCGTCAGCACCACGGGTTTACCGAGGTTCTGCAACATGAAGCTCAGCGCAGAGCAACTGTATGCCAGACTGTCGGTGCCATGGAGCACGACAAACCCGTCGAAGAAGGTGTAATTCTGGAAGATAGTTTGCGCAATCTCGGTCCATCCCTTGGCGTTGATCGAGCTGCTATCCAGCAGTTCTTCAAACTCGTAGACTGTGTAGCGCACTTGACGGCCATACGTCGTGACAGGTGTGCGCAAACTCGGATGCGCCGTGATATCGCGCCCTTCATTCGTCACCACATCCATGTCGTCCGGCGCGGATCCATCATTGAAGCAAGGCACTCGGGCCATGCAATTCTCCTGGAATCCTCGAGCAGGAATGAATCCATGGGGCGATGGCTGCATGCAAATGGTCCCCCCAGTCATGATGATCAACACCCGCGATTCCTGAATCGCGAGTTCGGGGGGCTCGACACCACCGGGCTCGACGGCATAGAATCCATGGTGTGCATCTCTTATGTGTCCGGTGATCTTGAAGATGGTTCCGGGCTCTCTGCTCTCTCTGCTCTCTCTGCTCTCTCTTTTCTCTCCAACTGACCGACAACTGATGGGATGAACGAGAGACGATCGGTCGCAGCACTGCCGCGACAACTCAGTTGAACGATTTACTCAAGTCAATGTGGCCGGTTCCGTAACGCTGAAAACCCTCGATAGAATGATACTAATCCCTGCGAATCGGCGATATCGCGCGCGAAAATCGAACAGGTACCGTTGTAATCCACACCCGAGAGAACCCCAATTCCAATGATCATCGACCCCTCGCCCGAAAAGATTCGGGACCGACTCGAAACTTTGTGGGGGGGGGAGAATGACGTGTGGGTCAAAGGGTTTTCTTTCTGTTCTCGAATTTGAATTCTCTCTACTCCCTACCAGGTTGGAAGGTTTCAAGTCAGCAGCTTTTCGTCTCTGCCGTATATGTAAGTATGCCGTAAGATGAACAGGTCAACAGAGAAATTACCTTGACAACATGCTCAATGTCAAAAGGTCAAGTGGGCATCCAAGAAAAAGAGGAAAAAAAGACGGACTTGAAGGTATCCACGTGAGGGCACGCACCATCCGCAACCCGCAGTCAAGCACTCCACGAGGAAAATCATGATTGACTCTTGAAGCCGAGAACTCCAACTGCACCTCCGACCGTATTACGTACGGACAAGCTTATTGGAGAGCACCAAGGACTAGGCAAGAGAGCAGAAAAAGAAAAAGAAGACCACGGGAAAAGAAGCCATTTTCGATTCCAGCCTGGGCCCGACTTTATCGAGACCGTCCGGCTTTCCCACGGGTCCGCCGTGTGCGGTTTCGGCGCAGGGGATCCGCAGGGTGTGAAGGCGGATGGAAATTGTCAAGCTTGGAGAAGGTCAGTTGAAAGACTCACTTTGTGGAATGATCGTCCAGAATCGACACGTGATAAGGAGAGATGTCAAACAGTCACCTGAGAGTCAGGTGAAGGCGGGAGTCGTCTAGTCTGAGATGGAAGTCCAAGGGTTTTCAAGGGTTGGGGTTGATGAACTCTTGGAAACCACGTGAGATCACCACTGATATTTGCTTTTTTTTCCCTCAGTGTCCCGTTCATCTCGTCCGCAGTATGGCCCTGTAGATATGGTAGTACCCCATGACCAGAGCCTATCGTGATTGAATAGATGTGCTGAAAATCAAAGGTCGATTCCTACAAGATGGTCTACCCTGGATAATAGTAGTGTTGAAACAAACATTGAGTTGATGAGCTTCAATGTCAGAGCCTCGCAGTTCTTCTCAATATCTGCAATGATGCCTGTTCATATACAAAAGATAGATACATGGCGAGATCATCCTCTATCGCCCTCAAAAACAGTTTCACAAAGGATTAAACTGCACAAGATCCTCCTCCAACAACCCCATAATATACTGATTGCCTGAGAACCAATTCCCCAACTGCGTCGCCTGCGACATACCCGCCATCGCCGACAGATCCATCCCAGCGCTACCTACAAAGTCATGACCCTGACTCTGACTCTGGAGCCCCGACTCCGTCAAACCCAGATTCATCGCCGAAGCACCGCCGTCGGGGATTATTCCGCCCCAGACATTCTGTGCCGTGGAAGTTGCAGGAGCCAAGCCCAGCGCCGTCAAATAAGCGTCGAATTCTTGCCCGACGGCATCCATGTTGTTGTCTTGACCTGCTTGTTTACGAGTCTTGGCTTCGACGTAGAGACGGGCGACGGTGCTGAACATGGAGCACAGGTTGTGGAGGCGGTCGATAGCTTGAGAGAAACGGCAGAGGGGTTGGAGGGATGCGGTGAAGGCCTCAAGGCGGGCGAGGTCCTCGCGATCCGAGGTGGTGATGACGTTGCAGAATATGACGATGAAGGGAACGAAAGGGGAGGTGAGAATTGCCCTAGTATTGGTGCAGATCTGATTAGCGGGGGTTCTCAAAAGACGATCGAGAGACGCAATGTGGTTGTGAGGCTTCAGTGTCCCGCTCTAGATCAGCTTGAAGTGGTACGTACCAATGCATATAAGAGGTTCGTAAATTCTCGGACGCTTCTTTGAGACTTCCGGCGCACGTTTGGTGGAGCTCCAAAGCGGCCCTTGCAGTCTGCGTACATTCTGGGACGAATGTGCTTGGGGACCCGGGCTCGGCGGGAATAGCGCGGTATATGAGGGTCAGAATGGCCAAGCGACTCACGCCGTCCGATCGGAGATAGATGTAGTCGATGTCGGTTATATTGAGGTCTCTGATCATGATTTGCTTATGACACAGAAAAAAAGAACAAAAGGTCAGTGTTGGTGTTCTGCGCGCGAATGATTCCTGAAAACCAGATCATACAAGGTCTTACCTCAAATGGCTCCAAGACCTCTCTCTGCATCTCACCAGCAAGCCGTCTTGCATGCATCACACGTTGATTCTCCGGTCCCTTCAGGGCCGCGGGACTGTACAGGTTGACGTAGATATCATTCTGTATAATGGCTTGTCGGGCCCAGATCGCACAAACATTGCTCCATATTCCCATGTCCACAAAACACTCCGACGGAGGAGGAATATCCACGTCGCAAATCTGCACCACGGAAGCTCGACCCACCCGGAGAGACATCATATTGGAGATGGTATATGCAGACCAGAAGAGATCCTGCTTGCGGTGCTGAAGTTCTATCGGATCATTTTCCATCGTGGAAAGACGGTTGTATCCCAGGCTTTGACACATCTGCACGGCAGTAGAAGCAAATGTCCAGCCGACAGAAGGCTTGGAGATTTCGATGCCGTGGATTGCCTATTATATCGGTCAGTGATTGAGAATGATCTCTGTATTACGAGTCTCTTGAGTCAAGAACGACCTACACCAAGGGTAAGAGCCACAACTGAATCCAGGGTGACCGGCATCAATAAGTTCAAGCTCGCCAGTGCCGCCTCCAGGTTATCTTTGCACATCTTCTCATACAGTTCATACTCAGCTTTGACTGAATTCTCATTCTCGATGATCCCAAATTCAGAGAATATGGCATTCAGACCGAAATTAGCGATGATAAATGTCGCATCAGAGTAATCCTCAGTCGCAAAGTAGACTGCCTGACACTTGGAGATAAAGTAGTCAACCGTGAAGAAAGGCAGGTAGTTTCCGAAGCAACCCGGCGGACGTTCTAAATACGCATTAGGTTCCCCATGGAGCTTATGATTGGTAGAGTGCTTGTTCCATCGTACCTTTTGTCCTTTTCAGGATACTCAGAACTTCCGGCATTGGCGGCATTTCCAGCTCGCGAATATCCCGACGACTCCCCAGCTGGCCCGACAATTGACCTCTGTGCACTCTTCCATCCTGCTGCTTGTCTTGCATTTCCACAATCTGTCTCAAGGACGTCAGAGCCTCGCCAATCTTGGGACTTGATAGTACTTCGGGGGTGCTATGCGACACTGCCGACTCAAGGAACTCCTTCGCATAGGCCGAGTGAGCCGCAAGAGAGGAATATCCCTCGAATTGCGGAACCGACTCATGTTGCTCGATTGCAGGATTGGACGTGTAACCGGGACCTTTACACTCGGTACTCTCTGATGCAGTCGCTTGTGAATGAACATGGGCGGCTAGGGCTGCAGGCGACACTGATGAATGGAGCGAACTGATCGTGCCAGTGGCCGGAAGGCGTCCGCTCGATTGTCGGGATGTTTTCAAGATCTCCCTGAGGGACTGCTCGATGCTACCGAGGCGCTGTAATGTGTTTTCAACGCCTCCTAGGCGTTCTTCGATATGATCGATTTTCTTCTCACTGGATCGGTTTGGAATTTATCAATGTTGAATTCACACTTCAAGGCGATGCTTTCGGGCCGTCGCAGCATGCGACAGGTGGATATTTGACGTACTATTGACTAGATATCAAGACACGACGCCGAGGTTCGGATTTCTGTCCTTCGCGGGTGAACCGACATGTCAGAGTCGAGCTACGACAATTCGAACAAGGGCTGCGCTTATCGCATCGAATCTATGAATCATCTCAGTTCAATCTGCAAGACTCTTGGCGGACTCGAACTTTGTAATGATACAAAGCTTGACCTACCTTTCGAAGACGACATTGATCGCACTAGCGAAGAAAGAGCAAAGAAGACCAAGACATCAGCATGTCTTGCCTTTGAATCGACTGTCCTTCAACCACGCATCTGGTATGCGCCAACGTGGAAATGCCTCCCACTCTTCTTGTCTCCGGGGAAAAAGGTGGAGTCCCGTACTTACCGCTCGTCGGGTCAAAGCGCCCGGTGCATCACGTTCGTCGTGGTCGGAACTCTCCAAGTCCATGACAACAGGACTGATGGCTTTTGCTTAGGACTACTAATCACACCCCGTGAAATCAGTCGTCAATTACTCTCGGGCTTCTTCTTGCCTGTGAGGAATTCTTCTCGGGCAGATCACGGCGGTTTTGCTGGATATTTGAGGTTGGCAGAGGTCAACTTGCTAGCCACGGCTTGGATGAGACAAAGCTTCGGCGCTCGGCGCTCGGTCCTCGGATCTGGAAAGACGGGGACCACACCCCAAGACAGGCTTGATTATCTCACGAGGCTATTTAGCATTCGACGATCTACAACAGCGTTTTGGTTCATGAGCAAGGATTTCACAGTACGGCACGTGATCGTAGACAGGTAATTATCCATGTACAACAAGGACATTTGTTCAACTCGGTTCAGCTATGGGACCATGACCAGCATGCGCAAAATCAATAGTTGCCAATCATTTCGATGGATCGAGCAATGAAAAGCATGGCTAACTATTGCAAGGTAAGTTGAAAGACATGTCTATTGTTTCTTGACAGATCCTGGAGCGATCCAATTTCCATCGCTCGTCCAGACTCCAGCCGGACTGTAAGCGCCAGCGTCAGCACCACGCAAAAAGGCAAAGCGAAAGAACAAGGTGTCTGGCACATCGTCCTTGCTTGAGTCGTCGACCTTATTGCCGTGAGAAAGCACGGACTGTATTTCCCCATGCACTCCGCCGCCTGGGCTTCGAGACTGGAGCAGTGCCGTATTCACCAGCTCCAACCCCTCGTGTCCATGCCGATGCCAGGTAAATTCACCGGCAGGGTCCTCATCGAGATAACCGCGCCAACGCTCAACATCGTTGAGGAGTACAGAGACTCCGTCCACGGAGAGCTGAGACATGCGCTCAGGCTCCCACAGCGAGAATGTGATGTTGCCGTTCCCTTGATGTGTGATCCCTGTCACCGGCTCGGGTAGAGCGATTTCGACGGACGATGCAGTGACGTTGGGGTAGGATGACCCCCACCAATTCTGGCCTGCACGTCCGGGAACCAACTCACCCAAAGCTGCCGGAGTCTCAATAATGGATGCGAAGCCCCAGCGGGCAACTCCATTGATGAACAGGCCGAGAAGCAAGCCCTGGTAGAGCAGTGAGGGACGAGTGGGGAGCGCAGTTCCTGGCATGAGCAAGATAGCGAGGATGTAGTGGTGGATGCGCAGCCGCAGGCCGGGCAGCGGAAGCAAAATCAAAATGATCAAAGCCATGATCCCATAAATCTTGAGATAGCGGGGCAGCAGGCCACCTTGGCGAATCGTCCAGGCTTGACTGAGAATGATCACCAGCACAGTTGGGATGACGATGGCAAGGGCCAGCTTTGCGCCCGGTTGTTGCTGAATGTCCATGGGGGTCAGGCGCTGGAGGGGTATCAATCGCGCAAACGTGTAGTTGTTTAACGCTCCAATAAAGAGAGTAGGCAGAAAGAGAAAGGCCTTCTCGAACTGATAGATCGGTGATCTAAGGGGCTGAAGAAGTGGAGTTGCACAGAATTTGTATAGGACATAGACCACGAACGACGCGGGCAACAATCGCGAAAGGAGCGTTGACACAAGGTCCGATAGATTGGGGTAGGATGGCGGATCGGCAACCAACCCGGTATGGCAAAACACCATGTAGAAAGCACTGAAGAAAAGGATGGGCGGAGATGAGCAGAACAGCCACAGGATCCCCAGGGCCGCGGCAGTCACCCCGAGGAGCGACCAGCGCGGGTCCGCAGGGCAATTCGACTGGTGTGTAGGCAACGAAGGGAAGCTGAATGACTTGGGGAATGTTGAGGGAAAGGACTCTGAGCGAAGCCCGTGCTGCTTGACAGAGGGGAAAAAGTGCGCAGCACCTTCGAGCTTCGCGACTCCGCAGCCTCCGTCATTTGAGATGACCCCGGCATGAATCGCAGCCTGACAGATGAAACTATCGGCTCGATAGATGGCCGAAATGTTTGATTCCGACACCGGACCACCAATGACCAAGGGCTGGTAATTGAAGGTCTGGTTGCCTACGACATGTGGCTCCAGCAACTTCTGGTCGCGGCAGTTGGCGGGACACCGAAATGCGAGCGTTGACGCGGAGAACGGGCGGCAGTCGTTCCCATTCATACCGCAGCCATTATCGAATTGCCTAAATATTAAGCATGGAGGATCAGTATTTGTCGGCGGCGTGGATCGCGGAGTAGGAGAGGATGGCAGGCTCGAGAGTTTGGCACTCACCAGAATGTGGACCCGCAAGAGAGAGTTTCTAGCTTTCCGTATCCCTCAATGTACCCGGATGATCGGGAGTGCAACAAGACCAAAAACCATGGCAAGAACCATGCAACGTAAAGAAGGAGCAGAAGCGCTAGCTTCTGCTTGCGCTTCGGGAAGAAATGATTGAGGTATTGCGCCGGTAATTCTTGCACGCGCGGAAACAGCGGTCGAAGGAGTAGGGTGTGCGGAGGATCAGGGCCTTTGACCCAATTCACCGTTGCCCGACCTACCTTTCGAAGCGGCAAGGGAATCCAGCCCCAACGAAAGGACTTGGATGATTCTTGCAACCAGATTGGGAGTGAGCCTCCAGCTTCCACGTCAGGCGGCGGGCAATCTTCGGATGCATCGGGATTTGAGTCATTTGGTTCATCTTCGTCTAATGGGGGCACATATAGACGAGAGGCCTCCTCCCGGCCCTCCCCGATCATGATTGAGCGCAGACCGTAAAGAACAATGTGTGGGTGTCGAACAACGAGGTCTGCAAGGACGAGCGCTCGGGCGACTATGAGTATAATGGATGACTATGATGTCGCCGAAGGATACGACGGTCGGGCGCTAAGGATGGGAAGTGGGGACTCTTCAGGTGCACGAACAGGCCGAGTGGAGGATCGACCGAAGAGGTGTGTTGACCAGCGTCGAAGAGGTCGAAGAGGTCTGCAGCGGAGGAGACGGGAGGTAAAAATGTAAAGACAGACAAGATCAGAGAGTGAGATGCCTGAGTCATGTACCTATAGATGCCCTGATGATCAGTCTGACCTCCCCAGGGTGCGAGACACAATGCGTGGGATCTGAAGAGTCCAAGAATGCCCCAGCCTTGTGAGGGGAAGGAAGAAAAGAGACACTGGGGCGGTTCGTGACAGGGCGGCAGTGCTGGGAGGCTTCCCCAATCAAGGTCGCGATCGAGACCCAGTGGCGATTTTGAAAGGTTCTTCCGTTCCACCGCCGAAGCCGCCGTCGGCTAGGGTCACAGGGGTGAGGGTGGACTTGGACTGGACGGACAGGACTGGAGATGTGCTCAACTCCATTGCTTGATACCAACCGGTCGGCATTGTGACCAGATATCTCATCAGATCTCGAGATCGAGAATGCATCGCGCGTGTAGGAGGTGAATTTGTACGATTTCAATGTTTTCTCGATCTCGACAGTAACACTACAACTCCATGTGAGATACTCGTTACTACTACTTGAAAGTTGACAGTCTGTAGATCGAGTGGATCAACATTAATCCATACCGAGACGGACGAAATGCCGGACCGATAAAGACCGCATGAGCAAACAGAGCAAACATCAAACAGCCAGCCGCCCGGATGAAATCCCCGGATGGACTCCAATTGGGCATGAAGCGGCTACAACCGGTGGTCCACCTGTCTTTGATTCTTCACGCAGTTGGTTGCAGATGACCGGGTCAGACTGTCAGTTCCTGACTGTCCGAATCAGAGGATGGCAAGACCGGACACAGAACCTGAATCAGTCATGGAAAGACGTCGGCAAGCATCGCATTCCATGTCATCATAGTAGGAGTGTCTGTCTATCATGATTGCCTCTACTTGACTCGGACGTAATGCCGGAGCAATGCAGGTAACATTGTACCCCAGGTAGGAGGTGATAGTAAGGTCGATTGAGCAAGATCAAGGTGGTTCAGGGTCAGCACCCCAGCCAGTGTTCCCATCAGGACCTAAATCCGTACTCAAACCTTTGAACGAGCCACTACCAGGGCTACCTATACCTAGTATAGAACGGGCTATATATAAGCAGGTAAGCACCTTCGTCGATACACGGTCAAATCTCAAGGTGATCCCTCTGGATTGATGCACAAGGTCGGCATCATGTCTTCAAGTCTGTCTACAGATATCCTGCCAGAACAGCATCTTTGTGGATCATCAGCCCGGAAAGCTGGTATACTCCAAGGAACCATTGGACTGATAAACTGCGGCGTAGCGACTCCCAGAGTCGCAAGACCTTCTTGTCCACGAGGCCCTTCACTTTCCTCCATCGCGAAGCACAGATTCCCTGGGGTGTCTGTCCTCCCTCTAGCCAGGGTCGTAAATGTCAGCGTTATCTCCTTCCAATCAATCGACTACCGGACCGGATCAACACCTCCATCTCAAGGGTTGGGAAGCTCGACCCACTCACCGTCCGAGGATTAGATTCCCAGCGGCTCCGGCTCAGACTCGAGGCCCCGTGAAAGTGATGCTTATCAAGCACTTTCGGACTAAACGGCCAAATTTGTGCGGGGAAACTTCAAGCAGGTTTTCCATGGCCGGTCAGATCTGACTTTTCGATCTCTGCATTGCTATATCTGGTGACATCTATAAGATCTTGGTTTTCCCCTTCTGCGTGATCTCATCCCACCTTCTCAAGTCTTCGCTGCTCCTCATTCCCCAGACATAAGAACGGGTAGATGCACGCCCGGTGAGCTGCAGCGATCGTCATGGCACCCACTCCATCTCCGCAGCCACTTGATTTGTCGCACCATTTCTCCTATGCGGCCAAGAATCGAGCCCCGAGCAGTATCAAGGAATTCTACAAGTATTTTGCCATTCCAGGAATCGCAAACTTTGCGGGAGGTAAGGACTTGACATTGTCGTGTCGTCTGTGTGAGGCCTTTGACGTGTGGTTGCGGCTAATCAGTGGGAAATTTGGTTCTTCCGTTCTGCTCGTCGCATATAGGCTTACCCCATCCTTCATACTTTCCCTACGATACCCTCGAGGCCACCGTTGCACGACCGCAACGTCTGGAGCGATCCAGCAAGGATGACGGCAAAGCCGATCGATTGATCGTCCCCAAAGAGGTCCCAATCACAGATCCCTCACAAAAGATCGACCTAAGCACGGCTTTGCAGTACGGCACCGCTCAGGGCTACCCGCCACTCTTCTCCTTCCTGCGCAAGTTTACTCGCGAACATCTTCATCCGAACGTACCTTATGCAGATGGGCCCGACATCGTTCTCTCTTGCGGGAATACGGATGGCTTCTCCAAGGCGGTCGAGCTGTTCACCAACATTTGGAATCCCGACCGAGATTGGATACAGCAGCGGGAAGGTGTTCTCTGTGAGGAGTTCACCTATATGAACGCCATTCAAACCATTCGACCCCGTGGTCTCAACATTGTGACAGTGGCCGTGGATGCGCAGGGAATGGTGGCCCACGGTAAAGGAGGCTTGGAGGATGTGCTCTCCAACTGGGATTTTCGCCGCGGTCGACGGCCGCACTTGATGTACACTGTGACGTGAGTCCCAGCATCGATGATCTGTACCCGGCGGGAAGCGCTGAAACTCTTCTTCTGACATGGCCCGGCTTTGTAATAGAATTGGCCAGAACCCCACGGGAGGGAACTTATCGATCGAGCGGCGAAAGGAGATCTATGCCTTGTGCTCAAAATTCGATGTCATCATTGTTGAAGACGAGCCGTACTGGAACTTGCAATTCCCATCTGCATATGAGAAGGAAGCTCACCACCGAGGAGGCTCGACCGCCATGTCGACGCCGTACGATCGAAGCTACAACGCCGAGGGCAAGTCTTCCGGCTACGCGTTCCTGGACTCCCTGGTCCCCTCCTACCTCTCCATCGATACGGAGGGACGAGTTGTTCGACTCGATACCTTTTCCAAAACCGTCGCCCCGGGGAGTCGTCTGGGCTGGATCACCGCGCAACCGGCGGTCATTGAGCGAATCACTCGTATCACCGAGGTGTCCACGCAGCAGCCTTCGGGGTTTGTGCAAGCCATCGTGGCCCAAACGATCATCGGCGAACAGCTCAAGGACAAGGCGACTCGTGATTCGCGGAGCTGGCACATGGACGGGTGGGTCCGCTGGCTGGAAGGGCTCAGGGGAGGCTACGAGCGACGGATGAACGACATGTGCACCATCCTAGAGGAGAACAAGTACTTGTACTCGGATGAATCCTGTGAGGATCCGTCCTCCGTCGCTGAGCATGGCAACGACTGGGAGATAGTTGAGCGAACGCAAATGCTCGACTTTGTCTGGCCCAAGGGCGGCATGTTCGCCTGGGTCGAGCTTCATCTCGAAAACCACCCGCTGCGAGCCAAGTACAGTGAGCAAAGGCTCTCCAAGGCCTTCTGGGTGCACCTGACTCAAAAGCCACACTTGTGCTTGGTAGGACCGGGTCAGATCTTTGCGGCTGGGCCGAGTTCGGTGGAAAAGCAACATCGGTATATCCGTGTTTCGTTCGCCCCCATGGATCCCGGTGACGTTGCCTCGTATACAAACCGACTGATTGATGGGTTCCGATCGTTCTGGAAGCGTAAGAATCTGGATGGGCTGGAGGATAGTGGAGATGGAAAGACACTCGCGAGTTTGGGCAATCTGCAGTTGAATTCAGGAGTGAGCTTCTTGGGACCTGGATGTTGAGCGGGATGGGCTGTGTTGAATTCAGCATGTCTTGCTTTGACACACGTGGATGATAAGTCTGCGCCCTTTCCGTCGATCTAGTAAAGAAAACGACTTTCCTTATGAGATTCGCCCCAAAGTTCAATACCTAATAGTGTTGGGTTATTTACGCCCGAGCAATTCCATCTCGGATCCTTCCACTAACCTACCTAGATAGTAGTCCCAATGTAACTCGACGAGGACTACTTGGACCAAATTTGTAGCAACCTCTTGGAACTACTACAGACGATAAGACAAAGATACATGAGCACTCCGCCCTTGTCCCTTTCTCATTACTGCATTGGTCCGTCAAGTATCGACGCGCGCTGCTCAAGCATGGAAAGCGCCCCGGTGCTCTTCCTCTTCTGTTGATCGACTTCGTTCGTGCCTGAGGCGCACAAGTGTGGGGAATGCAAGTTCTCCGCACGCGCATGAGGGGCTGAAAATCGTCACTTGAGTCAAAGCATTCCCGTTCCAGCCCGGGAGGTTAAATAAAAAGGACAAAAGATCACCAAAAAAAAATGATACAGCTCGACTCCATTCCCAACCAAGAGCTTGTCGAAGAAATCCAAGCTATTAATGCCATCTACGAACCGGATACCATCACGGTAACACATTCGGGGTCGGGGTCGGGATTGGGATTGGGATTGGGATTGGGATCCGCGCAATCCAATGCCGCATCAGCTGGAGCCGGTACACTCGATCTGGGGAATTCCAGACACGAGGATGACAGTGCGCGAACCGAAGTGACGCTGCATATTCCAGGACAAGCCAATTTGTCCTTCCGGCTGGGGCTTGCATCTACGTACCCTGAGACTCGACCCGAGGTGCTCGGTACAGCGTCGACGGCTGCGAGAGGGGAGGGTAAAGTTGCGGTGGACGTGCTGGAAGATATCATTCAAAGGACGTGGCAACCGGGCGCGGTGTGTCTGTTTGATGTGATTAGTGAAGCCGTGGAGGTGTTTCCTGAGTTGAATATTGGTGGGGCTCAGGAAACCCCAGCAGCAGCAGCAGCAGCAGCAGCAGCAGCAGCAACAGAGGACGACGCCGAGCCCAACGAGACTCAATCGAGTCATCTCGCGGCTGCTGGAAGTTCAGAACCTGGAAACGCCAATACCAAAGCACCGGTCGATTGCCTCACGAGCTTCTCTCTACGAGACGCATATGGACTCGATCACCCACCAGACTGGACCATCTCCGACGTTCTCACCGAGAAGAAATCCGTCTTCGTGGCCCGCGCCATCCGAGTGAAGAGCCTTGCGCAGGCGCAGGCTTTTCTGGACCATCTCCTGTCTACGGATGACAAAGTTGCGGCCGCGACGCACAACATCAGCGCATGGCGCATCAAGCAGAGCAAGGAAAGTGATGCGCGCACATCGACGAAACCCGGGAGTCACGCCCCGGAGACGGCCGAGACGGTGATCCAGGATTACGATGATGATGGGGAAACGGCTGCTGGGGGTCGCTTGCTACACATGATGCAGTTGATGGATGTGTGGAATGTGCTCGTTGTTGTGACGCGATGGTTTGGTCGGATTCATCTGGGGCCGGCGAGGTTCAAGTTGATTAATGATGCCGGGAGGGATGCTTTGGTCAAGGGGGGATTTACGAGGGGGGAGAACACGAGTGCCTCTGATAAGAGTAAGAAGAAGGGGAAGAAGTGAGGTTGTGGTCTCTGAGCAAGAAAGAGACCATATCCAGTTCTGGAGGGACAATCAGCAGATGCTCCGTCTTCATTCGATTCTCGGTGCAGAGAGCCAGCGTACGAATTGACACGGCTCATGTTGCCCGCTCTCGCAGGTTGGGGGGGGGGGGGGGGGGGGGGTTTCATCAAGTCTGGACATCTTCAACATCTTGAAGTGGCCCTGGGCCATCTCTCGGTCCCAAAGCCCGCTGACATGACGATGTAACCCTCCATATTACACGACACTATACCTGAGGCTCCCAGCCTACAAACGACAAGGAGATTGTGGAGATGATACCCAAGCATGCCTGACTCTTTGTCCTTCAAAAATTGATCTTTCTTTTTTTCCCCTTACCTCGGGGACACAACGGCCTCCGACAGAGCTCCGGGTAGGAGAGACTGAATATGTTGCATGTTTCAAACGACAACCCCATGGAGATTTCGAGGTTCATCAACGCCAAACCCCTGGTGGGTTATTCATGGTCTCCTCTTGGACTGTTGGTACAGTATACTCATGCTAGTCCTGAGTCAGTACGACCTGCAGCCCAGCCCTTGGCAATTACTGCGTAGACTTTCCTTCTGAGGGCTTTCCTGGAACATCCCAATCTTGTAAGGTACATCCTACCCATTCCGGCAGTAGTAAATCTGCTGTACGAAAATTACATTCCAGCACATTTCTGGCCATGCTTTTGATGTATCGGAGATTGATTTTGACTCATCTCCCTTCTCATGACCCGAAGAGAGAGAATGAATCGACTTTTGTCGTTGTCTCAGTAGTTTGTAGGTGAGAAGGACTCGGACTGATTGAATTCACTGTCAAAGGACGACACTGGTATTTCAGATGACATTGGCATTTCACTAGTATAAAAGGCGACGTCCCGTACCGCAAGCATACTGAACTTCTAAAGTAGTGTAATGGTAGTAAGTAATCGCCCTGTGCAGTGTGCACTAACAACAGCCCAGATTCACGGACCACAGACTACAGTCTGCAGTCGATACACCCAAACGTCCGCCACCGTCCCCATGCCGTCCGGAGGGACCGTAGAATTGAAGGATCCACATCTTCGGAGACCCGGACCAGCAAAAGGAGACTTAGATTAGTCGATATGCAGGGTGACGGGAGCCATATGGAGATCGAACACCGTCAACCTTGAATGGCCAAGATCGCTCGGGACGATTCGTTGCAAAAGGTCATCGTGGTCGGTGGTGCACAGGAGCAACATGAAACCTTGATCGATGAGATCTCTGAAACCTTGGCAAGAAGAGATTGCCGAGCGGGACAGGATCCATGATATGACCCATTTGAGTCAATTGGGGGGAGGTCATGTCAGTGTGAGGCTGTGAGGTAGCCGAGTCGAGTGGGCTTCGGAGCACCCAGCTGTGACCATCAATTGGAAAGTATCACCTGTCAGAGGTATTATACAACCCTTGTGGATCAGACTTAATTTGAAACGGCTATCTAAGAAGTGCAATCCCCGGGTTAAACTGAGTTCTGTTCGTGGAGTCGCTTACAAGCTCGACATCAGATGCGTCCTGGAAGTAATACGTGACGAGTCGCGACCTCGAGATCGGAAGATATTAGAACACCGTGGAATAGCTGATTGATGGTCTCGTTACCATGGTCTCCCAGGAACGGCATGAATACCAATATATCCGAAGCGAGTGATTGGAGATGACGCTAAATGAGATGGAGTAGTACTTTGACAGAATCCTGGCCCGAAAATCTTAGCTTGAACAAGAGGGAGGTCTTTAGACCACTAATCACGGTAGTCTAGATATGGATGGATATGGATGCTACGTCGACGAACATTCAACAGCGTCCTCCAGATTGCTTCTCCACAGGCGTAGCAGCATTGGTGAAGTGATGCCCGAGGTGACCTCGTCAGGTGTGAAGAGACAAATTAGCATATAGATCCGAAATCTAGGGAACAGACCGCGTGGCTCCTTTTCTGCACAAATGACTCTTTCGTAATTTCGACCCTTTCCGTAGCCCTCGAGGCGCCACGACCGAGTCGGGCCGTACACAGATTTGTTGACTCTCCATAGGAAAGCAGAGTGTTGCAACTTGCCGCACCATGTATATGGCCAATCATGTACTCCATAGTCCATGGTACCTGAGCTCTGTCGCTGAAATAGTGAGCGATTCTGCCCCCAGAGCTAATCCTACCAAATAAAAATATGTTCTCGGACACTAATGCGTATCCCGAATCCGATAGACTCGTATGGTCGTTTACTTCCGTCGCATGACTGCCCAGTGCCCACTTCGCACGATGGACTTATGTGCAAAGTATTAATTACCAGCATTTTGTTGAATATCATCATCACACAAGACCCAGTTAGTCTAGACCCTCGTGACTCACAAGATGCCCTTGCTCTTCACTCTCAGAAAGTGAATTCGATACCCCGGCAGCATGACTAGACGGGTCCCATTTCGAAGGTCGATAGCCGAGGTCCTCGCCATGTGCCAGGTAGCTCGCATATTCACGCAGTGCAGTTGACAAATCTTATGTGGATGGTCATATAGGGCAGGAGCCAGTGCACTCAGGCACTGTTATTACGATGCGGCTCGGCTAGAGGACGGTGGAGTTTCTCTTGTTTCAGAGGGTTAAACTGTAAATCCGGTTAGTCATAGGGTGTCATTGCATGTGGGGAGTGATCGCATCGAAGGCTACTAGACTCCGAGTTCCGATATGAATGATATGAGTGTCTACAAGTGGTTTGTTGTTGTTGTTGTTGTTGTTGTTGTTGTTGTTGTTGTTGTTGTTGTTGTTGTTGTTGTTCTTGCAATGGACTCGCACCGGGGGAACGTGGTCCATTAGGGTATGTACTATGTACCATGTAGTCTCATAAGAGTCGGAGCGAGTCAAAATGCAGCTCTAAATAGATCCTGCACCCTTGTGCTCAGGAACTTGCATCATTCAAGTCATAAATGGTCGAGTTAGCGCGCAGGGATGGACGGCAGCTTGAGAAAAAGACCAATTCCAGGCGCATCCGGGCGGCTGGCTCGGCGAGTACCGAGCGCCCGGAAGGCAAAGTCGAGCTCTCCGCGAGACCCCGGTCAATAACAACACTGTCATGGGGATGAGAACGGCGGGTGAAGCTGTCAGTTGTCTGTCAATGATGAATATGTATCATGTGTGTAATTCAACATGTGTCCATCGCGACTCCATCTCTCTCACTCTAGCCAAGGCCAAGAGACAAGAAAGATGAAACCGCTCAGTAGCCAATTCCCGTTCCGTGTCAATACAGCAGTACCAGAAGTACCAGAGAATGTCGATAAAAGTCAAAATGAGAGCATAAAACAAGAGGCGTCGACAATTGGCTTCCATCCACAGCCAATCCCGATCGCAGTTCCAGCGGTCGGCTCGTCCAGTGCAGATGGACCAGGACCTCTCACGTAGAGAGTACTGATTACTGAGTGTCGTGGTACGAAACCTCCAGCGTTCGTGCATCATGTTTGGCGATTGGCTCAGGCAACCTGTTTCAGGGATCAGAGAACGACGTGGGACGAGATGTCTCCATCGTCTCCGTCTGCGGCTGTAGTCAGCACCCTTGAAGCTTCCTGCGAATTGCGCTACTGAGCGTGATGGTTGGCTCCTTCATCAGCCGCTTCGACGCTTGCTCTCGTCAATCTGCCCAGTCCGACGATCGTCTTCCGAGCCTCTGAGTGGCTCTCAACCTCGTCCACTCGTCCACTCGTCCACTGCACTCCCAAGAGTCCATGTGTCTTCCACTCCACTCGGCATCCATTGACTCGAGTCCGCACGGTGCTGGTTTGGGAAATGGAGCTTCCCACTTGAAACATGCCAGTTTTTCGAATCGAATGGAGTGCCGTTTGTGACGGACGTTGAACTGAGTCTCTTGGGCACGGATGCGACACCTCCCACCGCCACATTGGGCCACTCATCGTGTCAGACTGCTGTGCTGAAGGCGTATTCCCATCTGACAGAATGAAGCTTTGTGCAATGACTGGTGGATTAGGGTGTCTGATGATGACTAGGATGCGGCCTCCGTTTGAAAGGTTTAGATCTCCAGCTTTTCAGGCTCCAGATTCCTGCAGCCGTCAGGACGGCTGTGGTGTGCACAAACCAACGTCGTACTGAATCTCCTCCACAGTCCACAGACTCCACAGGGCATGAAGAAATCATGTCCTGATTTTCTGACCTATTTTCCACAAAATAAAAATCAGGAAAAAAAGGAGAGCAAACGGTGCTGAAGAAAACGGAAAAGAAAAAAAAGATGACGGTGCTTGACTCATGTCGAGTATAAAACCTCCCGGGTTGTCACTGCACCTACCCTTCCGTCTTTTCTTAGATTTTCTACAGACATCTCGCGATCTCTTCTTCTTCTTCCGTCGTTTCACGGTTCGACATTTCTCTTCAGCAGGCTAGTCCTGTCTTCCATTCCCTTTCAATCTTTGTGCTTGGTAGTCATCGCCTGTGGCGAGCATCAAAACACTCCTTCAACGATACCTTGTCATTGCTGCGAGCAGCCAAGACATTCTATCACATTTTCCATCCGGAGACATTGTCATTGTTGGTTTCACCAAGCCACAATCACAACAACGAAAGACAGAGGTTCTGTTCGATACAGTTTTGCTCTGATCCTTGACAAAGGTATTGTCTTGATCCCCACCCTTTTCCCTACAATCATCACCCATCGCCCACAGCACTGGATGCACCCCATCCCCTCGCATAAAAGCCAGAGTCATGGAACCTTCCACTCTGTTACAACCCGCTTCTCTTACAAACAATCTCACGGGGGCTTTTTCTTGTCCCGACCTCACACACTTCCCGACGCATGTGAAACATGTGCAAAGTACACTGCTACGCTCCAAACACCATCTCGAGATACTGCCAGTTCCAGCCGAGCAACTCCTTCCCTCTTTTCCATCAACATCCATGGCTGCCTATACATGCTTCTACATCCTACAATTGCCCACCTCCATCAAGCCTCCCTGTCCATCCATATATAACATGCCTCTTCCAGCATCTCCTCACTCTCTCCTCTTCCTCCCAGATCATCAACTTACTCTTCTGGTGCAGGAAGCCTATCGTTTTGTCTCTGAAAATTCTTCTCGACTACCAACGTCCACTCCCTCATTTTTTTTGAGTATTCATTTCGTCGGGTACGACTTGAATCTTTACAACCCTTTTTTTTTTCTTTCGAAGTCTTGATCTGTCGAACCGGTTAAAAAGTCTCTTTTCCACCTTCGACCATGTTCGTCAAGTCCTTTCTGATCGCTGCCCTCGGGGTGGCTGGCGTCAATGCCCATATGAAAATGGCTTTTCCCGTCCCTTATGGCAAGGACACCCTTGATAACTCCCCCCTCAAATCCCAGGGTGAAGACTTCCCTTGCAAGCTCCGCGGTAACACATACACTGTGTCTACTGAGAACATGATGGAGATCGGAGTCAATCAGACCCTGCAGCTCCTTGGTCAGGCCACCCACGGTGGCGGCTCCTGTCAGATCAGCTTGACTGAAGACCGAGCCCCCACTAAGGATACCGTCTGGAAAGTCATCAAGTCTTTCCATGGAGGCTGCCCTACTAAGCAAAGCGGAAATCTGGGTGGTGATGCCAATGCCATGGATCCCGACACGTGGAAGTTCGCAATCCCCGAGGACATTGCCCCTGGCAAGTATACACTCGCCTGGACTTGGTTCAATCGCATCGGCAACCGAGAGATGTACATGAATTGTGCCCCTGTCACTGTCACCGGTGGCTCTTCCAAGCGCGACGTCGCACCGGTTCAGAAACGAACCGCCAATTATCCGCCGATGTTTGTCGCCAACGTCAATGGCTGCACCACTCAGGAAGGGGTCGACATTCGATTCCCTCAGCCGGGCCCAAATGTGGAGACGTGGAAGGAGGATCCGAAACTTGCTCCCGAGGGCGTGCCTGCTTGTTCAGGTGTTCCCAAATTCGGCGGAGCAGGCGATACTACAGCCTCTGGCTCTTCTGCTGGTTCCGGCTCGGGCTCCAGCGGTTCTGGCGCCGGCACCGGCTCTTCTTCTGGCTCGGGCTCGGGCTCGGGCGCTCAACCTGTCTCCTCTACCATCGGGGGTGGTGCTCCTACGGGGTCTCCTTCTCAAACAGGCGCGCCTGTCCCCGTCTCGACAGCTGCACCAAACCAGACTACAGTCCTGAGTGTCCCCCAACCCGGCCTTCCCTCTACCAGTTCCGTCGCCCCGTTGCCCTCGTCCACCTCGGAACCAAACAGTCAAGCTGCGCTGTCCGGCCCCTGCAACAATGAGGGTAGCTGGAACTGCATTGCTGGTACCGCCTTTCAGCGTTGCGCCAGTGGACAGTGGACCCCCCGCAGCAGATGGCGGCAGGTACTCGGTGTGCCGCCGGTCAGAGCCCGGACCTAGCAATTTCTATGGCCAAGGTAGCTCGCCGCGCAACTGAACTACGCTTCCGTAAGCGTCTCCTCGGTCAACCTCATCATGCCTGATTTGATCCATTCTATAGATTTTATTCATTTCTGGCAAGGCTTCAGCTCGTGAACCATGATCGTGCTTGTTTTTGGTGTCGCTTGTGCTCTGCTATGTTTTGATGCTTTTCCCGGCGGCTTACTAGAAGACTGGTGTACCTTAGAAGGCAACGAAAAAGAACATGTGATCACAAGGCATTGCTTAGCTTCTTCGGGAGATCTCCCTCTGTTTGCTTCTCTGGCAGCTGTTCTCTCAATAAGAAATGGACGACTAGTGCGAAAGGTCTCGGGATGGTTACCGGGTCCAACCTGGCTCAGTAGAACGAATGAGAGATGACACTGTGGTTGCACGTTACCTACTCATGCAATGAATCCATCTATCGTTGATGATCTAGATTTATAAGCACCTTCATGTTAGATCTGAAGTGTACAGTTTCTGCGCCACCGTAACACACTTTCTAGCTCTAATGATCTTGGATGCAGAAATATACAAGAAGAGCAGCATGTTGGCTGAAACAATCAAAGGTGACAAAAGGACATCCAAAGTCCGTGGTAAGGCGCCGAGATCACGAACTACCAAGGTTCAAGCGCTTCCTTCTGTAGGGACGTGGTCTATAGTAAAAGTTTTCGTCGCAGCCGCGCCAGTATGATCGTAGTCTTGCCACCAGCCCAAATAAAAACGCCGATCCGAGAAAATTTGATCAAGGGTGCTGTGATCCGGTGTCCAAGCGCCCTCCAGATATTGATCGAGCAGTCTCGAGTCCGCCACGAGACTCGCGACGGCGGCGATGCTGCAAGGGCTTTTCGGGAGGACAGTGTCTGTATCGAGGAGCCACGAGCCAATGATTCCTAGCACGAGCATCGCTGCGAGCAGGCCATCGAGAATTCGTGTGGACGTTGCGTCTTGTACCACCCGAAGCCGATTGGAGCTAGTCATATTGCCCGGCAACGGATCGTGTCTAATTGTATCGTTGGCGGAGCCGCGTGTATAATTGCTGAATTGTAACGCGTTGATGATTTTGTGTTGTCGTTTGATTGCTTCGATCACGACGGCATCGTCCTGCGCGTGCTGGAGATTTTCCACGGGAATGGCATTTTTTCCAGATACCAGGATTTGAAAGAACCCGTCAAGTGCTGCATATATACCGTTTTTGTTCAGTACCCACCACTCCGGAATGGGGGTGTAGAGATCCGGTGCTGGCTTAACCGATGACTCGTCCGGGACAGGAGGATGGTCCAGGTCGATTTCCATGCCTGGTAACTTAAAACGTGTCGAGACGTCAACTGTCTCGGCGAACTGCATGCAGACCATTCCTGCGATATGTTTGACGGCAAGGTTTTCAATATAGCCCCATACGTACGTGACGGTGTAATGGGTCTGTCCGGCCACGCCACCGGCCACAGAATGGCAGTTTCCCTGCGACGAGTACCCAAACGGTTGGGTTCTCTGCTGTTGGCCATTGAAAAGAGTGAAGTTCCCATAAGTGTCCGTATTGTTTCCGGGACACGCCAGATCGGGTGACTGCACAATGAGTCCGTATGTTGCATTCGAGGACTTTCCAGTGCTAGTCAGAACTGGGAGGAGGTCTTTTTCTGTTTGTATATGGCAAACTGGTGCGGCCCGAAGTGCAGGAACACGTACGTCGACAAAGGAGCCGTTGACTTCTGACTTGCTCATGGACGTGTTCATTGACAGTTTTGCAAAGGCGAGCTCTTCGTATGTCCATGGCGGGAAGCTGAAATTGTACTGGAGCACATATTCAGAGGTGAGAATCCCAGCAACTTCGCCGACTTCATCTGTAAGCAATTGAGCACCCGGAATGGTACGAGGATCAGGAAAACCCCCAACTTGGGTGAAATTCACAGAGATGTGTGTTGGGACCTCAACAGTGGAGTAAAGTCCGCTGACAACAATTGTCAGCAAGAAGGCAGCACCTGCGGCAAGCGTAGTGATCTGAACAGCAAAGTGCCGCGATTGCATGGACCGAAAAGTGTTGTTCAGTCCGAGCGCATCTACGAAGCTGATGCTCATTGCATGTCGAAAACTTGACCCGTCTTTCTTCTTGAGGCGGGCGTATGGAGCCAGACACTTGATGTTGAAGTTCATGCCTGCGAAGAACATTCTCGTACCAGACATGACTAGTGCAGGTAAGATAGTCCACAGGTAATGCTTAGACTCGTTGGCAGAAGACGCATCGCCTAGACCCTCATTAATCCGAGAAAGATGAAGCAGAACTTCCAGAGCCGCTATCATTGACGCAACCAACACAAAAATCACGACCCGAGACCAACGTCCCGGAAAAGGATTCCATTTGCTATATTCGAGTTTGACGGATTTCGACGGTGTATCTTGTTCCATTTCATTCCTCAGAACTTTGATGGGTGAATTGTCAAGTGTGGTTTCCGAGAAGAACTGTTTGCCTGCAAGACTGCTGTGGAGAGCTTTCTCAGATGTCCCTCCAAGCCCACGCAGTAGATCACGAAATTCGCCACTTTCGGCCGTAATCGCAGCAATTGATGCAATATGCGCGGGATTCCAAGTGGCAGTGGTTCTATGGGCCGTACGCAGGATCATCAGCACCACGAGTAAAGTTATCAGTACCAGGCAGGCTTCAATGCCACGAAGTGGGAACTGTAGCACGACAACTCGATTCTCCTTTACTATGGCAGAACCCGTCGTATTCCGATGCGTTCCGGCTGATAAACCACTGTGAAGGAGTTGAGCCGTCATTGCGCGATAGTACGCAGAGGCTGAATCCCGGAGGACACCATCACGCCACAGGTTGTCAATTGTCACATCCGCTCCTATCAGAACTAGTCCAATCTTGAAACTGTCCAACACATAGGCATCAAGTGGGAATGGACGATACAATTCCACTGATCTGAACCCTGTGGTAAGACTGGCGTTCTTAGAAATGAGCGAAGAAATGTCTCCAGGGGTGATGCCAGGCAGAGTGAGGCTTTCAGCACTCAAGACCTTCAGCTGTACTTTATTTGACAAGAGGGTCGTGGAGTTTGCCTTGGCTTGGAGATTGATAAGAGATAGTGTAGGCTTGCATATATAGACTAGTGACTGGTTCACTGCAATATCGACACCCCAGTAGGTAGTGTTGCTGGGAGGGAAGCGGGCTGGCGGCGAGGTGCGGAACTTGTGGCCGGAAGGTCCAGAAATTTCCAGCATTGAGACAATGATGCGTGCGCCGTCAGTACCATTGATATTTTCGCATTGCCCATCTTGAAAATTGCCACTTTGTATAGCTAATCCGCTCACAAGAGCTTGATTTCTTATAGAGCAGGAAGGCGTGGTCAGCTGCCAGTCCTGGATAACTGCATTCTTTTCAAACGTTCCATCCTTGTGGAATTCCGTGGTCAGATAATAGAGGCTCTTTTTTTTGACATTTGCAGGACTGCAGTCCAAGTCGGCCCCTAAGCCCTTAATATGAGCTGTAATCTCAGCATCGGAGCTTAGACTGGGTGCCGAGAATTCTTGAAATGTGACGTTCTCGTTGGTACCACTTGGGTAAGTGAGGTTGTCAAATAGAACACCATTTATAATGTCCCAGGGCTGTGATCCGACTGTCTCAAGTCTGGCTCTGTTCGCTCTGAACTCGTTGTGCAATTGGACTGGTATGTCGCTTCTCGGGACGTAAGTTTCTCGGAGGGTGAGTAAACCAGTCGAAAAGACAATGACAAGTTGCAGCAATAGAGAGCACAGGAGTCCAGCAAAAACAATCTCGTGTTGGTTGCAAAATGCCTTCCACATGGCCACTGGTTGCATATCAGAGATGTAATCTAAGAGCACGCTCTTCTCAGCTGGCTGGGGTCCCTCCAGCATCGATCGCCAGGGAGCATTTTGTTTAGATTGAAATTCGACACGCGCCCAGAAAGTCGTTATAACGGTCAATATAGCAGTTGGTCCATACGTCCAGAGGTAATGACGGCCTTCAGAAGATGCCGCAATCCCATTGTGAGTCTCCGACGCGTGGAAGAGGGCTTCAAGTGCAGTGATGGTGGAAATAAAAGTGAGCAGGAACAGCAGTAGAACCCGCCTTCGTAGATAAGTCGGACGCCAGCCTTGCAGGCCGGCATTAAAGGACGACAAAGAGACCTTTTTAGGTAACACAGCAAGCATGTCGACCTTGAGCAGCGCAGGGATCGAATCGGCCTCTCAGCGGCAATTGACCGAGTTTGGGCTGTAGGAAGAAAACGAGGACCAGCGTCTTTACAATTGAGACCAGAAAAGCGAGATGTGCTAATATGTTTATTGCAATCACGAGAAGCAGGACCATCAGATCATACGTATATGATTGAATTCATGAATGCTGCTGGAGCCTCCGAGGCCTGTGCAAGGAACGTGCATTGCCCAAACGCTGGCCCCATCTGAGGCGCGTAGACAACTGAGTCGAAGAGCTTCAAGGTAGACAGATTGATATACAGTGTCCAATGAGTAGAGCTTCTGAAAGTGGATTTGAACTTGGCAGGCTGAACACCATTTCATTCGTTGCGAAATCGATGACACGAGGTGATAGGCCGAAGGCGTTGTTGATCCACCGTGTGACAAAAGCCCGGGCGCTTAGGTCGATGGATCCAGGGCCGGGCAGACTCATGATCCTGACCCGTCCACTGCGAAAAGCGCATGTTTGCAAACTCGCTCAATCAAACCCTAACAGACGCCATCGACAAATAGGTTTGATACCGGTGAGGTCTTGTGACTGGCTCGTGTTCAGGGCGCCCCGCCCGCCTTGGATGCTCCCCTGCTCCCGCGGTGAGCTTTCAACAGCGTTGTAGCAAGTAAAATATCGAGGCCAAACCATGAGGTTTATTTCTCATTTATCAATCTGCATCGGTATAGATGGAACAGCGCGCCGTTTCATGTTTCTGAAAAACATCAGTAAGTGGGCGCGTACCTCCTAATATCAATTATCACCGAATAAAAAGGTAAACCCGAACCTCAATTCATCGGCGTTTCCGTGTTTATTGCCGCTGTGCATGCCATCAAGCAAGAGAACAAGTCGAAATGATTTTCAGAGTCTGTCTCGAATAATTAGCCCTAGCTCATGGAATTTCGTTATCAATAACATCTGTGTCTGGATTCGGAGTGACATGGCAAGGTTTGTCGATAGGTGCACACTTCACGGTATGCTCGTAGGATTTAACACTTCACCAGAACGAGAAACGGCTCTCAATAGACTGATACCTACCGCACTTGTGGACCGGAACGCTGCTAATTTCAGCGCTTTGCGATGATGTTTTTTTGAAAAAGATGGCACGAGGTTCAATTAAGATTGCTTTGTGATAGTTGTAGTAAGTTATAATAACGACAGTCTTGAAAGCTACAAGGCGACAAATCAATTAGTGCAATTCAGCGGACGATAAATTGACTCCGAGCGCTCCGGGCGGCTTAACTGACTCAAGTCAGCCATCCAAGGGCTGTCGAGTCACATGGTGATCTTACATAAGGAGGTCTGCACACCTGGCTCAAAAGGCATACCGTAGTGATTAGATCTCATTCCTCAAGATCACGTGAGGGAAATTGGGGAAAGTGGATGACGTGAGCATGCACTACTGGCCCCGCAGCGACGGCTGGCTTTCCTCAATCAAGTAACGAGGGTTTAGGGTTCTTCAAGACCCACGACAGGCCTGGCTCAGTAAGCGAAAAATTCCACAGGACACGCCGAACTGGGCAATTCTTTGGACTTCAACCTCACCATCGACATCGACCGACAACAATGGCCTCCCGCCCTACCGTCTCCATCGCCACGGCCGAGGGCAAGCCCTCCGGGGCCACCCAGCCCCTGCCCACCGTTTTCGGTGCTCCCATCCGCCCTGATATCGTCCAGTACGTCGAAATACGCAAAATGTCGAAGATGAGGGAAAAGCATCACGGAGGTGCTGACGGATTTTGATTTATAGGCAGGTGCACACTGGCATGGCCAAGAACAAGAGACAGCCCTACGCTGTGAGCGAGAAGGCTGGCGAGCAGACTTCTGCTGAGTCCTGGGGTACCGGTATGTCAGGATCAATTTACTCAACCAAAGATGGAAATTTCCGTGCCACATTCTCGAGAGGAAAGCGTGACGGAAATTTCTTCCACTCGAGCGTCTCAATCGCTATGGAAAGCTGACCATGGGAAATGCTTGTTCGGCTAGGTCGTGCTGTCGCTCGTATCCCCCGTGTCTCCGGTGGTGGTACTCACCGTGCCGGTCAGGCTGCCTTCGGTAACATGTGTCGCTCCGGTCGCATGTTCGCTCCCACCAAGGTCTGGCGCAAGTGGCACCAGAAGCTCAACCTGAACCAGAAGCGTTTCGCTACCGCCTCTGCTCTGGCTGCTTCCTCCGTCCCCGCTCTGCTCTTCGCCCGCGGTCACCGTGTCGCCAAGGTCCCCGAGGTTCCTCTCGTTGTTGAGTCCAAGACCTTCGAGGGTGCCGCTCTCACCAAGACCAAGGCCGCCATTGCCCTGCTCAAGGCTGTCGGTGCCGGTGAGGACCTCGTCAAGGTCCAGAAGTCCCGCAAGCTCCGTGCTGGTAAGGGTAAGCTGCGTAACCGCCGCTTCCGCCAGCGCCGCGGTCCTCTGGTTGTCTACAACCCCGAGGTCGATGGCAAGGAGCTCGTCCGTGCCTTCCGCAACGTTCCCGGTGTTGAGACTTCCTCCGTCTTCTCCCTGAACCTCCTCCAGCTCGCTCCCGGTGGTCACCTCGGCCGCTTCATCGTCTGGACTTCTTCCGCCTTCGAGGCCCTTGACCAGGTCTACGGCACCACCACCACCCCCTCTTCCCTCAAGAAGGACTTCCTCCTGCCCTCCGCCATGGTTGCCAACGCCGACCTGACCCGTCTGATCAACTCCTCTGAAATCCAGGCTGTTGTTCGTGCTCCCAAGGGTGAGGCCCGCACCAAGCGTGTCAACGTCCAGAAGAAGAACCCTCTGCGCAACAAGCAGGTCATGCTCCGCCTCAACCCCTACGCTGCTGCTTACTCCAAGCAGAAGCTTGGTCAGCAGAAGGTCGAGGCTGGCAAGCCCGAGCGCGCCTCTGCTGAGTTCGCCAAGGTTCTGGCCGAGAACTAAATTTGCTCTCGCGACTGTTCTTTGGATTTGGTGAAAAATGATAGTTTGCAGCAAAAATGAATCAATGACTTTTTGCAATACCCATGGGTCTACTGGAGTAATAATGTGATCGGTTTTCTCAAGTTGTTTTCTTTTTCCACTTGCACTTTTGTTACGTTCCTTACTCACGGTAGGTTGTCGTAGTCCTATGTGCTCGTAGGTTTTGACTGGACATGAGATGAGACATGTCGGCGCCACGATTTGACACATGTTACCAACCTTCTACTTTTTCAACTTCAGTGGGGGGCATTCCGAGTCTGGATACGAGACACATGATGACAACTGAGGAAACATTGCACTCATGCTCTGAAAGTTGCTGGTGTGCTAGGAGCTGCCCCCCAGGTTGTTGCGCTTCGATTTTGCCTTATTGGTGTACGACTGTCGACGCATCGCGAACCAATAGCGAGGACAAGAAATATATCCTCTGATCGTTACGCAAGACATCCAATTCGCTTCTACCGGAACCGCGCATCATCGGCCTAACAGAGCTGCATGGATGGATGACGCTGTCCAAGAACCCAGGAGTATACCATGAACTAGCAGGGATCGGACATTCAGTCCGTCAGCAATCGTCTCATCACCGGCCATGAGGTTGAATATTTAGTGGACCGAGATTCAGTCTTAGCACTTATTCATACTTTTTCATCCATTGGAGTGCCTGGGCTGTTGTACGAAATCTGGCGTTGTCCCTGAAGTAAACTACCTACCTACCGACCAAATCCACGGACAAGCTCCGCTCAAGCTTCACGCCTAGGTACCCAAAGCACGAACAGAAACGGGTATACTTGGGATGCGACCCTTGGCAAAAATAGATCTGCCTTGTCCCTGTCCCCGATCAAGACTACCGTCTAAGCGAGAAACATTCTCCTCGGGAGCGGAGGAATCCCACAACCCGACTCCACGCGAATCTTCGCTGGTTGAAATGCCTCTGGCGCAGGTGAGACGAGAGAGGATGGAAAGATTGGAGGATGGATGAGCGTTCGAGTCGGACCAGAGAAATAATTGATTGTTTCGTTGATTCGGCTACGGCCATGGGCGACGACTGCTACTGCCCGTCTGTGGCGTGCGAGATTCCAGGTCTCGCCCGCTCTTAAACGACCTTTGACTAGTCTCTTCTTTGGATGCATGTGGAGTTGAGGCCCGTCGGGCTGTGATCGATTTACACATAGGATCCACACGACTGATCAACGGTTGAACCCTGTGCGAGGGATCATGGACATATGAGGTTCTTGTCTTCGGCTTGGTGTTGATGAAGTGGGTGGGATTCTTGTTCATGTGCCGAGAAGAGTAGCCATCAGGTAGCGATCGCGAGCGATTTTCAAGTGGACATCGACTTTCCACTTCAGGGCATGCCTCGCGGGGGTCGAGACTGGTAGCAAGTGGATGAAACGGAAAAGCTACTGGTAGTCAAAGTTGGATATTTCCACGAGCGGCAAATGGACCAATACGAAAGATGGGGTCGGATGTTTAGACTCGACAATAGTTGTGGTCAGGTGGTCAGTGATCACATGTGTTCGTACTTGGTTCTTGACTGGGAGCGAAAGCCAAATCAAAAATGAACCTAGGCATGTCAACATATCCTTCAAATGCCATCCTCGGGCACACGGAGTAACGTCCCTGGACCGAGTTTGGAAACCGACACTGGACACGAGCCAACGCCATCATGACAACAGGCATCTGTTGATTCCCGTTCTCCGCGGCACACTTCCCGCAAGATATCAAAAAGAATCCAGGGAAAAGAAAATGCAGGAAGTCGACGCCGTTCCAACCCACAAAAGTCAATTAGCATCTGAAACGACGAGCTCAAGCCGCATGCCTTAGTACGCCCGGGTATCCTTGTCAAGCGCAGACTTGACCCAACACGGTAAATGCGCAATTAGACAACGAGGAAAATCTCCGATTCGAACGACGATCATGTCTGTCAATGGCCTTGAGTGAAATTAAGCGTTAGATTAAACCTGGAACATACTTAATCTGAGACGATGAAAGCCGCAATTGTGGAATCGCCTCAATTCAGGGCTGCCGATGCC